TGAGAGTTAGGCCTACATTCTGTATGTGTAATGATATTTAAAGAGTATGGGGCGGGGCAGACTTCCGAAAGTTTCACAAAATTGCGCGTAGCAACCACACCTCGCCGATGAAAACAACTGCAACGAGCGCGTGTGTACGTACTGATCAAACAAAAAATTGTGTAACCCAATCCTCGGAGTGGCTGGTGCGTGCGTACGTTGCTATGGTCGTTGTTTTCCCCGGCTCGGTACCTGCCAATTTTGCGAGAATCCCAGATTTCCGCGTTGCCCCATAAGAAACGAGTGGGAACATGGCAAGGACGTAGCCGGGGCAGGTGAAGGGGGTGGAGTGATTGTCTTTCTTGTGGGAACTCTTACCCATCTCTCACTGGAAAATTTGGATTCTGTTGGTGGCGAGGGAGAGGGCAGCTGTCGTCACATCATCTATAGCCTGGGTTGATTATATGTTACTTTAGTGTGGCTATAGGTATAATAAGGTTCTTGAAAGAACCGTCCGTTATACAAACTCTGTGATGTATCGGGGTAGGCAAGAGGAACAACCCCCCCCCCTCCTTGGGAACTCTTGTCATCCCTCACCCCTCGCACTTAAGAAAATTGGCCACGCTACGCGGGAACACGGGCTTGGAATCGTTACCGTGTACTGCTCTCAAGTTACGCTGTCACCAACAGAGGGCGTGAGTAACTAGCACCAACTTTAGGACACCAACCATGACATTGGCGTTGAAAAATGTACATGTACGTGTACATGTTTACCACCGATGCGTTGGTAGTGCCAGATCTCTTTCGCAGCGCGTCGGCCAATAGTAACAAACCACTGTTGCCAACCTGACAAGTCGCTTTTCTTCTGGTCAAGGCCATTGTCTAGCAGACTGCCGCGTAGCACGGAGCAGTGGTCTTAGGTCTTCGATTTTGGATCAAATACTGCACAGAAATCATCATGGTTGCCGCCAAACTAGAGCTGCGGGTCTTCAGCGGCGCAGACTACGCCGTCTTTGCCTGCGTTCTGCTCGTCTCGTGCGGGATCGGCGTCTACCATGCCCTGACTGGCGGCAGACAGAAGACCAGCAAGGAGTTCCTGATGGCCAATCGCAACATGAACCCCTTCCCTGTCGCCGTCTCCCTGGTGGCGAGCTTCATCTCAGCCATCACGTTCCTCGGCACCCCAGCCGAGAACTATATCTATGGCTGCATGTTTTGGCTGTATGGGTTTGCCTACTCCATCACCGGTATCATCGTCTCCAGGGCCTTCATTCCCCTTTTCTTCCGGCTGAATGTCACCAGCGCTTTCGAGGTAAGGACTTCTGAAAGATGAACTATAGAAATCCCAGAGACAATCGAACAAGAGACCAACAAAGGAAGCAATCCGTTCGATGCCATCAGCTGTCAAAATATGTCAATCAAAGAACAATCCGATCAGCCTCAAAAACAGGGTTTCCATGGCGTCCTGGGAAGGTGCAGGGGGGGGGTCTTACACAAGTGTCGTATGATGTACTTTTCTATGGGAAAATGGCTCTGGGGAGGAGGGTTGTCTTGACGCCTTGTGAACTTCCTCTGTTGAAATGTTGGACTTAATACTTTCCTTTGAAAAACCAATCCCCCAGAACTACGATTATATAGACTTTATCCAAGTCGGGTTTCCCCAGCGTGTTGCTTCCTTGGCAGGGGTTAATCACTAATTAAATAATGGACGGAGTTAGTTCGAAGACTAAACTCAAAATTTAGAGGAATTTAGAGAAATTTAGGAATTTTGAGTTTTATATCGCCTTTGTTCTTTTTGGTTTCCTTCCTTTCTTTTTCTGCATTTTTTGTTTTGTTTTCATATATCCAATATTTTCTAGGAGGCGTTGTGTCCCTTGTTGCTCCTACAAACCGACTGTCGAAGCGACTTACGCGTCCACCGCATTAATAATGATAAATAGTTACTTCCTTACTAAACAATAATAGGTTTCAGTTTGTTAAATACGAAACTTCAGTTGTCGTTGATACTCCTCGTGCATCCAATAAAAACGGAGGAAGCAATAACGCGTAGGTCGTAATACTGATCAGTCGCGCCGTCTAGCTTGTTGCACATTCCGCCAACGCACACGACTGTTCCTACAATGCGCAATATGTTGCGCCAGAATCGAGACCTTCAAATCATTCTGAACTGGAATTGTGCCAATAGTGAGAAGTCGTAGGTCACGGGATAGTTCAACCCAGGAGTATTGTTTGCTAAATAATAATGCACTGTTCCGCAAAGGATGAACTTTGAGCTGTTCACTCCCAGCAGAAGGCGACAAAAACATTGTTGATATTGAATGTTTGGCTAGGAGTAAACTAGTGCGTCAAAATATCAGTGGCGTCGAAGTTTACGAATACGACCAGGTTTGCAGATCGGGGTGATATCGTGGCACCTTGCTTTCGAGTGAAAGCGAAAACGATCCTTGCTGGCACTGGTTGCTTCAACGCATAACTCCTCAGCAATCGCAATAATTTCACCTGATGCCCAATTTTGATTTCGGGCAAGACATTGTAGTGCGCCTCAGTGCCGTCATTCAGTTATTAAATCATATCAGCAGCTGTATGAATGCACACTCGAATATCTGATTGGCATACCCCTGAACCTCTCCTCTGTCTTTTACACGGTCAATGACGACTTTCTTTCATTTAACTTTTGGTACCAATTAGCATCAATATACAGGATGTCATCTTCTCAAAGGGAAATTTCAGGTGGAGTTCTCCAAGGAATCCATATTATTAGCAAAGGTACATGTAATAATGGGGTAAGGAATTAGCTCTTGTCTACTGTGCTTGAACCAAGTCTAATATGACTACCATTAATACCGACGTCTGGGGGTCGTACGGGCCGCTGTGGTAACTACCCATTAGTAGTACTGTACATGTAGTATATAGGACTATACGTGGCACTGTAGTGTAAGGTTGCCAGCTACGCGACCCTGTAAGGTCAAGAGTGATTCAAGGGATCGACAGGTCTTTGATATAGTGAAATCACACGATACCCTACACCAACCTCGCGCCTAGGCAATGTAGGATCATAGTTTTGTTGCCTCTGAGGCTTCCCGATGTTGGTCATGCGATAACGTGGTTAATGATACGGCTCTTGCTGGTAGTGCACTCATACACCTAAACAATTTGAAAACTCCACCTGATTATCTCTTATCTCAGTGTCCCGACTTTAATTCAAACTTATCAACCAAACCCGCTATAACCATAGCCACACTCGAAATCCTAGCCAAAACCAACAAAGCCACAATCGTAAGTACAGCCGAAACCAACAAAACGCTAAACCACACGCAAGTAACACTCAAGCTTAACAACCAAACCCGCTACCAAAACTACAGCCACACTCCAAACCCTAGCCAAGCAAAGCCACAATCATAACTACAGCCGAAACCAACAAAACGCTTAACCACATGCAAGCATGGAGGAATAAAACACACAACACCGCCGACATTTCCATGTGTAAGGTTGTCTTTTTTGTGCATGTCTTTGCATTTAGAAGGTGTGGCAAAACCAAGGCGGCGACTGTACTTTCCAATCATAAGTTTAATTAACCTCCCAACACTTGTCATCTGTGTGACCTTGTAAGTGGTACTACTCACCACGTGTATTGAAAACTCGTGAAAGGACAGGATTTTTGATCAACATATGCATGGCGCGGAACATGTGAACCTGTATCTTTGGGCTTAAATCCTAATAAAGCACGCGGATGAACTTGCCGTAAAGGCATTCACACTTTCAGTAAGGTTGTACCAGGTAGTGACGTCACGACCTTCATTAGTATATTTTATCAGTACATGCATGCGCTCGGTGATTGCATTGTGAAATGATTTTATTTATTAAATTTCCATTTAACATTTGCTCAGTCTTATTTTTTAAGAGAATTCAGGTTTTTAAAATTCACGTACAAACGATTTGCTCCAAAGGTTGTTTTGGTCTAGAGTTCAGTCAGTTTGGGGGACTTCCCGTCCCCCAATGTCGTATACCAGTAGGCCTACAGCTGTGTCATGGAAACATTCGCTTCGAATATAATGTTGAATCATTTTGTCTTGGGTGCTGAAAGGAATGAACTTGTTTGCCTTCAGATTGTATTTGTATATTTATCCCACAAGTTCTCTGTCTTGTGTTTGGATCTGCTGAAGAATTCAAGGCATTGGAAATTTGGATGAGGTGATGGAATACCAGTAATTCACTTACTTAGCAGTTAACACAAAATCGAAAGAATACACTGTATTTCATATACCCACAAAATACCTGTTGATCACACAGGTCTGTAGTTATTAATATTAACATTAATTCCTCGTTTATCTTCCCGAGATTAAGTTCTCTCGCTGGTTTTTGCCTTCAGTAAAGGGAAACGATAAGAAAAAATGACAATTCAACCTTATTTTCTAACATTGAGAGCGTAGGAGAAACCGAGCGGTCAACGACTCGACGCACTGTCAACCCCAAGCTGCTGGTGCATCCGCGTTCACCAGGCCTATCACGCCTACCCGTCTCGCTACAAATCGAACAGACCGTTTTTTTGGGGGGGGGCATTACTGGCCTGGTTATGATTGTGACCAGGAAAGCAACATAACAGCTTTAAATTTGAAGAATGAAGATTTTTAGGAAAGGGAATTTGACGTCATAAAGAACCTCCACCCTGAATTCATCGTATTCGGCCAAGTACTTGGAAACAGTCCAGAAAACTGGGACAGGGACCCCGATTGTCCAATTCCAATTGTGACGTTTCTCTTGACCCTGACAGTGCATCGCTCTTGAGTTCTCTCGAACTGTAAACAACACCCTAGGCGAAATTTGATCGCACAGGCGACGTCACACCTTCGCGCCAAGTATGAACTGAATAGAGAAGACTCTTGTCCTCTGAGCGCTCCGATTGATAATTTCCTGGACGACTAAGTCGAGAACTTGAACTTGTAAATGAATACATCACCCACAGTGTTTGCTGTGGTAGCCGGATAAGAAAATTGTTGATACCACCAAGGCTAGGCCAGCATATTTCGTGGAATGTTCCAGCGAACGGAAGCGTTGTCACGTCCTTGTGGTATATAGTGGATCCACGCATCCCGGGCGCATTTTGGTTCGGCAAGCAAAGCAAGAAGACCTTAGTTAAAGGGGAAATTTCAAGACTTGGCTTTTCCTCCCCAAATCGTTCGGTGACTTCAGACAGCTTTAAGGGAACAGATACAAAGAAACAAACACCGGTATACAGTATAACTCTCATATGATAAGGTGGTTGACATCCGGTAACGTAGGAGTTGACGTGTTCACGTCTGCATGGATAAAGTCGTTGTATAGTTCATGGATACCACATAGCCTAACCATCAAAGAAAGGAAAGCTAACCACAAATGGTCATGCATAATCATTTTCCTTGATCATTCAACAATAGCATGGGGGCTGTCAATATAAACAAGGGCTTGTTCGCGTATACACGTACAGTGAACACGCTGGCTAAAACCGGCATCTCACTTGCCAACAATTTCCACACGAGTAATTTCTGCAGTCGGTTCTTTGTAATCATAAGCTGCTAGTGGCATCGTGTTTTATAGCAGTGCTCGGCAGCATTCCGTCGAACACTCCAAACAGCTGTTACACGCTCTATACATCGGTCTACCCACCGCATTAGCAATGACAATTGGAGTGGTGGCCAGAGTTTTTAGCGGCGCCGACTATGCCGTCTTCGCCACCACCTTGCTGATCTCGTGCGGCATCGGCGTCTACCACGCCCTCTCCGGAGGAAGACAGCGTACCAGCGCCGAGTTCTTCCTGGCCGACCGGAGCATGAATCCCGTCCCTGTTGCCGTCTCCCTGGTGGCCAGCTTCATCTCGGCCATCACATTTCTCGGCACCCCTGCCGAAAACTACATCCACGGCTGCATGTTTTGGTTGTACGGGATCGCGTACGTGTTGACGGGCCTCATCACCTGGCGATGTTTTATGCCTGTATTCTTTCAGTTGCACGTCACCAGCGCCTTTGAGGTAGGCAGTTAATGATCAACTGACATCTCATTCATCTGACATCTCATTAATGCTATTGTATTTCACGGCTTAGTTCTTAGATCAACGCTCAAGGCACGAAGGACATCCGTTTGACGAACAACTTACTGCACGTGCTGACTTTATGCTGAATGCTGTGCATTTGCGAGGTCAATACTTTCAGCGTAGGTCTTTAATGTCAAATCTGCCTTGAAATTGAAAACTATAGTTATTCCATCGTCAGAAACTGCCTTGAAATCCGGTCCATTTCTCCCTATCTCATGCCGGTGCCCTGCATGGAAGTAGTATCCATAACCAATGATATCGTTTCCATGGTAAAGTGTGGATAGCACTGGAGCAAATCTACCTTCCTTATATTTTATATTAATACTAAATAATGTGTAGAGTGGTAAATTCACCTGTTGCTTTGCCCCTGTTGTCGTTGCCTTTCACATGTTTAATTTTCTCCAGTGTACCCCAATATCCAGCACCCTGTTTTGTGCTTCGTTCAACTTGGCTGAGCAATCCAACTCCAAGTTCATTGCTATATCTTAAATCCGTTCTTCAAACCCGACCTTTCCCTGGTTTTACTTCCTTCCTCTATGATTATTTGTTTGTATTTCTGGCAGACGTGTGGTCCTTTCTGCTGTTGGATATTTTCTACAAGACAGGTACTAAATCTGATATAAAAAGTTGTGAAATGTTCTATTCATTTCAAAATCAACACCTGACCTAGAGAACTTATACTGTAAATTGACGAGAAAACGCGCAGCCGGTTAATGGGCTACGGATGCGATAAACGGCGCATTTTGTCATGTCTGTGCGCAGACAGTCCTTATAGTCAGTTTTATTAGGCCTACTTTGAATAAACCACGTTGAAATACCGTGGTGCATGTCTCAGGTTGGATGCCCTGCAACAGTGTTAGAGAAGCAAATTAAGAGTGGCTGTTCATGACTCACAAAAGAAATATTGACCGACGGAGGACAACTGTATAATCGATTTCCGCAGAGCCGAATACGAAGAAAAGTTGAAAACCGATTGTGTCGTTTTGGATAGTCGGAATCGGCTGCAGACAAGTCAGTTTGACCTATGTTTTAACTTGCTCGGACACATTATTCGAGCTTTGAGGAGGATATGTTCTTTTGTGTATCAATGAGGATGATTTATGGCGGTCGAGTTAGAACAGTGGCTCTTCGGGTGGGCAGACTACGCCATCCTGGCCTGCACCTTGCTCGTCTCTGCCAGCATCGGTGTGTACCACGCTCTGGCCGGCGGTAAACAGCGAACCGCCTCCGAGTTCTTGCTGGCCGACCGGCGCATGAATCTGGTCCCAGTCGCCTTCTCCCTGCTGGCGAGCTTCATCTCCTCCATCACGTTCCTCGGCACCCCAGCCAAGGCCTACATTCACGGCTGCATGTTCTCACCATAGAGCTACAACCCATGGGTTGTAGCTCTATGTTCTCACTGACCGGGCTCTCGTTTCTTGTTGCGGGGCTTGTCGCGTGGCGAGGTTCCCTGTCCCTGGTCTTCCGGCTGCGGTTGACCAGTATCAATTAAGGTTGGTTTTCTTAAAAGAGTCGCAGGTTAGTGCTTTTGGCACAAGACCGGATTGGAAATGTCTGCATTAGGGACAGATGACCAAGATAATACTATATTGCAACCGTTGACGATCAAGAGTTTGCTGCAGGGCTTGACAATGGTCCTGTCCTTACTAAGTGGTACTTACCAAAGAGATATTTTTTCTCTGTGGTGGTACAGGCTCGTGCAGAACTGTCTGGACGACTGGTTGCCAACAGCCAAGCAGACCTTTCTCTGGCACAGGCGTTGGATGGGCAGAGCTCCTCCATAACATTTTGCGCATGGGAAGTACAGACCGTAGAAGACATTGTGGGTTGCTTGTTGCCTAACTCGTAAACTTTTATCCAGCGCGAGTGGTTGTGCCCTATCCAATGAAGGTTCAAGGAAATCATAGTCATGGATACAGGTCGGCAACGAAATCAGGCAGTCCTTGTTCCCTGAAAGGGCAGGGGAAGGAACGAAGGCCGCCCAGGAACTGTGCAACCAATTCAGCCGGACTTTGATTGAACCAGCCTGGGGTACGGGTGCGGCTGCCCCGTTTCTTGTTCCATGGTCTGTCCGCAGGCGACTGTAGTATTTCTGCCCAGTAATAATTGTCTTGATTGTAACCCTTATAGGGTCAGGTCTTTTGACGTCACAGTCTTGTTTTTTTCTACAAGTGGCTGGTAAAACTATGGTTGGCCGTTGGTACCAAATTTAAAGAATAATTAAAAATTGAAATTAATTAATAAGAAAATAAATTCCACGCAGCTATCAGAACACCAGATATATAAACCACGTACTACCAAATACTAAATGAAAATACAACTCTATTTAAAATAATGGGACAAATGTCCGTTTTGATCAAATTGGAGGTAAAATCGAAAACCAGCCGAAAGTCGATATTTCTGCAAACTTTGGCCGCCCACACAAGTTGTAGACAAAATGAGAGTGGTCTTAGGCTAGCCGGACGAGACGTCACTACTGTGTTGGCATCACACTCACGACCCAGCAAACATCCGACGTTGTTGTCGAACCTCAAACTGTTAACTGCTATCATTTTCATCAATTTTTCAGTACACAATGAAAATTGATGCATTAAATGCAGGCATGTCGTAATCTTCATGTGTATTTTAGGTAATAATAAAATAATAAATAAGCTGCTTTGTGACAGTGCTGATTTACGCCAGGACACAGATAGGTTTGGATAAAAAATATGACCGTACTGTAATCTCGGAGTATTTCGCCTATTTAGGCCAAATTGTATTCTACTCACTTATTTTGCCCACTTTCGCGTATTTTAATGAAGATTTTGTAGGTCAGAGAGCGACAACCGGGTAAGTGGGGCTCGCTCTTTCAAGACATGTAACATCTAATGTGATTGTCCAGTTGCTGTCTACACGGAACTTAAGTGCTGGTTGTAGGACCTTAACCGACCAGCACAACCAGACTCAATTATCTGGAAGAAAGTGGCAAACTGGGGCGAGCTTCGATGTCTGCCCTCAGCTGGCTGAAGAGTTATTGAACAATGGATGTGTAAAATGCAATGGTCGAATGGTTGGTGTTCCATAATATAACGTACAAGGATCAGAGGACTAGACATGCAAAATCAATTTCCAAAAATTTGTTGCTGCAGTATCGATTCCCGAAAAACTTGACCAGTCCAAAAATGCTACAAAAGATCTAAAGATCAAACATTCTTCAATTTTGTGTGCGTACAGATATGACGTCCTTTGGGAGAGCATACAGGTACTATAGTGCGAGTGCCGCTTATCCAGTTGCCGACATATATTGTAACGCCATTTATCGACATAAAATTGCAGTGGAAATTAAGTCGACTCAACCGCATAGGCAGTCGAATTAGTGAGCTCAGGATGACTGCTTCCTGAAGTGAAGTTTCGACATATGTGGACTTGTGGAAAGCAAGATGACCGCCTGTTGAGACACTGTCTTTTTTAACTACTCTGTGGGCGAGAGCATTCTCATGCATTTTTTCTTTTATATATTTTATCGCTTTTGTCTCTTTATTCACTTTTCAAGACTTGAATTGTGTTACCGTCCTATGGACTTCTCAGTTTAGTTTAGGTGTTGAGGTGTTGGCTTGCTTCGTTTGTTTTCCGTCAATATCTGAAAGCACAGACCTGCATGTCAAGGGATTGCTACGGAGTCATTCGTCCGTCGTGCCTTACGGTAGAAAGAGTTTTTTGAGTTTGTTCTTCAACCTACTGTGAGAGGAAGATTTTCGAATTTCAGGATGAAAATAGTGGATATATTTTTTCTTTAAAGTGTGCAAGTTTTTAATGTAAATTGTCATAATGAGGATTGTCTATCTCAGTGGCTGGCAGTGGAAAAGAGAAAACTGGGTCTTGCGAGTTATGATACATGTTATAGGCCATAGTAATAATGGTGAGGTTTTAACCGGTGTGATTTCACACACAATTGGTGTCAGGTTGGGCAATCTTTCGTGCAACAATGTCATGCTCGAGCAAAGGCGCTCCCGAATCGGCCAACGCTCCTTTCCCAGGGTCCCCGGGGACGTGTCCGTCCAGGGGGGCGGCTGTTGGTAGACCTGTCTAGTTGCTCGTTCGCAAGCGTTATTAAACCATGGTTAGACCGCTCTGAATTGGCGTCTGATTTTACAAGTACATAAGCCTACTGGCCCTGAAGTGACGCATGCTGGATGTCCATCGTTCAATTTCTAGAGTAATGGGTCATTGGAGGTGTGGAGAGTAACCCCTCAAAAACTAGCATAAAGATGAGAAAAAAAGTAGAGTGTTGTCCCTCGCCATAGGCTCAGGTTTTATTATAAGTGTCCATTCTCATCGGCCAGTACCGGTGAAGCACATATTCATTCCCTTATTTAACCAAATTCAAACTTTAGTTTTTGGCAAAGCGTCCAGAAATCAGACAGAATAGAGACAGTCGCATGCACCAGAAACGGAACTCTAAAAAGTCTAGAATCTTGCGAAATCTACTGGTCACCGCAGAAGGGCACTTTAATTGCACTTTTTATACATGTACCAAATAAGCTGCATTCGCAGATAATCGTTTTGACTGTGTTTATGTCTGGCACGCCTGCGCTATTAAAGTAGGCCAAGTGAATTCGCAGACAAACTTGAAACGGCATTGAAATTACCAAAGAGAAGTAGGCCATTGGATTGCCGTACCACTGTAATGTGGCAGACGGTTGGCTAGTGAAGATAAAAGCCCACTGTGTTCACTCGTGCTGCGTGTAACTTCCTATTACACGCAGCACGTGTTCTCTGTTAACAATAGTTGTCCATATATCACTTTCCTGTTGAAGAACGTATTCATTTATTGCATGGCAGCTTTCAATACCGAGAAGTGTATGGTAACGATCTTCAGAAATCTGTCTCGCGTCAGTTATTTTCTCCATTAGTTTTTGTTAGTGATGTCAAGAGTGCATTTCTGTCAGCAACATTCATGCTAGTCACATTGGAAGGTTGGAATTTGTAGGCCTTTTGCAAAGAACAATTCGACTTTGACGATTACCTTGAACATTGCAGGGCTAACCAGTGAAGTACGTGCTCCCACGGTTTGTACACTGTACTGGGGCAGCTGCCTTTTCTGCAGATCTACCATGGGAGAATTAAGCATCTGAAATCATGTTGTTCTCTGTTAACAATGGTTGTCCATTTATCACTTTCCTGTTGAAGAATATATTCATGTATTGCAAGGCAGTTTCCAATACTGAGAGGTGTAACCTTCATGTTGGTAACGATCTTCAGAAATCTCTCCCGCGTCGGTGATTTTCTCCATTAGTTTTTGCAAACTATCCCCATGGGGCTGCTGGTCTATTTGCGACCCCATTCATACGCTGCGGCAACCATGTACCACTCTGAAGTACATATAAGTACAGAACATGTACATGTACACGATGTCGTGACCCGAAGCATGCCCGAATACTGCAAAACACGCCCCTGGATAGTATCCACAACTTGGCCACCGAATGGAGTCACTGAAATTCGAGACCTGCATTGAATAATATACTGTATATATCTGCGATGATAAGGAGGATTTTATTTTCATTTAGGCCTATTTATTTTTTGTTTTACAAAATTGAGATTCGAACCTGACAGCACGCGGTGATGCAGTTTGGCAATTGTAGTTGCGGGCAGTGAAAAGCAAAGTAGTAGGCTCTAGTTTGTAAAACAAGGAACAGTAGCAAATTTGCCATTTCTCGTTTCTACATGTACATGTACATGTGCGCTGCTTAATGCCTACATTAGAAAGGAACTATACTCTTCAAACATTTGCTCTGCCCACAAAATGCCCAGACCCCTATCTAGATTTACACTGAGTCATTTCGTTCAAAGCTTTGTTTAGCAGTGTAAATGGGAATGAATGGTTTAGTAATGACTTACACTACACGGTAAACGAAGCTCACAAGCGATGTAAAAAGAATAGAAATAGATATGTTTTCAATTAAACATGCTCTTTCATTGGGTGTAATTCATGCTTGTGTGCGTGGTCAGTAAGTCAGTGTGATGTAACAGAGAAATGACAAGCACCAGCAGTAATAATAATCAAACAGAAATAATAAATAATATTTACCAAAAATGGGTCATTAGGGAGACATTCCCATAAAAACGTGCACAAATTTTTTTTCAAATGTACTGTCCCATAATTCAATATTCGCTTATCTGATCTTAACCAAACTTTACATGTTTTCATTTTAGTCCCAATCTATCATCTCTCAAAATTTGGACAGTCAAATTCGGCCAATGTCTCCCTAAGGCTGAAAAATTTACCACAAAGTGTCTCCCAAATGACCTATTTGTAATAATAATAATAACAAGAGTGGTTATAAAGCGCCTTTAACTAACTTTGATCAAAGCGCTTTCCATTATTATTACCCCTGCTCACTGGGCCAATGAAACACTCCAAATAGCATCTGAGCTCCCAGGGGAAAAGTTGTGATAATAAAATACTTCATTCCGGTAATGCTTAATTGTACTGTGTTTGCATATCTTTGTCTTTCACATGTTGCCAATGACTGGTCCTGGCGAAGTGCTTGTGGAAGGTGACTGCATTACTACTATACCAGACATTTTGCCTATTTTTTCTTTGGCAGTATATACACAATATGCAGACATTTCATCTAGACTTTCAAAAAACCGTTCACGGCCAGCTCTGAAGATACCCGGCTTGGCGAAAGCTTGCGCGGGTGAAACCATGGGTTAACCTGGGTTAACCAAATAGCAACAAGAAGATCTACAGTGAATCTATTGTGTGTGTGCTTACCAAAGACCTTCTTTCTTTGATTCAAATTTAGTACTTGGAACTACGTTTCAACAAAGTCCTACGCATATGCGGCATGATGACTTTCTTCCTTCAAATGGTGAGTTCGGTGCCCTGTGTTGAGATGTTTTCGAAAGACCGTTTCGGATGTTGACATTTGCAGTGCGTGTTTACCTCCAACGTTGAACTGGGTGACCATTAAATATATGTACATGCAGAGTCGAGAAAGAAAATCATCTTCACTGTTCAAAGAAAAGGGGAAATACATAAGCTTTATTTCTCAGAAAAACATTCAGTGTTCGCTGTGTGTAAACCTCTTTGGAATCAAATAGCTCATTAGCGCCCTTATCATTAGTGAAACAAGATTTTACAAAACTTAAATTGGCCCTATTTTGATTTTCTTTTTTTTCCAGATCATCTACATGGGTATAGTGATCTACGCACCAGCGCTTGCTCTCAGTGCGGGTATGATGCGCACTTTCTTGTCAGTTATAGGCAAACCTTTGGTTTATCCCAACACAAAGTCCCGTAAAGGCAGCTGTTGGATGTAATTCCCTAGCGCTAGGAAAAGCATGATTGACCTGTTGCAATCAAGCCGCTTTAAAGTACATTTACATATTTTAGTTGACTGCATTTAGATTTCAGGATCTCATTTTTCAACCACTCCGTTGTTTGAATCAGTTCGATGGTCTGCAAATTTGTTTTTTTTTTTACTTTCTTAGTGACTGGCCTTCACCTCTGGGGCTCTGTCGTTGCCATCGGCCTCGTGTGCACCTTCTACACGACAATTGTAAGTTTGGGGCTCTGTCGCGTTTGAATTCCCCCTTCAGACTACGATTAACTTAAGCATGTTGGTCTGTCCCGTGCGTGTCACCACATCGACATACCTGTCTTCGTGCGAGCTTTGTAATGTTTGTAGAGTTGTGCTTTACATATGATCTCTAGCGTATAGACTTTGGCCATACCGTCATTATCGGAGACTCCTTGCTGCAGATATTTATGACCCCTTTTATCCCGAATCTCACGAAAGCTCACTGGTCTGGTGCCCCGTCCCCCGTTTCTTTTTGTACGGCAGGGTGGGATGAAGGCGGTGCTGTGGACCGATGTCTTCCAGGTGTGCATCATGATCAGCGGCTTCCTTGCCCTCATTATTGCAGGAAGCATGCGCTTGGGAGGTATTACAAACGTCTGGAACATAGCCGAGGAAGGGGGTCGAATCGACTTCTTCAAGTGAGTTGGATACGGCGATCAGGAGCCCTCCTCTTTTTAAAGTTCTTGTTTTTGCTTCAGCTTCGTCTATGATCCCGGAACAGTTTTCAAACGGAGTGAAAAAAAAAGATTCCCATCTTTGGTTTCCATTTTACACAGTATTCGTATGTTGCAGCCCGATGCCAAGAGAGAAATCAAATTGAGGTTTGATATATAACCTAATTTTTAATTACAGGTTTTGCCCTTACCCCGTGTATAAACACTGTATACTCAGAGCTTGTCGGAGAGTTTGAGAAAAATCCACAAGCTTTATTGGGCGGGTACTGCGAACTCTTTCGGTACCCGCTGCTCCGTCTGACTCGGACTGGGCAGGCGACCCCGGCAAGCTCGGCGGTCGAGTGGTAAAGATATTAGTAAGCAAAAATTAACATCTCCCTGACTCAAAGTACATCTTGAAATAAATTACCTACCTATAGTGCGCCCGTCATTTTTTTTACTTTAAGGGAGGGTTGGTCGGTCCAGAAAACAAGTGAGTACAAAATCATTTGGTTGCTCTCGGAAACTCCTATATAAGATTATTATCTTATTTTAGCTTGGTAGAAATGCCGTACAGGGTCGGCGACGTATTTTTTTCCTGTGATCAGACTGGGGCCAAAAACACGTGTTGGTCGTGAGAGCCATTGATTGAACTAAGGACGCCCAAATAAAAGTATAAAGCCATTTTTGCTTGCCCAACGAACTTTCGATCTCTAAATTGACTTTGAACCAAGGCACAACAATGTAGCATTCAGCTTGTCAATATGGCAGCTGTATTTTTTGTGTATTTCCTTTCAACATCCATTCTTGTACGAATTCCTTGTCGGTGCAGCATTGTTTAAATGTTTTGATAATATCCTGCCAGTCAAAATGATCGTCAGAAAGTGCATGTACCTAACTTGTCATTGTAAAGTTTAGGTCACCATACATAAGCCTTGAAAGTTTCGTCTCAGGGTTGGAGTTGTAAATGGATATGTGCGAGTGATCTGAGAGTGTCCATAACATCATAGCCATGATTCCGTAGCCTAAATTTTTCTGTAGTCATCCCCCGATTGGTATAAACGTAGTGTTTCACTAAGCTGTGTTGGCACAGTTTAAGGGAGAAATGTCTTGCCGTCTGGATTAGGGAACACGACCTCATTTGTCACTGTAATGGATAATATATTGAAGTCAGGGTCCCACGACACAGGCGTGTTACCTATACTTTCGGGAAACATCTGCTAGCCTGCTGCTTGGTTTGTCAACAGGCAGTCAGTCAGTCGGCGCCTGATACCGAAATCCTCCTGAAATTGCGGCAGGGTCCTGTAAACGATGGACACGTCAAGAAGTGTTTGTTGTCGAGTCCATACTGAAGTCCAGTTCTGGAAACGGGTTGAATAAGGGCGTAAAGGTTCTTTAATATATGAAATGACATCACGAAATACTATCCGTTGTTCTGTAATTGAAAACAAAATAGGAATCGTACCGTATGTCAGCAAGGAACTTCTTTGACGTTTTGCCAAGCATTTGCGTTTCTAGGTTCCAACGAATGATGAAGAAAATAGCGAAACTCTGGATGGTAGAGAATCCTTTAAAGTGAATACACCATGAAAGTCAAATTTCTAATAGTTCCACTCTCCTTGTAACATGGAGCAAGTTTTAATGTTCTGCTCGCAAAGATACTCTTTCGAAGACAATTTTAAACCGATTCAAATGCATTGTGTATGAGCGTTGCACTTCTGAGTGCCAATATATGCGTGGCCATGCTGATGTAAAAGGCTTTTTGTAAAAAAAGGTAAATGTCAAGAATTGTGCTAAAGAAACAGCTTCATTCTCTCCTCCATGACAAACAAGGGGAAAGATGGACACTGAAGAAAAGGTGCGTTCATATATTTCCGGGTTCAATATTTTATCGCTGTTGGCGTCATACTTGATCTTCCCAATTAGTGATTCTTTTATTTTTTCGAAACAAAACAGACTGGAAATTTACACAGTATAAGTGATGGTAGACAGAAAGACATTACATCGCAAAAAAGTGTCTCCGTGCTGCAAGATCGAGCAGAAAGCGTGGTCTCGATTAAAGTTATTGGAGGGACTTCAGTAACCAGCTTGTCATGTCATGAGTATTCATCAGATTCTTGAGGTGCAAACCTTTCCGACATTTTGAGTTGACAACCACTGTCATTCTTTTCGTCCTCTGTTTCTCAGCTTCGACCCAGACCCCACCGTGCGTCACACCTTCTGGTCGGTGGTGGTCGGCGGCACCTTCACCTGGTCGGCCGTCTACTGCGTCAACCAGGCACAAGTCCAGCGCTACCTCACCTGCGGCAGGGAACCAGTGGCCCAGTTGTAAGTATATTCGCGGCGCAGATTGGGGAATTTCAGTGCTCTCCTTTATTGATTTGGAGTTGTCTACACACCAGAGGTATAACATTGACCTGAGAAGGACATGGTGCTGTCAAAATTCATATGATGATTGTGGACTGATACTTATTTGTATGTTTAAACATACAAATGGTGAGGTCACAGACGGAAAATCATTCTATTGACGCATGCAAAGCTCAGCCTCTCTATTTCCGTTTTAAGTTATGCATTGCTTATGTAAAATGTATCAGGGAGATGTAATAGAGTAGGTATTACCAACTTGCACTTGTTTAAATTGTGAGTGGCTATTTCAATCTACATCTGCATGGAGTACACTTTAGGAATATAGGACATATTATTACAAGTACAGTACTTATAACCGTGATATCTCTGACTCCTACATAGAGCTTTGTTCATGGCTGTTGTGGGGATGGTGATCGTGGTGTCTCTGGCTTGTTTGGCTGGCCTCGTGATGTACGCCAACTACGCTGGATGCGATCCTTACACCCTCAAGTACGTGGACTCCACCGACCAGGTATATTGAGCTTGTTGCTGTTGGGAACCTGTATAATTGGAAAGCACAGACACGGCAGGGGACTCTGTTGAAACCTACCTAAGGAAGTGTTGCAATGTTGCATTATGTGTCGGTTGTGGGTGTTGCTTTGTCTTCTTTCAAGGAAGAGCAAGTTGCTCCCAACTGCTGGAACCTCATTTGTCACGAAAAGTTATGACTGTTTAGTCCTTGTGTTATAACTGGCTGATCTCACAAGAAATCGCAGACACCACATGCGTGCTACTTAAAAATAGTTCAGTCACATCATGACTTAGTGCCCGTAGATCATCAAAGGCAGGGCTGTGCCGACGCACTGGACACTGTCCAGTCTGGCGATCTTGTTCAAGAAATCAACACAGATTTATACATGTAGTTACAGTTGTGCAGTGATCTTTATGCTTTGTTTTTTTCTACAATGACAGCTGGTTCCGTATTTCTTGATGGACCTCTTCCACGAGAGCCCCGGACTGCCGGGCCTGTTGGTGTCGGCCGTCTTCAGTGCAGCGCTGAGGTGAGAGGTTAATCGCAATTCCGGACAAAAATACTTCTCAGCAGCTTTCGCAACTCTCTTTACCGACACCTTTTCTTCGATGTGTTTTCGTTTAAAAGGGGCGTAGGTACTGCAGAAAGAAACACTTGAGATTGAGGTTTTTATGATTTTTGAATACATTATGTTACTCGTGATAATAGGAAATAGTGGGTGCTTGCTTCCTTAGTAGAACCTCGTTAAAGATAGCATTCGACAAGTGTATGTGGTATGTCTCTACAATTCACAGCGCCATCCATGCTTGGATCGAGGAGTCAGTGTCTAAACAACGACAGAAAATATCCTGTATACATTTCAGTGTGGCATGTATTGCATTTCAAGTTTTCAAAATGCGAGTTCACAAGTTTGTTTGTTGTGTCTGGTTGTTCCGTGCAGCACTGTGTCGTCTGGACTGAACTCGCTGGCCGCCGTGACTGGCGAGGACATCGTGAAGACCATCCGGCCTAACATTGAGGAAGAGAAGTATACCAAAATCACCAAGTGCCTGGGTATGTGTCCTTAAACATTTCCTCCATTGGTTTGTTTTGGTTTGGTGCACTAAGTAAACGTAAAAGCAATGAACTAAATGCTTCCCACTAAGTGTGTAAGACCCGAAAATTGGCGTCCGTCCATTACCACATATATAGTAGTTGTAGACATCATTCTAACTTATGATATTTTCATAAAAATTGACCTTTTTAAAGAGTTCGATTTGGGGGGTCCGGTATCTTGAATTCCTTTCGCAGGTTTCAAGAGATACCCACAATTACAATTTCTTTAAGGCAGTATAGTAGATTATCCAATCGGCTGATTTATTTGTGCATTATTTGTCTTTTTTCCCCTAGCTGCCGGATATGGATTGCTTTGTATCGGCATGGCCTTCATTGCATCTTTGCTCGGAGATGTGCTCCAGGTAGGAACCCCGTTGGAGTTTAATTTTTTTCCTTATGAAGTCCCCATGAAGTCCACAAAAACGCAAGAGGTTTTTGTGCACAAAACCTGTGTAACACTGAGGCCTTCTTCAGGAGATGACATTCCAGTTTTATTCATGAATATCTAAATCTTATCAGCATAAAAACCAAGGAAAGGTATCCCAAAACGCTTTGAATAGTGATAAAAAAATCAAAAGAGGTTAAATTAGACGTTATTAAGTGTGTTTTGGAGAAACGTTTCGTTGCAGCTGTACCCGTTAAGTGCTCGTCGGAGCGAAATGCAGTTGACTCTACCAATGTGAGCATCTTGTTCTTTTCGTGTAATTTATTACTCTTTCTGGTTCTCATTTATCAGGCTGCCTTGAGTATCTTTGGCATTGTTGGCGGACCTCTTCTCGGGCTCTTCAGCTTGGCGATATTTTTCCCCTGGGCTAACTCAAAGGTAGGAATAAATGATCGAAAAAAAAATTGTGTACTGTTTATAGTTTCATATAACAGGCAATCGCGCTAATGCATTTGTTTGGTTCGGTGAGTATCATGTGCTGTCTGAACCGACACGATTAAAACCTGTCAAGTTGACATAATGACATGCTAGCCTGAAGGAAGGTGAGCATTTCCTATAACGTTGATGGCGGGTCTTGTCCTAAATGTGATGGTTGGACGGTCCTTGTTTTTGTTCACAAGGTCAAGCAACAACCCTGCATGTGAATAACCACAATTTACACTGTAAAAACGGTGGTGTGTGACCACAATGTGTTCCTTTAACACTGCTGGTGTTACTTTACATACCTACAAGTGCTACAGTGCACTGGAGGGTGGTCAAAGTAACACTAAGAGTATTGAAATAACTAGGAACATTTGAACCCCGCTGAAAAGTGGATGTTGGTGTATAAACACCCCTGGTTTTGCAGTGTCAAGAGGAATTAGAGGAAGCATTTTCAATTGTCAGGAAACCGTGACAGTAGATGACAAAACACCGAAAAGTTTAGTAATTCTTTCATATATTTCAAAACCATCATGTTGTAATTCTGCCTTTTGGCTAGCTGGCGCTCATGCTCAGCACAATTTTGTGTTCTCTCTCAACAGGGTGCCCTCACCGGCTTGGTGTGCGGTCTGGTCTTCACTTTCTGGATCGGGATCGGCGCGCAGATCTACCCACCAGCCAACCCGAACAAGCCGCTGCTGTCTGTTGACGAGTGCCCGGTCTTCAACTCGACCGAGGCGACCTGGAATGCGACCGGGGTCTTGGCCACGGAAATGCCCACCACCATGATGAACTACTCGACCCCACTGCCTGAGCCGACTGAGAGGTGGGTACTTGGTGTTGGGCAAACTCTTCTTAATCGTCACCCATTCCATCCATTCTCTTCAGTCCTCGCTGACTGTAGGGTAGTGTGGTAGTCAGGTCCCCAACGAGTCCATCTCAAATTTGCAGTCCCAAGTCATTTGGAGAGATTTGACACCTTTTGCTGAGGATTGGCAACAAAGGAATCGATTTGTGTCTTTTGGTGGACATTTAGAGGATTGTGATATCTTTTGAAGACCTGTCATGAACTCTGCACTGCAATGATGCTAGAATGGCATTTCGCTCTTGATATCACAGCCTATACTTTGCTTGTCAGTCACCGTTACGAACTCGTATTTCCATTCAATTTTTCTTGGCTCTTCCTTTTACTCCAGGCCGGCCATAGCCCAACTCTACGCGGTCTCCTACGCCTGGTACAGTGCCATAGCCTGGCTGACAGTTATTGGCACTGGACTGTTAACAAGTTTTTTGACTGGTAGGCAAACAGTCCGTCTCCTTTGCCCCCCCCCACAATTGCAACTTTTAAGGGACGCTGCTAGTGGATGAGCATTCTCCTCGTGAACATCCCAGGCAGATTGTACACATTCTGTTTGCAGCGTGTCTGCGATGAGTCTCATGTCCGTGTTACTGTGGTACTTATTTTTTGAGTAACCTCCTCATTATAATACCACCCTTTTCAGCGGCTTCAGGAAGTAAATTTGATTGAACCTCCGCCCCTTGTTGCTGATTTGCTCTTAGCTGTAGCAGGCTGAACAGTATTGCCCAGGTCAACGCATGTTGCTCTTCTGAATGAGACAGATCTTGCATCTTAACAGAAAACAAGTACATTGACTTTAACCCTTCATTAATGTATAAAAGAAATCATTAATATGTACAACGTAACGTTGTTGCTGTGTTTGCCAACAATGTTTGAAGGATATACTAAGCCCTCGGAGGTTGACCCCCGCTTGCTGTGTCCAGTGGTCGACGCCATGTATTGCTGCCTACCGGAGAAATTGAAGAAACCACTTCGTTGTGGGGCGAGGAAGTATGAACCTGAGGGAGACGAGGTAAGCCGTGTCAGGTGCACTGCCAACGTTGCGCGGTATTATATAGCATATTGGTGAATCCAGAGCCTAAAGATTATTTTTAAACTATGGAATTAGTGTTGAATAACATCGGCCTAGACAATTGATACTGTGCATTCTTTGTGTCACCATAATGCGTTGACAGATCACACGAAACCAGCCGTTAGCACTTTTTCTTTCAACAGATTTCTGTAATAGATTTACTTGTCGTTTTGTTGGCTATTACTGAGTTTGAGGAACGGGTTGCCTATAATGTTCTAGCTTGAAGAAGGCCTCCGATTCGACAGTGGGGGATTTTGGTTGCAAACCCCTTTGCTTAGGTTGGGAAAATCGTTGCAGTTTGCTGAGCTTTTTAGTTTCAAACTTCTGAGTTTAAATCTGAATTCTGAATTAATTTGAGAGCGTAGCCATGCAAATAAGACAAGATGGCGGTAACATGTAGCTTCCGTGCAGAATCGTTTATACACTTCTGGGCATTGAGCTATGTAAATATGAAGCAGATTATTCACGGCCGCACCATTTCATAACAATTCTTTTGCTTAGCTTTAGAAACATCACATTCAACATAATGTTTATGTTTGGCATTGCTGTCGGTGCTGCTGAACATTATCAGAGTTGTGGTCGAGTCTATTCTGAGTCCGAGGATGTTACAGGTAGAGTTACACGACTTTAATGACTGAGTGCTTCGAGTGCGCGCGGTAGGTCACACAGTTTGGCGATGGTACGCAAGAAATGTGCGGCATACGTGCACGTACATTTTCCCAAATATTCTGACTCAGATTCCGGGTATTTCAGACCCGCTACCGCGTAATTGCTTTCTCCCACCGTGTCCCTTCGTTTAATGGACCCACAAAAGACTCGACGACAGCTCTTTAAATTTCTGTTGCTTAATTTGCGGCCATCTCTTTTTTTTGTTTTGTAGAGAAAAAAGAGCACGCCTAGCATCATTTATGAATTTTTACGTTTTTTCTCCTAAAATGTTTCCATCATGTCTTTCTCATCTCCTTTTCAAAAAAAAAGCAAAGCAAAAACACCTGAAACAAAGGAAGAACATCACGCTTATGCGCCCTAATTTGCATCATTGTTTATAATTGCGTTTTCCATTCTTGGCCGAAAGATGATTGTGTTAAATTTTTCTGTGAGTATGATCGATTTCGTTATGGGCTTTAAAAAACAGAACTTGAAGCTAAACAAACCACACAGATGATCTTACAGTGAAATAATTCCAATTTGCAAGGAAGACACTTCACTTCCTCAGATGATGTTATCAAAGTACAGGTAGATAGTGACTACATGTTTCACGTGTCGAAAATATTTCTGCTTTTAGCGTTAATGTTTTGCCAAAAAAAAAAAAAACATTTTTAGATAAAATAATTTCTTTACTTATCACCCCACGTACTCGATCCCTGTCACAATCATTCTGTCTGTTCTTTTGTCTAAATTCAATTTCCTCTGAATTTTTCAGTTTTCCGATTACAAAATGGAACCGATACGCACCGTTGCTACAGATCTCGATATGGCAGTTTAGAGATGTTGTAAGTTGAGATCAGGATCGTGGAAGTTTCCCGTTCTTTGTGGACTCGTGCTGACGGTGTTGTTAACCTAATGTTCCAGTCAGAGCTGTTCATAGAGAGAGTGGCGACATGACAATCTCATTTGTTGGAACCAAAATGGCGGATTATGCGTCAGCGCACATGGGCAATTAGCACACAGTAGATGCATGCTGTAATATATGCACATGATAACCGGCCATTTTCGTTCCAGAGTCTGAAGTCGGCGCTACTCTTTATATTTACTGCTCTGGTTCCAGTACCACAACCCAATCTCACAACAACAACCCTTTGTTCCGCTTCACCGTCTATTGTTCGTGTTTAACTTAACTCTGACACGATTTGATGGATTTTCCCTATTCCCTCTCGACGCCACTAACACCACTACTAACCACTAAACAGGAAGGCCTTTTAACCGGGCAGATGTTCCCCCCATTTTTGAAAAGATTTCAAGTTTTTTCTCTCTGTATTTGTATTTATCTCTGTATTTATCACTGTTTCCTCCATTTTCAACATTTTTCATGGTCAAATATCACGCCTAACCTTAACAGGATCACAGACATTTAGATGATGCACCGCGCCATGTTCGACCTTGTTTTTTAGCTCGCGGGATAACTCTTCACCCTGTCCAACCGTTGTCCTTAACTTTGAAAAAAAAGTTCGTGTAGTCACATGTTGTTCGGGATTAAACTTTTTAACCTAGTAAAAGGGAGTTGCAACAATATGAAGACTTTATTACAGGCGCAATACAACAGCCCTGCGTCAAACTGATACTTGTTTTAAGAGCTTAATAAACAGTTCTTTGCTGCAGTTTGTTGTGTCCTACTTTCTGAATATTAACCTTTAACCTTTGGAGGTGGTTTCGGCACCGCAAACTCAGTTTGTGTGAATTGTGGTATTGGAATGCTTTGACCGCGCCACACCTCTCCATAAACCCTATATGCTACTCGTCGATATAGTGCATGGACATAAACCCTTTCAACACTGTGAGACATACACTTTGCCAAGCTCTCGATATTGGGTTAATCTGTGACAATGCGTCGTGCAGGATATTCACTGTTCCAATATTTGTGGCACAGTGCTAAAGAGCATATCAGCATAGTTTAACCAGCAGTGCCGTCCAAAGTTAAAATGGCAACACTTCTTAAGATTTATGAAGACCGTGGGAACTCCAAAGACATCGGTAAATACGTAAAAGGAACATTTTAGTGGCTTCGTTGAGAACAAGGTGGCTTTAGAGCTCTCACATGTGGGAAAACAATGGGCAATGCCATATTTGTTTCACACGGATCTAGATCTCGATCAGTGATTTCATCGCTGGTTGATGCTATCCATTGGATGGATTCTGATGTCAGTGAAGCAGCGTTGGATCCCTGATCACGATCAGGATCCGCGTGAAACAAACAGGCACATAGCACACGAACGAAACGAGCACACTGAATCAATTTTGATCGAGATTTTCATCAACCCACATTGTGCCTTGGAGTGGGTCAACCTACAGCTGTTTAATTAGAAAGAGTTGCGACACGAGTGTCTGAATTGTTGGAAACAAAATGGTGGATTATGCGTTGAGTGCACGTGGGCGATGAGTATACACCATGAGTGAATGCTGCACCGCACGCATAATAAACAGCCATTTTGGTTCCAAACTCTAAGCTTGGCGCCACTCTCTCTGTATACGGCTCTGGGTCAAACCTCCCAGTCTCCGTCACCATTTAGAGATACCTGTGTTCATAATAGATACGGTATTCGTTTTCGTGTTTCGCTCGAGGGACCAACCAGTTGAATGTTTCGAGGATTTGTAGTTCAGCGTAAACTCCGGACATCTTGTTTATCAAAACTCTTGCAAACGAATGACTTTGAAAACGACTTCCCCGTTATTTCTGCCACTCAAATAGGAGAAGGCTATTTCCACGGATGAGAAAAATGAGAAAGAAAAGTACAAGCCCGACGAAACTGATAAGGCCGGCAACGGGGAATCCTACCAGGTTGTCACCGATGAGCTGCCTCCACCTTACCCCAACGGCCAGATGGAGTTTAACACCAAGTTGTAAGGAAAGTTTCTGTTGGCTGTTGGCCCGAGTGTCCCCAAACAGCATATATAGAGTTGACTTCTTGAATGCCTTGTTTGGACACTCCGTCGAAACTTGAAATCCGATCACGCATTCTCCATCTTCATCCCCTTGAATACCCACACGGGGTAATTGTACATACATAGTTGGTTTTGGTGTCGGGTCAACGTTGATTTGATTAACATTATATAAACCGATCCTACAAAATTTTGACCTCACGCGACTCAATTTTGCGCAGTTTCGGTCTCAAGTCCTGTCATGAAATACGTTTTGTACTTTCTGTCCCCATTTGTCGAGGCTGCTTTTGCACAATGTATTATTTTTATACTCTATCTCTGTTGTGCAGTTTCAATTTTTTTGGATTAGTGTTTTGATTTGACGTAGATTTTTTATTTAGATTTAGTTGAAATACTGCATATTCTTAAAGTTTGCGTTAATTGGTTAGATTCACAACTGATTTTTTTTTATTTCACTGTAAACCGTGTATTTTATTAGATCTTTTAATCAGAATCATGCATAGCTCTTTTAAAATGATGTTTTTGACATCTAACATAGGCCCTTTTGGGGGGGGGGTTGCGGATTGGCTTGTAATTTGTAAAATAATCAGTATGTTTTCATTTTGATTTCAGAAAATGAACTGAAAATTGCAACATCGAACGAATGAGAAGTTTTTGTAAATAGAATTTATTCAAATGAAAATTTTGTTCGAAAACCTGAAAATGAACGCATGATATTTTCTATTGCGTGTGATAGAAGTGTCTAGATTTTTTATATGTGCCACGTCAGACAGCTATCTCAGGAACAAACTGCTTTCCATTTTCTGGTTTATAACCAGGGGTGAGATTGGTCAGGATGTTTCCCAAAGTTCAGGATTTTTCATTACGAATTTTTAAACAATCTCTTTCACAATCTGAAAAATCCCGAATTTACCATTTAGGTGTTTTGACGCCTTGACGTCGATATAGAACAAAAGAAGTGGGTATTTTAAGGTATGTCTTTAAAGGGATACACAAATGTATGTCATAGACCCTACGCTGCTGTAGGGAACTTAAAACCTCTGGTGATTATTTCGCGGGATGTTTTATAATCCTCCAATCTCACATCTGGTAGTTACAATAGATGCTTTAGGTGTGTTGCGTCGTTCCTGTAAGAATTGTTTAATGCTCCCAATTTATTGGTTATGGTAGGTTATAACTCGTGGTTCAGCATACCTCTTTTGGTGAACTGTTTTCATTTGGAATGGGTTTATATTAAACGGAATTAAACACTTTCAACGAAAAAAGAGAACTCCTTTGAATATTTTTATCATCCCGTTGTGGAGTTTTGTCGTTAATATTGCCCCCCCCATAGTCCAGTCGTTGAATGAAAATTTTGCATGGTGCTGGCTGGACCTTTGGAATTAAACCGATAACGTTTATTGTATAGTTCTTTATTTAGTTTTGGACATTAACACCGATGCTTAGTGATAGGGAAAAACGATACTCTGGAGAACAAATGGTTGTTACTTCCATGTACCTCCCGCTTTGATTTATTTTGGACTGTTTTAGTTTCCAAAAATGGATACACTATTCTATCGGCTCTACGCACACAAACATTGTACTGAAACTCCGCTAGTTTAAAAATCCAGTGACGTTTTACACAATCCTGTTGTCTTCCTTGCTTAGCTATTAGTTTAAACGCTGCCATCATTACAAATGATACGCATTAGCGTCGCGGGGGTGAGGGAGTGTCACGGGGAGGGGAATTTAAGAAGAAAAAACGCAAGATGCATGAAGAAAAAATTAAGAAATGGAAAACAAAATGTGATGAAAAGGGATGCAAATTTTAGTGAAGAAACATAAAAACTCAAATGTACCCTCTTCTGTTGTTTTAATAAGCTGATGAATGCTTGCCACCTCCGTGGAAACCCCCCCTCTAGAAAAATGGTATGACCCAAGTGGCGCCATGATGGAACGCGTATAAATATACATGTATTTCGGATATGCAGCTGGAGAGTGGATGGCAGTATCTGCATGTGATGTGTTTTTTTTTATCATGCACACTGAATTAATCCGAATTAACTACACAGAACAGTCACATAAACACCCAGTTGTTTTTTTCCATGCTGAGTACTTATCGCGTACGCGCACCATTTCTAAAAAGAATCCCTTGTATCACACCACGGGAGCACGAGACCGCCATTGTTGCGTATTTTAGTTCGAAGGGGGTTAATAACAGCTGCAGCCGATGATTACTTCGTGTTCGAAAATCAATTCAGTATATTTTCTCTGAAATGCTATTAATTAAGAAAGACATATTCTTAGATGGGCAGTCCAGTTTCTAACGAAATCGAATTTTCTCCCTCTTAAGGGCACAATGTGGCAATAAGGACCCAGTTATTTGCCTGTGTGTCAAGTAACCCTGATGTTTACAGCAATTACTTTGGTGTGCGACTTCCATATAACCTGACAATCAAACAACTTTATGGCCGGTTTATTTGCAGATGCCTACTAACAGCCATTCTCCAGAGGTTACAAGCACCACTTGTCGAGAATTGATTTTCAAGAGGTCATTCAAGCTCGACAGAACGTTTCAAGAATGGCCATAACTTTCCCTACTCGACCCCGAAGGACCTGTTCTTAACCTGTTAATATCTGCGCTATCCTCTTGCAGACACCCCCCCAAAAAAACCAAATAGTGCATTATAAGGACACCCGTCTATCATAATATGAGTTGCAGTGGCGAATCCGGTATGTCGGTGGGCGGGGTTGTGTTAAAGTGTGTGTGTGGGTTGGGGGCTCAGACCAGAATTCACCCCCTAAAATAGCTCATGATGCTCTAGCGGCACTTCCCCACCCCGTGGCTGCGCTACAGAGGGCTGGAATGTATGGCTATGTAAGAGCTAGTACTTTGGGGTGTAGGTAGCCTATGTTAGCTTTCTTTTTCAGCACTTATTGGGGGAGGGAACCAAGCCTCCGAGACCTCACCCCAGGTGGCTACTAGTTTAGTTCTAATCCGACAAAGGGCTTTGATTGTTGAGGTCGAGTTCTAATTTGCACTCTTCATGTATGATCCCTTTTTTATTTTTCGTAATTTTTACGACCTTCTGAAGGCAGAACGGGAGTAGCCCCGGTTGACATGGGGGAATATCAGAATAAGGCGTACGTGTCATTTCACCTATCCATTGTGTGTCTTTTTTAAGTTTTCAATATACAGCACACGATCTGTTTACCAACATTTATTTGCTTTGTAGAGAACGATAAAAAGGCCACAGATGACAACCCGATTTGGTCTTTATAAAAATGCATCATCCTTTGACGTGACAAACTGTGAATGCAATGCGCACGGGCTGCAGAGAATTACCGCTCTGTTTTTGTTTTTTTCTATGGGGCAGTTGAATAGCCTGTTTAATTTGGCGATGTAGTGAAGTGGAATGCACCTTTGCACACTTTTTTAAATTCAACAACGTTTGCGTAGCTTTTGTGTCCATCAAGTGTGTGACTGCGAGAAATTCGCCATCGTCTGAGTTCGTGCTACGGGTTGCTTTGTCACTGTGGCCACGCTGAAGTTTTTTCCAGGTGTCGCCGTCACACCCGCACCTGATCGATTAAATTGAATCTTAGCCCGTCATTCTAGGAGAACTAGCGTCGCCAAAACAAGAACTTGGACTTTTGGTCCTCGTGGTTTTCACTGATAGACGCATAACTTGGAGCGTCTTACGGAGAGCCATGGCCGTCGACGATACCCAACGACTTTTCCAGGTCTGGGACTATGTGGTGTTCGGGCTGATGCTGGCCGTGTCAGTTTTCATCGGCATCTATTACGGCTGCACCGGAGGCAAGCAGAAGACGACCAAGGAGTTCCTGCTGGCCGACCGCAACATGAACCCCATCCCTGTGGCCATGTCGCTGGTGGCTAGCTTCATCTCGGCCATCACGGTGCTGGGTACGCCGGCCGAGACCTACATCTATGGCACCATGTTCTGGCTGTTTGGGTTCGCCTACATCTTGACAGGGATCGCCGTGACGAGGTTGTTCCTGCCTGTCTTCTATCGCTTGGGCGTAACCAGTGCAAACGAGGTTTGTCTCTTTTGTTTTGTGTGATTTTTTTTTAAGACGGGCAAAGTGACCCCGACATTTTCGGGTAACATATGTTCAAAGATGAAGGAAAATAGCTGACTATCGGCTCAGGAGCGTTGGTGATTTCATTTCAAAACAAAAACCAAACACAAATTGAAATAAAAAACACACAAAAACCTCCGGAGATGAATCCACCCCAATAAAAGAAAATGTGAGTTCTGGTAATAAATACGGTGCAGATGTAACTCATGAGTGGCATTGTTAACTTTTGCGTACTTCACTGAGTGTTTCATGTCAACCGGCTTCTTGTAAATGTTGAGATGCCCTAAAATGACGACAAATTAAAGACATTGTGAACATATGATCGATTAGAGTGTGGAAGGAATTGTTAAAAGTTGAAAAGATGAACACAGAATGGATAGACTGATATGGATTGCGACAGTAAGGATGCTAAGTGAAATAATATTTGGTAATCAGGACAATGGTGAGTTAGATGATCAGGCGATAGTACTGGTGCTGATAGCTTTGCCGACGTTGACAGTGACCACGACGCAGAACACGGCAGTCACTAGTGTATGACTATGGTAACAAAAAGTTAAGATGATAAGGATTAGATTGAGAGTGAAAGGAAAATAAACAAGAAACTAAAAACCAAAAAACAAAATAAAACAAACCAACCCTGAATACAGAACCCAAACGACAGTGACGAGGCGTGGCATGATACAGAAGAGGACAACGGACAGAGGCATTGTTAAGGTTAAATTAGCTTCAACGATCAGCGTTAGGGTGAACTTTCTGTCACGAGAGAAATTCCATTAATTGGGGGGAAAACTCCTTTCTCTTCACAGTATCTCGAAAAGCGCTTCAACAAGGTGGTTCGTGTTGCAGGAACTCTCACCTACTTCCTTCAAATGGTAGTACCCTGATTTTGTTTTGTCAGTCTAACGCGCAGATAGTGTGACGTTTCCTTCGTTAAATGGCTTTTTCCTATTAGTACAAAAGGTCTTTATATAGCTATATATTACTGGGCGTTGTTTGGTTACAGGGAACAAAGATCAACATTTACAGCTTTGGGACCACTTGGTTAGTTCATACAATTTTTAAAAAATATTTCCAGTAGAGCTCTTTGAGCGTTTAAGTGGAATTTAATGTGAACAAAAGATTGGACACACAGGTTAATGATAGCAAGGCCCAATGGACTAAGATGCAGGTCAACTTGAGCGAACGTTTGCTATTGTGCCTCATGCGAATGCTTTCATCTCTGTTATCTTTTTATTTTAATGTTTTCCCCTTTTTTTGTTGAAGGTCCTTTATATGGGTATAGTCATCTATGCTCCAGCTCTGGCATTTAACGCAGGTGACTAAATTCTAGTTTTATACCTTTTTATGGCTTGAATTATTCGACAGATAAAATGCTTTAATTATTTCTCCTTTACAAGCAGCGCGACAGTTGACAACCATATTCTGCATGGTGTTAATAAAGCCACAGACTCTTATTGAATTGACAGGCACCTTTAGTTTTTTAACCTTGGCAAAACCTACCCGACTCTGGATAATAATGACAGTACCTGGATTTTTGTTTATTTATTTTGTTTTTTTTTTAATTTAATACTTTTTATTGGAATCCGGCGATATGGATTTTTCATGGTATTTTTTCGCGTTGTTTTCCATAAATACAATAGTTCTTTTTGCTGTTTCGTTTTTGCTTTTAAACTGATTGCATACGTCTTCTTCTTGTTCACAGTGACCAATCTCAGCTTGTGGGGGTCCGTGGTTGCCATTGGTGTGGCCTGCACATTTTATACTACAGTTGTAAGTTTAGTAGCTTTTTTTAAAAATCCACATAAAAATGGGGAAAAGCAACCAATCTGAAAAGGCAAAATAATTCTTAAAAACATTCGTTTTAACATTCATAATCTCTTGAAAACTGATAGTGGTTTTAAGTTCAGCAGTTATGTATGAAAAAAAGGTTGGGCTGGAAAGTATGACGTCTGCAGTTTGCCCGACATCACTGCCACGTATCATTTTGCGTGACAAACCTGTATGAATTTGTAAAGAGATATCTTGGTCACGTCTTGCGCTGGTTTTTAAACTTTGGGAGGAATGTTAGCTTGGAGTCCATAAATTGATGGTGTCGATGACGATGGTGATTAAGCAATACCTTACTGCAAAATGCTGAATTGAAGAGTTGAATGGAAATTGTGAATATTTAAGCTGCATCTTCGCCAAATTCTTTCTATAATTGAATAAACTTCTAATACAGGCTCGTGGAGCTTGAAAGGTTATGTACATTTCAGTAAAAGTTGGCGGTGCATGCTTCAGATAAGGCGTGATTCAGACTCAGAAGAAATCTCATGGTTGTTTTGAAACAACTGACCAGGAAAAGGTTGTCAATGAGTTACGATGTTTGCATGAAATATACTGAAGAAGCGCTGTAGAGACTAAACGATTCTTTATATTCGGTTCTTTTTAGGGCGGCATGAAGGCTGTACTTTGGACTGATGCCTTCCAAATGTGCGTAATGATGGCAGGATTTCTGGCCGTCATCATCGAAGGCTCCCTGCGTCTAGGTGGATTCATACAGGTCTGGAAGATTGCAGAGGAAGGAGGACGCATCGATTTCTGGAAGTATGTTGTTGTTTTGTGTCTTGTTTATATTGTGTTGTGCTAATTTGTGTTACATTTTACTACGCGTTGCGCAGATTAATGTTATGTTGTTTTTGTTTTATCATTAAGTTTGAAGTCTATATCTAGGTCCGTTATTGTTTAGATTCTTGCGTTGCAGTACTGCTATTTTGTGTTGCGTTTTATCGCCTTGGTTTACACTGTGCTGTCAGTCAGACGGTTTTGTTTGGTGTGCATTGTCGTCTGTAGGCCCTATAGTTGCCTTTCTGTTTGTTGTCAGTTTTTTGTTATGTCAGATTAGTGCTCCTGTATTAGGCTACCTTCTGTCACTTTATAACATGCCATTGTTGTCTTTCAGTTTTTCTCCAGATCCCTCCATCCGGCATACTTTCTGGTCGGTTGTAGTCGGTGGGTGCTTCACATGGACAGCAACATACGGCGTTAACCAATCACAGGTCCAGCGATACCTGACTGTTGGTAACTTAAGGAGGTCAAGAATGTGAGTGTCAGCCTTGGGGTCCATTATGCACTGTATGTCTGCGTGGACTTTGTGCAGGGAACTAACGATCGCGTAACCAAGGGAGAGAGATGTCAGTTGTGGGATTCACCATTCAAGTACGCACGATTCATAATTGTTCGCTGAGCGCAGAGTAAACAAGTATCACATTTTAAAGGCGCCTTCCATTCCGTATGCTCGTTAACACTTTGTGCCAGCGTTGCGTATTCGACAGCCGAACGCAACGCACACGAGTCGATTTTTTGTCGTACATACATACATGTGGTGAGGCACCTTTTTACTCAGCCTTGAGGGGTGCCAGTGCAATAAGTGCGAAACTATGTCAACCGCCTGTAGAATTCAATGTATGTTTGTATCCACCTGACGATGATGCATATCACGTGTACGGCCTGCTTTGTTAATTTTCGTCTTATAATGTCAGTACAGGAAAAAGTGGCAAGTAGTTACAGGTCAGCATTTTGCTAATTCGACCAAATTCCCATATTTAAATTCCTTGTTGTACAGCTCACTATACCTCGCAACTGTCGGCATGGTAATCGTGGTGTCATGCGCCTGCTCAGCCGGTCTTGTGATGTATTCCTACTACGCCAACCAGCGATGTGATCCCTACACATCCAATCAAATCGACCAAACAGATCAGGTGTGGGCATGTTCTTAGGAATATTTAGTGGATTTACACGAATCACTTGATCCAAATTTGAAAGTCTAATACATGTATTGTGATCCTGGTTTTGGTTGAGTTGGCGTTAAATTTCACGGTGTCCTTTTCTGGCGGTCGGGTTGGATTGGGTTTAGGTGAGTTATGTCGAGTTGGGTTTGGCTATAAGGTGGGGTGAATTTGGGATTGGCTGCATCAACGCTCTCAACTGATAACGTGTATTTCTGATTACATGTCTTGTAGCTTATTCCCATCTTTGTGATGGAACTATTTGGAGGTTTACCAGGCCTGCCTGGGTTGTTTACATCCTCTGTCTTCAGCGCAGCACTGAGGTAAGACTTCGCCTTCTCATCCTGACAGCACTGTTGTCTGTCTCTCCACTTCCCACCCTAATGCTAATTCTACATGTGTACAATAGTGAGAGTCTTAATCTGTCCCATATTTATTCTTCTCAGTACCGTCTCTTCGGGGCTGAACTCGCTGGCAGCAGTGACTGCAGAAGACCTCGTCAGACCCTGTTTCAAGAAGATGCAAGAGGAGCGATACACACTCGTGACTAAAGGGATAGGTCGGTATACGTCATGTGCCTCAGTATACTAGCTCCAGTTGATTTCTGTTTGAGAGTGAAAGCGCCCCGCCTCAATAGAATATTCCCCAGACTGCCTGTCGAGCGAAGCCAGGGCTACTTGAATGTGGTTTGCTGTTATCAGCTCGCGTTTAGTACAGACGTAGCTACTGAATAGGCTACTTGAAGTACATAATTATGTTCAACTTGGTTCGTCTTCAATGCAGCAGTGCAAGTGATTACCTTGAAGGCCTAATTCCCGTGCAGTTGGAAGTTTTTGCAGGTTACTTCCAGGCCGTCCAACTTTCGGTAGTTTTGTTGAATTGGCCGTGGCTAACACAACACAGTGGAGGCAACAGATCATTGACTGAACCTTTAAATATATCTTTTTACACCGATTAAAACGTCCTTCAAGAAGACATCTAGCTATTCAGTTTGGCTAAACTTTGAATTTGTGTAATTTTGTGTGAACTCTCTTCCCCCTTTTTTCTCACTAAATCTTTCATCTGGTTTTTATCATCTACAGCTATGGGATTCGGTTTACTGAGTTTGCTGGTTGCATATATTGTATCTCTCCTAAACAAGGGAGTCCTTCAGGTAAATTTCAGTCGAAATGATTGAAACGTTCTCCCGTTTGTACGCACGTGTATATCGAGATTTGGAGATTTTAGTCTGCGTTAGAATGTTTGGCAAGTACATACTTCACAGCAGTAGTGTGACTAATAAACGTGAAACAAACATAAAGATAAGATCATGGACATCCCTTAAATTTCATAGTCCCGTATACGATCCCGTAGACTTGCCTTGCAGATGGTAAAAAGATACCTTTTTACTTCAGACGTTTGTTTCTTTTTATTCAATGCAGTTGGCTCTAAGTCTCTTCGGCATGACTGGTGGGCCACTAATGGGAGTCTTCAGTCTTGGAATGTTCTTCCCTTGGTCTAACTCGAAGGTAGAACATCGCTATGATCTATTTACACAGAGACCATCTCATATCGTTGCTATGTCGCTTCACCGTGCCTCTCCCATGCAAAAAGATCATCTTTCTCCAGTTGTTATCCAGCAATCCCAATGAGTACTCTTGTGTTTTCTTTTCCTTAACGTTCGTGGGGTCAGCCCCGCTGCAAATTCCATGCATTTCACTCTAACTCTCTGTCTCCACAAGAGAACGCTTCACCTGCACCACCTCAATCATCCCCGTAGGCATTGCTCTAAACGTGATCATCGCCCTAACCACCATCTTTGTTTCTTCGATGTCATTACCACCTCTGCCTGTGTGGCCGCGTCCATACAAAACTGTGTACTGTCGGGGTACCACTGTTCATTCCACTGAAATTACACACCGACATATGGTCATCTACTATCAACACAGCAGTGGCGTAGCTAGGATTTTACTAGTGGGGGGCACCAGAATCTTGGGGGAGGGCACCAGCTTTCAGTGGTGTGGCTTTCTGGGGCAAGCTTTTATTAGCTTTGCTCAATATCCATTCATCCGTTTTTGTGTGGGGGGAGGGCACCTTGGGGCACCGGGAATGGGGGGGGGGAGCACGTACCCCTAGCCCCCCCCCGGTGGCTACGCCACTGCAACACAGACTGCTAATTCACTAACTTTCGACAGCTCAACAATTCATCACATTCAACTGGCATGCCTCATGCCACAAAATCCGGTATTCGGACCCAAATCGTCCACACTATATGAATGGATCCTTTGTAATGATTAACACCCCGCCAGGGTGCTCTGACTGGTCTCATCTGCGGGCTCGCCATGGCCTTCTGGGTGGGCATCGGCGCGCAGATCTACCCGCCGGAGGTCTACAAGCCCCCGCTTGTCATCGACGGCTGCTACTCTACGAACGCAACCAACTCCACGTTCGGTGGTATGGGCTCGACGGCCATGTCAGGCTTTACAACTATGCCGCCTACCGAGGAACCCAGGTATTCCAGACTGTCGTAGATTCAGAGGGACCCATTGAACATATAAAACAGGCACATTTTAGTGAGGAGTCTGAAATTCCAGAACGTTAAAATAGCAAGACTGAGAGAGCCCAAATTAGTTGTCAATCATCACAGAGCTTACATATTACACCCCGGAGGTTTGCTGAAGCCATACAAACTCGTCTAAGAGTTAACTGTCAATTCTAACATGGAAGTATGACCTGACCTTTTGTAAGGGTTACTTATCTTGTTGATCCTTACAAATATCTTGTGAACCACATCCGCCAGAAGTAGAATTTCACTCAAACATATCAAATGTCTCATTTCCCGAAGGCCCGCCATTGCTGCTTTGTACACTCTGTCATACTCATGGTACAGCTGCACGTATTGGCTGATCACTGTGGTTGTCGGCCTGCTCGTCAGCTTCCTAACCGGTGAGGCAATTGGTTGAGTTCATCCACAAGCTTTTTTGTTATAATTGGAATAAAAAGATAGATTAGATTAACAGTTAGTTAAGGCCGTCAAGTGACAAAGTGAGTCTTCCACAGCTAGTAAAGGAATTATCACTGATGAGATTTTATCTGGTACAAAATACATTCGCAAGAAGCAACCACACAACGCATACAACGTTCGTTTAAGACTGGCCAGCACATTTTATTCCCATTAATAAATACATTTTTGAGCCAGAGAGTCAAAGCTAATTTAAAAGTTACACATTTTCAACGATTTTATTCAACAAGTTAACTTTTTTTCCCCCAAATACCCCTCAAGCAAAGTTTTGGAATTTTCGTCTTGTGAGTAGTCATAGGTAGTCTCCGTATATGGAAATACGCGCGAGCGTGACGCCTTCTTTTATCAACCGTTGAAGACCAGCCACGTGACGGGCTGTCAGCCAGTAGAAATAGTTAAAATAGCTTAGGTGTTTACGAATAAGTGTTCATAATTACCGTTAGCATGTGAAAAAAATTTCTGCCGTGTTTTAATTTAATGATAATAACACCTATATGAGTTTTGATGCCCATTTGTTTTTAATACAGGAGCCAACAAGTCTAGTGATAACGACCCGATGCTATACCAACACATCGCCGATGCATGCTACTGTTGCCTGCCGGAAGTTATTAAAAAACCCATGCGCTGTGGACAGGACAAACTGGTGAGAAGGGGGACCAATATTAATGAGGAGGATGTGAAGGCATTGGTACTATATATTGACAAGCAAGCAAGCAAACCAAAAGCAAACAAATTAGTCAAACATTTTCTGTCGTCGAAGGTGACGTAACGTTCACGGTACCAGAGTTCAAAGAAGCCATGCTAAGCTCAGAAATTTGGCTGCGGCTTAAAATACCACAAGACTCTATGGGGACCAAGCTGCCGTAACTGTCCCAGACTCCTGCGTAGTTTCATTCTGGTAACAGCCTATTTGCCTTGCCAAAACATATGCCTCTTTCTAGGTAGAACTAAGTTCAACCTCGCGTGCTGGACTTATATATCCATTTACTTTTACATCACCGGCAGTACGAACTGAATGCTGTTTGTTTTATGTTCCTTAGGAATACGAGGACGATGATGACACAAAGGACACTGCATACTGCGTGAAAGAGGTTGATGGCGTCAAAACGTCGCAGGACTTCCAAATGAATGACTACAACGGAGTGGGGACGATTACCAATATGAAGTACATACCCAAACCGGATAATCCAGAGGAGAACACCTACGATAATCCCGTTGAAGTCTACTCGGAGCAGCCCGCCACTGAAATGTAGGCCAAGTGTCTTTGCCTCCCTGCGCATGTTGATGAGCCCCCTGACGCACTGGCCGTGTCCAACGCTACTGGCTACGGCTGTGTGAAACACGATTCTTGATGGGACCTGCATGGTTGCAGCCTTAACCAAAATACCTTCCACGGGCGCCTGTATTAATTCTACAGCCGTACCCATAGTTGAGACAGACGTAGATATCAAATCCTAGTCTTGATGTCGAAGTACCGGTTCCTTTTTGGAATAACAGCCTCACTGTGTAATACTGAAGTCGTCTGGAGAAAACAAGCTAAAGAACAAGGGAACACGGGCATCTGGGGGTTACACGCACACAGGCAAGATTTCAAAATAAAATAATGAATATTCAGACCATCACCATTTTATAAAAAATAAGTTTTCTGACACAGGTACTGAAAAGTACTTGATTGGGAAATTTGCAAATACACTAATCCTTAAAATCAATTTGAAGTATAAAAGGGGGTGTCTGAAGTCCTTCATTTATTTATCAATCTTACCTTTTGTGCATTTAGCATCAATATCCATTGTTCTCTTGCTTTTTTCTCTCTCCAAACCAATTCAATATTTATTGAACTTGGTTGACGGCGAATTCTCCACGACAACACTGCTTAATGCAGGAATGCCCAACTCTGTATGTTTGGTGTGTACATGTAAATAGCCACATATGACGACGCTTGTAAAGCAACGGTGTGCTGCTTCCCAGCTCAACGTCTGCTGCCCACGGACCGAACACCTTGAGTGGTATTTTGGCCAGACCCCTGGGTTGAAGACCACATGTAAATTACCTTCCGTTCCCGTAGTACCAAGAAACTCCCGATGAAGCCATGCAAATTTGATCCAAATTTGAACAAACGAAAGCTTCTTATGTTTATATTTTATTGATTTTAAGCACCAGTCACAGGTCATAAACTGCAAATGTTTGCCAAGTGCTAAGATTTTAATATGCTACTTCCAATGAAGTAGTCTTATATTGTGAACCCCCCCCAAAAAAAAAAATCAGTACGTTTGGGTATTGCCATCCGTAGCAAATCGACGAGAATTAATCGTCATGACGAAAATTAATAAAATCACCGTTCATCTGCTAGTAGAGGAATATATCAAAGGCTCATTTGCTGTCATTATACAGGAAGACTCCATTTGGTGTACAGTAAATTAGAGGGTTAAAACGTCAAATGTTGCCTGCCTTGTGAATGTAAAGTTTAATCATGAACTTACTTTTTCATTTTTGATGTATCTTTATTAAACCAAAGAACACTTTGCAACGTTTTAGATGATAACGAATGAACGTTCTTTGTATGACCAGTAACTTCCTCACTTTTGTAATGAATTTTTGTTTACTGGCTAACACACCAAATTGTTTTAATCGTTTTAATTTTATCGTTAAGTAAGTAGGTTTTAGAAAATCTGACCGATCTTCCGTTTCTTAAAGGAGTACGCTGCTAGAGCTTGTTATACGAGTATTTCATGTTAAAGAGTGGAAATAAATGTATCTAAATAATTTTCCCGCCCAATTGGAATTTTTTTTTCTGTCGTTTCGGTGCTGCATGCGTAAAGTTTGCGTTTATAACCTGGATCCAGGCAATGCCCTTCAAGTGCACAATACAGGTCCTTACGCAACAGATGCGAATCTTTTCATTGTTCACAAAGCCGGCAACTTCATTAAGTATGCGGTGTGCAGCGTGCACTTGCAAACCGACCCGGACTCCATGGGCTGCCTGCGCATTCCTTCAGTAGATCGCGCAAGGCATGTTGGGAACCAACGTGACGCGGCAAGATCGTACCCATGGGAACGAGGTGACTTGGAAATTTTCTACATTTGCTAGTAAAATGGTGGTGCATCATTGTACGCACTTACTGACATGTTTCATTAGACGCTGTCGGGTGCGCGGTTGATGTAAAGGGTATGCGATTGCCTCGTAGATTAAATTCGTTAAAAATAGGAAATAAATCGTTCGGCTGTTCTATCAATAGTAAAGCATCGTTTCCTTCTTAACATTGGAAATGTTAGAACATTAGAAATTCATCATTCAAAATGGGTAAAAATATTGTTGATAGCTGCGAAAAGAATAAAAGCCATTTTGCTACCGAGATGGGGGAGCTTGGCCTGGCTGAGATGATGTAATCAAAGACACCTGCAATATACACTAAGTAATATTCTTGCCATACTTTTGGAAATTCACATATATTATTTAGGTTTAAAAGACCGCCAGAGACATAAACTTAATCCAGGCCTGCTTTTCATGCAGGTGGTCTCCAGGATGACAGTTCTGTGAAGACCTCGTTGTCAGAGCCAGGAGCCTTGCCAGTACCACTCTGGTGCCCAGTGGCACATATGGCCTTGCCAACGTCATTATTGTCCGCGGCGTAATTGATTGAACCATGTTTGACCTCCTCGACCTCCGCCCTCTATGCCTCTTCGTCTTTGTAATCCTGAAAAAGCAAGACCGCATTGCTCACCTTTGAAAGCTTGTTCCCCGGTGATTGAAACATCTTCTAGAGTCTACACGCGCATATTTTACCGGGTTTTCGTCCCTGCATCGTAATGTCTTCTTAATCACTTCTGGGAGAGAGCAATAAAGACCGTCTACGCAATGCGACCAAAGGATAGGGTCAGTGTCTTCCCTCTTGGCGGCACCTTGAGTACGGGGAAAAAATCCAAAATTGTAGAAAATAAGCCGGAGGTTCTCATTTTAGTTTTAATTGTTTCGGAGTTTTATAAATAAAGTTTAGGCGTTAATAGCTAATAAATGCGGTGTGCGGTTTAGGAGTTTCAAGAAGAGAGATGTTGTCCTTTAGGACGGACGTCCCCGAAGCACTTTCACAAGTCTGGCAGAAATCATGGCGTTGATACTGTGAAAACGCTCACATGAAGCCGCTTGACTTCCTCAACGATGGATCGACTCAACCTATACCGGTTTTAGCAGGGAGCTGCCACACACCCGTAATATGCCTTGGTTGAGCAACAAGGTATATATGCAGCAGGCCGAATCCAAGTGCTGAAATTCAACGCAGTGTAACACAAACAGCTCGATATAGATGGCAGGGAAATCAATCGAATCGAGGGGGAGTGTAATGTTCTTTGAATACCTTGAGAAATGTCCACTAATTGGAGAGAATATCCGTTTACTGCCTGTAGTTCCCAAGATCTAATACATTTACTCTTATATGCTAATTGCAACCTTTGTTCTGTTTACATCGTAGGTTAACCTCGGATAGATGTATATGTGACCTTTGACACCTTGACATTAGACACCTTGCGCTCTCAGCAGTGAGATTTGCATACGGAGCGTGGTACCGCAAAGGATTATGGGGCGATCTGATTACACGCGCGAAACAGGCGAAAATAACTGTGGGCATAATATCAGTAAGAGATGTCAGATAAGAATTAAAGTGGACAACTGCCAAAACTTAGTCCATTGCATTGGTCAGTGATACACAATTCTCGTGCACTAGTCTTACTCTGAAGTGAACCATCAAGTGAACCTTTTCATCATGGATGAATCAGATCAACGTGAAACCTCTCCTGACATTGGAAACAAAAGGAACCTTCTCTGCATGATGTTGACTGCATTTTATGGTAAAGACAAGGCAATGTCGCAACTCACCCGATTTGATGATAATGGGGCCAGAGATGAGATCCAGCCCAATGACAGTAGTTGGAACCAGAGTATCAGCCTTCGCCATGAAAATAAACTGAGCGAAGTAGCGTAATACCTGCAAAGTCTGCAGCACTTCAACGAAGAAACAAACTGGAGCAACGAAAACGCCTCCTCCAGAGAGAATTAGAATTACGAGCAGCACAGGATGAGATACGGCGAGCACAATAAAGGGCTGTGATGCTACAGCGCCGACTATATATGGAAGAAGAAGCAAAACGATCGAACAAGAAGAAGAGATAGATCTCAAGGCAGAGCTTCATGCTACCCGAGAAATGTCCAGGATGCTTGAACAACCAGAGAATTTAGAAACATATTCTCAAACATCAAAGAACCTTGCAGAAGAAATTGTGAAAGGCATTCTACCAAGGTTGACCCACACAGCTCCGCTGACGAACAACATTAAAAAATCACATGGCCAGCTAAAACCAAACACCAGTTCCTTTTTTATGGCAAAGAGGGAATTGAAAGAAGCTGAGATGCCCCAACAAATGGGACCATCTGCGACACACACAGCTGCCCAAGCTACAAGGAAGTAACATTCCACGTGTTACTTTGATAATTGGAATGAATGTTCCGGCTGCATCCACACCCCTACAGATGTCATGCAGTAAGATCGATGTGCCGTATGCCATCAATTCGCCATTGGGTTGGCTAGTTTATGGCCTGTCTGGATAGTTGAAGGGCCAGAATGACGTGAACATGAACGTCTGTCGAATTGGCAATAGCTCACTACGGAATACCCAGGATAGTCCTTCGCAGCAGTTCGAGAGAAATAGGAATATGGCATTTGCAGAGAGACTCAGTGACGGGCAACCATACCCCTCAGAAGACTACAAGAAGTTCCTCTGCATAATGGAAGAATCAATAACAAAACAAGATGGGCATTATCAGACTACACTTCCACTCCGAGATACAAATGCGAAATTGCCTGACAGATGCCTACCAGCTGAAGTGTATGCTGGGTGCCTACGAAAAAGGCTAATGGAGGATGGAGTGCTGAAGGAGCAGTACAGTGAGCTCATGACTAATCTCACTGGTAAAGGTTATGCAGAAGTGTCACAGCAGCCCGAATCCAGTGGTGGGAGAATGTGGTACGTTCCGCATCATAGAATTCACCACCCTCACAAACCAGACAAGATCAGGGTTGTATTCAACTGCCCAGCCATGGTAGAAGGCACTTCCCTCAATGACCAACTCCTTCAGGCACTAGATATGACAAATCTGCTGTATGTTGTCCTGGTCAGATGGCGCCAAGAACCAGTTTGCTGTGAAGGCAGACATAGAATCTATGTTCTACTAAGTGAGGGTACAACCTGAGGACCGTGACCTTATGTGCTACCTATGGTTGTCAGACAGTGATCTAGATGCCGAAATACAGGAATACAGGATGTCTCAGTACATCTTTTTGGGGTAGTTTCATCACCAAGTTGCGCCATTTGTGAACTAAGAAAAACAGCCAACGATACGAAGGGGAGATACAACCCAAAAGTCACCAATGCTATTCATCACAATTTGTATGTGATGACTTCCTTAAATCAGTACCAACAGAAGACGAGGCCAATAGTCTGGTTTGAGAAATCCGCCAAGCCCTAGCAGAAGGTGGGTTTCGCCTCACAAAATTTCTAAGTAACAGCCTGGCAGTGCTGCAGACGATTCTGGCTGATGAGAGGGCAAAATTATAAAAGATCTGGGACTGCACAGTGATCCCCTTCCGGTGGAACGTGCACTTGGTGTGAAATGGTGCGTCGAAACGGATCCATTAGAACTTGGTCTTAAACTAGTGAATCCGAAAGCTACCAGAAGAAACATCTTATCTGTACTGAGCTCTGTGTATGGCCCGCTGGGATTAACCTCTCCTTATGTCCTTCAAGCCACGGTGATTTTGCAGTCACTCCCTAAAGAACAAGTAGGCTAGGCTGTCACGAACCGATTTTCAGGCAAGTAACATGGGAAAGGTGGCCGAAAGACCTGCCAAACTTGGAGGATGTGCAACTGAACCGATGCTACAAGCCCAATGAATTTCGACAGGCTGTGTGTGCAGCTGCATCATTTTGCAGATGCCGGCCAAGATGGACACGGTACCCAGACGTACCTCAGATCTGTTACGAGAAAAACCAGATGCACTGTGAGTTTGCAAGTGCACAGGCCCGAGTTGCCCCCTGAAAGTGCACACAATTGTGAATATATGGCTATGTAAGAGCTAGTTAGTTTGGAATATAAGTATTTTAGCTTTGTTTTTCTGGAAGAAAAAACAATGAAAACCTCATTGGGAGGGACCAAGCCTCTGATTCCCCCTCCCTGCGGGTGCACTACTGGTTTCATTCTAATCCAATAAAGGGCTTTTATGACCACTTGCCATTTTGTTTTGGTAGTTTTCTCCGCTGTTTTACGACGTTCTGAAGGCAGAATGTAGCCCCCAATGACATGGAGAATATGTCATACACGCCCCCAACCATTTTTGCGTATGATTAATTTTTGATCTTTGGCACACGATCTGTTTACTGCGTTTGTTTGTTCTTTAGAGAAAAGATCAAAAGGCACCGAAGACAACCTGATTTTCAGCCGTAATATGCTGGGAATACAATGCACATGGGCTCAACAAATTACCACTCTAGTTTCTGTACCTCACAAGTACAAGGAATGTTCTTTGTGAGAAGAACATAAAACATCGCACAAGTACCATAAACAATACATCATAAACACACGCAATGACTTTTTACATAGATTTTGTGCTACGGGTTGCATGAGTTGCCTTGTCACTGTGACGATGCTGAAGTTTTTGTTGAATCAACTAAACTGAATCATTACCATTAATCCTGGAAGAACCAACTTTGGTCCTCGCGTAATTCAGAGCGTCTTACGGAGAACCATGGCTGTTGACGACACCCAACGACTTTTCCAGGTCTGGGATTACGTGGTGTTCGGGCTGATGCTGGCCGTGTCAGTCTTTATCGGCATCTATTACGGCTGCACCGGCGGCAAGCAGAAGACGACCAAGGAGTTCCTACTGGCCGACCGCAACATGAACCCCATCCCTGTGGCCATGTCGCTGGTGGCTAGCTTTATCTCAGCGATCACGGTGCTGGGCACACCGGCCGAGACTTACATCCACGGCACCATGTTCTGGCTGTTTGGGTTGGCCTACATCTTGACAGGGATCGCCGTTACAAGGTTGTTCCTGCCTGTCTTCTATCGCTTGGGTGTAACCAGTGCAAACGAGGTTTGTCTCTTTTGTTTTGTGTGTGCATGTTCTAAAACAGGCAAAGTAACACCGAAGAGAAAATAGCTTACTATCGGCTCAGGAGCGTTGGCGATTTTATTTCAAAACAAAACCAAATTCAAAAATAAATAAAAAATCACGCAAAACTTTCAGAAGTAATAACAATAAAAGGAAATGCAAGTTCTGGTAATAAGTACGGTGCAGATGTAACTTATAAGTGGCAGTGTTAATTTTTGTGCATTTCACTTAGTGTTTTATGTCAACCGGCTTTTTGTAAATGTTGAGATGCCGTAAAATGACGACAAATTAAAGGCATTGTGAACACATGATCGATTGAAGTGTGGAAGGAATTGTTAAAAGTTGAAAAGGTGAACATAGAATGGATAGACTGATACATATTGCGACAGTAATGATGCTAAGTGACATAATTTTTGGCAATCAGGACAATGGTGAGTTAGATAATCTGGCGATAGTACTGGTGCTGATAGCTTTGCCTGCGTTGACAGTGACCACGACGCAGAACAAGGTAGTCACCAGTGTATGACAATCGCAACAAACGGTGAAGATGACAAGTATTAGGTTGACAATAAAAGCAAAATAAAAAAACAAAAACAAAAACAAAAAAACCCAAAAAACAAACCCCCCCCAAAAAAGCCCCAGAATATAGAACCCAAATGACAGTGACGAGGCATGATATGGGAGAGTTTTCAACGATCAGCGTTAAGGTGAACTTTCTATCACGAGAGAAATTTTATTAATTTGGGGGAAAACTCCTTTCTCTTCACAGTATCTCGAAAAGCGCTTCAACAAGGTGGTTCGTGTTGCAGGAACTCTCACCTACTTCCTTCAAATGGTACTACTGTTATTTTGTTTATGGTCCATGCTTGCTTACTGCCCTCTACAAATTGTATGGGCATAACCTGAATTTGCTATGCAGTTTGTAATAAACTAATATTGACATAATGGAGTAGTTACAACAAACTTTTAGAGATAACCCAATCACTTAGTCTGTCTTTCATGTTTTCACAGCCTAATTTCACGAATTGAAACGAAACGAATATGCTCATAAGTTAGCACTAGCCGGAAAATATTTAGTGTTCAACTCTAAAATGATATAAGAAATTTACAATAAAAAAGTTACCATCATTGGACAGAATGCCAAATCTCCCGCTTTTAAATGTTGGGAGAAAATGCACCACGCTGGCTCGTTTCTACCACAACATTGGGGGAAGGGGGGATTGGGATTAAAACCAACAACATTTGACACATTCTTTAAATCAAACTAGTCAATTCGACTATATTTTCTGCACCATGCTGGCTCGTTTCTCCGACACAACATTGAAAGTGGGGAATAGGGATTTCTAGTCAACTGGAATAAAAACCAACAAAAATAGGCAAACTGTTGACAGATTTAAGGAATCTTAAGAGTGAAATTTCTCACAGCATCGAACGACACACATTGGCTTATTACACGTCTTACACTGCGGGGTTGCCTTCTCTGGGCTTTGGTACTGCAAACAACACACATGAGCTTTTGCTTAGTCTTCCCTGGAAAACACTGTACATCTTCTGACACACAAGGGATGCTCTTGTGCACGTGTCCGGCACCTCCACTCTTTCCTGCTGACAGTAGGCCTTGGATCAGATAGAGTCGAAAGTCAAAATTTTACAGTCCACGGTTGGTGTTAAGACTATTATAAGACTTGCATTTTGAACACATATGCTTAGAAGAGCTAAAAATACTCGTTTCCACCACTTCACCCATCTGTGAGCATATGCATAGTACAGACACTGCTGTGATGCAGGATCGGTTCCTCACATATGTTTGTTGTACTCAGTGACAGTATTTGTTTTTGTTTTTGTGAAGGTCCTTTATATGGGTATAGTCATCTATGCTCCAGCTCTGGCATTTAACGCAGGTGACTAATTTCTAGTTTTGTGCCTGTTTTTATGGCTTGAATTATAGGACAGATAAAATACTTTAATCATTTCTCCCTTTGCAAGCAGCGCAACAGTTGACAACCATATTCTGCACGGTGTTCAAAAAGCCACAGACTCTTATTGAATTGACAGGCACCTTTATTTTTTAATCTTGGCAAAACCTACCCGAATCTGGATAATAATGACAGTACCTGGATTTTTATTTATTTATTTTGTTTTTTTTAAATTTAATACTTTTTATTGGAATCGGGAGATATGGATTTTTCATGGTATTTTTTCGCGTTGTTTTCCATAAATACAATAGTTCTTTTTGCTGTTTCGTTTTTGCTTTCAAACTGATTGCATTCGTCTTCTTCTTGTTCACAGTGACCAATCTCAGCTTGTGGGGGTCCGTGGTTGCCATTGGTGTGGCCTGCACATTTTATACTACAGTTGTAAGTCATAGCTTTTTAAAAAAAAATTAACGTATAATGGGGAAAAGTAACTGATCAAAAAAGCCAAAATAATTGTTAAAAACAACGTCTTTTAGCATTCATTGAATTTCAGTGAAAGTTGACTTTGCATGTTTCAGATAAGGCATAATTCAGACTCAGAAGAAATCTTAGGGTTGTTTTGAAACAACTGACCAAGAAAAGGTCGTCAATGAGTTGCGATGTTTGCATGAAATAAATTGAAGAAGCGTTGTAGAGACTACACGATTTTTTATATTCGTTTCTTTTTCTTAGGGCGGCATGAAGGCTGTACTTTGGACTGATGCCTTCCAAATGTGCGTAATGATGGCAGGATTTCTGGCCGTCATCATCGAAGGCTCCCTGCGTCTAGGTGGATTCATACAGGTCTGGAAGATCGCTGAAGAAGGAGGACGCATCGACTTCTGGAAGTATGTTGTTGTGTTGTGTCGTGTTTATATTGTGTTGTGCTAATTTGTTAAAATTTACTACGCGTTGCGCAGATTACTGTTGTGTTGTTTTTGTTTTATTATTAAGTTTGAAGTCTAGTTCTAGGTTTGTTATTGTTTAGATTCTTGCGTTGCAGTACTGTTATTTTGTGTTGCGGTTAATCGCGTTGGCTTGCACTGTGCTGTCAGTCAGACGGTCTTGTTGGTTTGCACTGTCATCTGTAGGCTCTATAGTTGCCTTTCTGTTATTTTCTCAGTTTTTGTCGATATGTCAGATAAGTGCTCCGATCTTACCTTCTGTCACTTTATAACATGCCATTGTTGTGTTTCAGTTTTTCTCCAGACCCCTCTATCCGGCATACTTTCTGGTCGATTGTAGTCGGAGGGTGCTTCACATGGACGGCAGGATACGGCGTTAACCAATCACAGGTCCAGCGATACCTGACGCTTGGAAACTTACGGAGGTCCAGAATGTGAGTGTCAGTCTTGGAGTCCATTATACCGTACCGGTATGTCTGCGTGGACTTTGTGCAGGGAACCAACGATCGCGTTATCAAGGGAGAGAGATGTCAGTTGTGGGATTCACCATTCAAGTACGCACGATTTATAACTGTACGCTGAGCACACAGTATACGCTTATCGCCCTTTGAAGACGCCTTTCCATACCGTATACCCGTCAACACTTGCGCCAGGGTTGCGTATCCGACAGCCAAACGCAACACCCACGTGTGCTATGTTGATGAAGTCGATTTTTGTGTCCGTGTAGGTGAATCGCATGAACCTATCGTGTACGCAACGCACCCCAAATACACACATGTGGTAAGGCGCCTTTTACATGACCAGTACTGAGGGGTGCCAATGTAATAAGTGCGAAACTGTTCTGGCAACCGCCAGTATTATTCAATGTATGTCTGTATCCAGCTATCGATGGTGCTTATCACGTGTACGGCCTGCTTTGTTAATTTCCGTCTTACAATGTCAGTACAGGAAAAAGAGGCAAGTAGTTACAGGTCAGCATTTTGCTAATTCGACCAAATTCCCATATTTAAATTCCTTGTTGTACAGCTCACTATACCTCGCAATTGTCGGCATGATAATCGTGGTGTCATGCGCCTGCTCAGCCGGTCTTGTGATGTATTCCTACTACGCCAACCAGCGATGTGATCCCTACACATCCAATCAAATCGACCAAACAGATCAGGTGTGGGCATGTTCTTAGGAATATTTAGTGGATTTACGTGAATCATTTCATCCAAATTTGAAAGTCTAATATTGTGATCGTGGTTTGGGTTAGTTGGTGTTAAATTTCACTGTCCTTTTCTGGCCGTCGGATGGATTAGGTTGGCCGATTATGTCGAGTTGGGTTTGGCAATGAGGTGGGGTGAATTTGGGATTGGCTGCATCACCGTTCCCGACTAATAACTTTTACTTCTGATTACATGTCTTGTAGCTTATTCCCATCTTTGTGATGGAACTATTTGGAGGTTTACCAGGCCTGCCTGGGTTGTTTACATCCTCTGTCTTCAGCGCAGCGTTGAGGTAAGACTTCTCTTTCGACTTTTCACGCCCACAGTACTCCTTTCTGTGGTTCAATCTACTTTCCAACCGTTATGTAAATTTTACATGCAAAGATACAGTATATGTGTAAAGTATCTGTATGTGTAGAAATTTGTTCCATGTCTCTTCTTCCTAGCACTGTCTCCTCGGGGCTGAACTCGCTCGCGGCAGTGACTGCGGAGGACCTTGTCAGACCCTGTTTCAAGAATATGCAAGAGGAGCGATACACACTCGTAACTAAAGGGATAGGTCGGTATACGTCATGTGCCTCAGTATACTAACTCTGTCGGGTTGATTTCTGATTGAGAGTGAAAGCGCTCAGCCCCGATAGAATATTCCCCAGAGTGCCTCTCCGGTTCTTTGCATGTGAAGACTCGGCTACTTGACTGTGGCTTACTGTTACCACCTCTTGTTTATTGCAGACATAGCTACTGAATACTTGAAGTACTTAATTAATCCTCAGTGCAAGCGATTACCTTGGAGGCCTAATTCCCGTGGAGTTGGAGGTGTTCACTAATTGGCTAATTCCAGGCCATCCAGCTTTCGGTAGCTTTGTCGAGTTGACTGTGGCTTACTCAACACAAAGAGGCAACAGATCACTGACTGGACCTTTAAATATATATATATTTTTACACTGATTAAAATGCCCTTTAAGAAGACATCTAGTTATTCATTTTGGCTTAACCTTGAAATTGTATAATTTTGTATTCTCCTCCCCCCCTTTTTCACTAAATCTTTCGTCTCGTTCTGGTATCATCCACAGCTATGGGATTCGGATTACTAAGTTTGCTGGCTGCGTACATTGTATCTCTCCTAAACAAAGGAGTCCTTCAGGTAAGTGAAAGTCGAAATGGTGAAACTTTTTCAGGTTTGTAAGCACGTGTACATCGAGATTTAAAGATTTTAGTCTGCTTTAGAATGTTTTGTCTACTACCAGGTATAATAATGTGCATCAAATGGAAGCCATGACGCAGTCTCGTAAATACTACCCAGCAGTAGTTTGATTAATAAATCTTAACATGAAACTAATACAGATAAGATCATGGACATCCTTAAAATTTAATATTGCCTTATAAGATTTTGTAGACTAGCCTTGCAGATTGTAAAAATGTACTTTAGCTGTTCGTTTCTTTTCTGTTCGATGCAGTTGGCTCTAAGTCTCTACGGCATGACGGGCGGGCCACTGATGGGAATCTTCAGTCTTGGAATGTTCTTCCCTTGGTCTAACTCGAAGGTAGAACATTGCCATAATCCATTTACACAGAACCCTTCTCATGTCTTGCAATGCACTTCACTGTGCCTCTTCCATGCAAAAAGATGTTTTGGTTTCTTTAACGTTCGTGGGGTCAGCCCCGCTGCAAATTCCATGCATTTCACTCTTAACGCTCTGTCTCCACCAGAGAATGCTTCACCTGCACCACCTTAATCATCCCCGTAGGCATTGCTCTAAACGTGATCAACGCCCTGACCACCATCTTTGTTGTCATATTCGATGTCATTATCACCTCTGCCTGTGTTGCCGCGTCCATACAAAAACTGTACATAGAATCATCGCTGTGTACTGTCAGGGTGCCACTGTTCATTCCTCAGGCCCTACACACAGACACATGGTCATCTACCATCAACACATTCTCTTCGACCGCTAATTCACTAACTTTCGCCAGCTCAAACTTTTCTACACATTCAGCTGGCATGCTTCACGCCACCAGTCGGGGTATTTGGATCCTAATCATCCACACTATTCTAAATGATTAACACTCAATTACACAATGATTAACACTCCCTCCATAATCCTCCAGGGTGCTCTGACTGGTCTCATCTGCGGACTCGCCATGGCCTTCTGGGTAGGCATTGGCGCGCAGATCTACCCGCCCGAGGTCTACAAGCCCCCGCTTGTCATTGACGGCTGTTACTCTACGAACGCAACCAACTCCACGTTCGATGGTATGGGCCCGACGGCCATGCCAGGCTTTACAACTATGACGCGTAACGAGGAACCCAGGTATTCCAGACTCTCGTAGACTCAACCAGAGGGACCCATTGAACATAATAGGCACGTCTAAGTCCAAAATACTCTGAGAAGGTTTGCTGAGCCCGTACAAGCTCGTCCTAAAGTTAACTGCCAATTCCAACATGGAAGTGTGACCTGATCTTGTTTAAGAGTTGCTTAACTTGTTCATCATTAAAAGTATCCGTAAACCATATCCGCCAAATGTATAATTTCACTCAAACTTAACGAATGTACGTACGTGCTATTCTGACAAAGGTAATATGGAAGCCACACGTTAAGCTAAGAAAGACATCCCCACACCACGTGCAAATCTTTCCCGAGCATTATTTTCAAGCATTATGTATTATCAATGCGTTGTGTCATTTCCTGAAGGCCCGCCATTGCTGCTTTGTACACTCTGTCATACTCATGGTACAGCTGCACGTATTGGCTGATCACCGTGGTTGTTGGCCTGCTCGTCAGCTTCCTAACCGGTGAGGCAATTGGTTGAGTTCATTTATAGGCTATATTGTTATAATTGGAATAAAAATATAGATTAGATTAACAGTTAGTTAAGATTGTCAAGTGACAAAGTGAGTCTTCCACAGCTAGTAAAGGAATTATCACTGATGAGATTTTATCTGGTACAAAATACATTCGCAAGAAGCAACCATACAACGCATGCAACGTTCGTTTCAGACTGGCCAAGCACATTTTATTCCTATTCATAAATACATTTTTGAGACAGAGAGTCAAAGCAGGTTTAAAAATTACACATTTTCAACGATTTTATTCAACAAGTTTCCCTTTTCCCCCGAATACCCCTCAAGCAAAGTTTTGGAATTTTCTTCTCGTGAGTAGTCGTAGGTAGTCTCCTCATATGGAAGTACGCGCGAGCGTGACGCCTTCTGCGTGGGGTATGCACAGCCAGCTGGTGTTTTGTTAACTGTCGAAACGGTTAATAAGTATTAATAATTAGAGTGAAAACATGAAAAATATTTCTGCCCTCCAACTGTTAGCTTTGACGAGAGTAATAAAACACCTACATGAGTTTTGGCGTCCATTTGTTTTTAATGCAGGAGCCAACAAGTCTAGCGATAACGACCCGATGCTATACCAACACATCGCCGATGCATGCTACTGTTGCCTGCCGGAAGTTATTAAAAAACCCATGCGCTGTGGACAGGACAAACTGGTGAGAAGCGGGACCAATATTAATGAGGAGGATCTGTAGGTATTGGAACTATTTGTTGACAAGCAAGCAAGAAAACCAAAGTCAAACAAATCAGTCAAACATTTCCTGTCGTCCGAGGTGACGTAACTCTTACGGTATCAGAGTTTAATAAAAAGGCCTTGCTAAGCTCAGAAATTGCCGAAGCAAACATAGGGTCGCTTCCGAATCACTTGGCTGCGGCTTGAAATAACACATGACTATATGGGGGCCTAGCTGCCGTCATTGCCATGGCTCGGACTCCTGCGCTTGATATAATAACAATAAGTGCCGCTGTACCAGGAAATTGTAAAGGGGTATATATCCATTTACTTTTACGTCACCGGCAGTACGAACTGAATGTTGTTTGCTTCATGTTCCTTAGGAATTCGAGGAAGATGATGACACAAGGGACATTGCATACTGCGTGAAAGAGGTTGATGACGTCAGGACGTCGCAGGACTTCCAAATGAATGACTACAACGGAGTGGGGATGATTACCAACTTGAAGTACGTACCTAAGCCGGATAATCCGGAGGAGAACGCCTACGATAATCCCATTGAAGACGACTCGGACCAACCCGCCACTCAAATGTAGGCCAGGTGTCTTTGCCTCCCTGTGCATGTTGATGAGCCCGATAAAAACATGCAAATTTGGTCCAAATTTGAAAAATAACAAGAGCTTGGGTTGTTTATACTTCATTAATTTCAAGTACTAGTCACAAGTCACAAACTGCAAATGTCTGCCAAGTGCTACTATTTCAATATATCACTTTCAGCGGATTAGTCCTACGTAGTGAAGCAAAAGAACCCCTCTCGTTACATTAATACAATCTGTAGCATATCGCCAAGAATTAATTGAAAATTAAATGAATGAAAATGAATGAAATCATCATTAACTGCTATAGAGAAAAGGCCCCTCGGGTGCCATTATACAGTAAGGTTCCATTTGGTGGACAGTAAATAAGAGAGATTAAAACTTTAAATATTGCCTGGCTTTGGAATATAAATTTAATTAGGAACTGTTTCATTTAGATGTCTCTATATTTACCCAGAAAGTAACCATACAAAGCTCTTTGTGTGAACAGTAACTTTTGTAACAAATATTCAGGGATTTTCAGAGGCCATTTTTAAGTGTATTCGTGTACACTTAAAACACGTACATGTAGTGTAGAATAATTTGACAATGTGTAAAAATAATACTAACCCTATAAATATTGGTCTATGGTTTTGTCTTAAAACATTTAAAATGGTGGACTACGACAATAAGAAAACTACAAATCCTTTTACTGGCTACAAGACCGAATTATTTAAATTTTTTTAATTGGTATCTTTCAATAAGTAGGTTTTAGAAAACTTGACCGATCTTCCGTTTCTTAAATTAAAGGAGTTTGCTGTTAGTAAGTGTATGTAAAGGAATATGCTTGACGATTTCCATGTAAACGTACTGGACTATGAGACGCACGCTCAAAGCAATAATTTCTTTCCAGCCAACAATTGATAAACCTACAATAATAACGAGTAATAAGGTCATCCTAATGGATAATATTTTCACCGACAGCACTGAGCCTCATTCCACTGGAATCATAATATCTAAGTTATTAGTGATCATCTACCTATTTTTACATTTGGGCCCAAATTGATAAAACCAAAGAAAAACATTTCTTTAATTGAAAAAGAAATATTTGCCCCTCAAATATGAATAACCCTAAAAACAAATTAACTAACACTGATTGGAACTCGGTACTGTTGACGGAAAATGTTGATGGATGTTATACGAGCTTCATACAAAAGCTACATTATTTATTTGATGAACGTTACAAGAGATTTATAACCACGTAAAACATCAATGTTAATCCATGGATGACAATGGGGCAGTTAAAATCAATAAGACGGAACGAACATTATATAAACAATATCCCAGTAATCTCATGGATACCAGTAAGCATAAATACGTTAGATATACGAACAAACTTAATAACGTCATGAGAACAGCTAAGAAATTAAAGATTTTACCAAGATGTTTAACAAACAAAAAATAACATAACTAGTACTTGGAAACTCAAGTAAAATACAATAAGCATCCAGCCCCCACTGCGTTCAAAATAAACAACGCCAGCATTGTAGATCCCAAAACAATTGCTGACCAGTTTAATTTTTCACAAATGTAGGCCCTTAACTAGGTCAAGGGATCCCTGAATCCAATGTAGACCCACTGGATTATATTAGCGAGGATTTCCTTAATTCCTTGTTCCTTACGCTAGCCTGATCAACTGATGAAATTTATAATTGTATAAAAAGATTCCGAGTAAAAAAAATAGAGGACATGATGAGACCCACCATCAGGCTATCTAAGATATATCTCTATATATTCTGTGTCCTCTGGCAACATTCTTCAACTGCTCTTTTGAATCTGGTGAAGTATCAGATGAAATAAAAACAGCTAAAGTTATCCCGATATACAAAACTGGTGACCCATCTCTAATCAGCAACTATCGCTCTATTTCTATTGTACCGTGTTTCTCTAAAATACCAGAAACGTTTGTGGTAAATCGCATGTACAACTTTACGGATTTAGAGTCTACTACTCAACTCAACTTGCACTGTTCAACTTTGCTGATCAAATAAGTTTATCGCTCGACAACTCCCTTTTACGATTGGGCTATTTTTGGATATGTCAAAGGCTTTTGACACAGTAGATCATAATATTCTGATTGGTAAACTAAATAAATATGGAATTAGAGGAGTTGCTCTAGAATGGTTAAAAAATTACCGAAGAGATAGGAAACTGTATGTAGTAGGGTAGAACACCAACTCTTCATTTGCACCAAACAGGATGTGGCGTACCTCCAGGCTCAATACTTGGTCCTATACTTTTTCTGATTTAAATTAATGATATCTGTAACTCGTCGAGTATACTCTCCTTTATTTATTTGCTGATGACACGTGTGTGTTTTAAAGCAGCAAAATCTTACCTGAGGCAATTCACATTATTAATTGGCAACTATGCAAATTCTGTGAGTGGTTCCATTAACTTGTATAAAACAAAAATGTATGGTGTTTTTTAATTAGAAAGTTACTACGAGTATCGCTGTTTACTTAAAAAATACACAAATAGAACAAGTTGATACCTGTTAATTTATGGGGGTAATTATTGATAAACTTTCTTGGAAGCAACATTGTCAAAAAGTCCTCATGTCACTTTCTTGGAACTAAGGCATCCTAAGAAAACTGAAACACGACTCACGTACATATAACTTTAGATATCTTATTCTTAATTTACAATATCTTGTCCTTGCCTCACCTTCAGTATGATACATTAGCATGGGTAACACTTACCCCTTCTATATTAATAAATTGTATATCATGCAAAAGAAAACATTAAGAGTAGTTAATAACTTGAAATCTACAGAACATTCTGCACCATAGTTTAGTAAATACAAAACCTTGTCACTCTTTGATTTATATAAATACCACCTCGGTGTACTGGTGTACACATTTGAAACGAAAATCTTAACCTAAATATATAACTCATTATTTAAGAAAAACTCTGATATATATTCTTATAACACAAGGTCAGCCGCAGATCTACACCTCCACAAAGCACGAATATCTCTTTATTTATCCAATGTCAGAAATCAAGGGCCTCTTCTATGGAACTACCCCAAACCAATGCCTACCTTTAGGTTACTGGAACTTTTCATAAAGTATCTTAAAACGTTGCTGTTGTCAAATTTTACTGACAATTAATAATTAATACTTATTTTCACTTTCGTCATTCCACATACTGTTGAACATTTATCATTATTATCTGGCCAGTTCCTTTTTGGTCATTGTTTGTTATTCCGTTGCTTTCTTTTTTTCTTATTCTTTATTTCAGTAGTTTCCTCTATCCCACATTGTAGTTATTGTCGTAGACATTTATTTAGTTAGTAAGAAACAGGATTATTGAGGCATACACAGATAAGTTTTTCTATTTCTGATCTTTTAATATATAATAGCCCATTATTTAAATGATCAGAAACGGGTTAAAGATCTTGTACAAGCATTTGTTTCTTATCTGGAATCCTCATGTCATTTTTGTTATTTTATTATTATTAAATTCATGTGAATATTTCATTTAAGATATGGAAATAGGTAAACTAAACTAAACTAGAGCCTGTGAAATGAGTATTTCCTGTAGACAAGTGGAAATAATTATACATAAACAATTTCCCGTCCAACTGTAGTTTCAGTTTCTTTAATCTGCCGTTTTGGAGCCGCACGATGTTTGCCTTTCTAACCCGAATCCCAGTAACGCACGTGAAGTATGCAATGGGCGTCCCTACGCAACGACTGTGCATTCGTTTCATTGTACTATGGGCCGGCCACCTCATTAAATATGCGGAGCGCAGTGTGTACTTGCAAACTTTCCATATTTACAAGTTAAGTGTTGGTTCATCACGTATGCATATTTCACCGACATGTTTCATTATACGCTGCCGCAAAGAGCAAGCGAAGGCATCGTAGATTACGTTCTTTTAAATAAATTGTCTGGCTGCTCTATTGACAGTAAAGCATAATTTTAATCTTACAACATTGGAAATGTTTGAAAGTTACAAAGTTATTCAGAACGGGTGAACTTATATTGAAACTGCGAGAGAAATAACATAGACATTTTGCTAAAGAGATGAGGAATCCTTGCCTAGCAGAGATCTGTGTAAGATATAACCAAAGACACCTACAGTATACCCTGTCTATGTAATTTTCTTGCAATACTTTTGGGAATTCATATTAATACAAATTCCAAAGACCTCAGATATGTATAAAATTAACCCAGGCCTGCTTTTTGTGGAGGTGGTCTCATGATTACAGGGATGTGAAGACCTCATTGTCCAAGCCGTTTTCTGTGCCAGTGCCGCTCTGGTGCTCAGTGGCAAAGGTGGCCTTGCCAACGTCATCATTGTCGATGTCCGCGGCGTAAGTGGTCAAACCAGGTTTGACCTCAACGATCTCTGCCCCTTGGTCCTTCTCTGTGTAATCCTGAAATACCAAGAACATTGGTATTGCTTACATCTGACGGCTTGTTTTCTCAGTGATTGAAACATCTTCCTAAGTCTAAATTGGCATATCTTACCGGTTTCTCGTCTCCGCATCGCAGTGGCTTCTTAATCACTTCTGGGAGGCAGCAGTACACACCGTCCACGCAATGAGACCGAAGGACAGGGTCGATGTCTTGCCTCTTGGTAGCACCTTGAGCATGGGAAAAATCTTAATTTTATAAAGTAAGTTGAAGGTTTTCATTTTTGAGGCTTTATAATTAAGCTTCAAGCATGGACAGCCAATAGATAGTGGGCGTGTGCGCCGGTTAGGAGTTTCAGAAAGAGAAATGGCGTCTGTTGGGACCGTAGTTCCGGAAGCAGTTTCACAAGTCTAGCAGAAATCGTGACGTTGGTGTTAGGTGCACGCAGAGGGTGACCTTGGCACGAAGCCCACTTCATTAATCCCCCCCCCCGGCGTGCTTCGAGCTAAATTATGATAGTTGAACAAGGGAAATAGTGCAGGCTTACCTGTCAGAAAACTGACTAATAATCCAACGACAACGGTCACCAGCCAGAAGGCACAAGCATACCAGGCGTACGAGAGTGAGTATAATTCACCAATGGGTGAACTGAAGTGGTAAGAAAGGAGATATTGCTCTTGATCATTATGATTCAAACTTAGTAAAGAGCACTTTCACCCAAACGTAGGGCAAATTCTTAATACTATGGACAAGTATCAAGCAGTGGCGAGAATTTGTGCCGAAGATGGGGGGTGGGGTGGGGAGAGGTGGGAGGATGACTTGCCCGGCCATGAAAATTTAAAAAGCAGTGTGGGGGATAAAACCATATGACTGTATAGAGGACAATGTTCATGGTGATCATGTGTATCTGCGTAAGGAATTCAGAGTGGTATATTTATGGCTTTTCAAAATTGTTTTCCCTTTTTGAGTGATATTTAATGCATGTTGGTTAGAAGTTTTAGAATTTTTTTCATAATCCGCATTAATTTTTTTTTGCTCAGCACAAAAGAGTGTGTGTGGGGGGAGGGGTGATTCAATAGCTCACCCCCCACCTCAAATGGGGGGGTATATATGTACCCCCGAATTTATGCCCATAGTATAAAGTGAGGCATAACTCACGTACGTTTCTGGAGCGATAGTTGTTGTCGTCATCAGAAGTGGGCTGGGTGTCGTGATGGACGTGGTCAGGTTGCATCCTTCGATGGTTAGCGGAGGTCTGTAGATGCTTGGCGGATAAATAATGGCCCCTATGCCGACCCAAAAGGCGAAAGTTAGGCCTGCTAAAAGTCCTACGATCGCACCCTTGAAAAACAAGAAGTGGATTTCAGGCAATATGTTACTTTTGAGTACGGCTCCAGGCATGCTTTCCTTAAAGTTGACTTTTTCGGAAAATCAGCGATGACTGAGGTGGAAATAATTTCGAGGCCGGTCGCGGATGGTAAAGCCGAGAGTGAAAGACAAAGATCAACGGGGCAGAGATGAAGGGCGATGGGTGGTAAAGATACCTGACATGAGGAAGGGACGATGGAACGCATCCTGACAAGGAAGCACCATAAAAAAATATTTTCAGCTTTTAAACACAATTTTGCTAACGATTACCAAACATATTTGGATGCCGAATATTCAGTTTTCAAGTTTGTTTTGTGTTCCTCGTAATTGAACATGTTCTATGTAATTTTAAGATTATTACGTTCAACCTTTAGTGCCTTGTGGCTAAATGGAATCCATTAAAAATCTAAACGCGCTTAACATTTAAACATGTTTAAAAAAGGTACAGCTAAAAATGTTTAAATAGTGTTTACTGGCTATACACAGTTTTTGCAGCGTAATCATGGAAACAGGGACTGAAAAGAATAAAACTTTCAAGAATTACGGGATTGGATTTGTTGCTACGGGGGTTGTTGTTGATTTGGGGAATACAGTAGGTGAACCCACGCGGACAACAGTTGCAATAAGGCCTGCGCTGTGGGGATGTTGCTTCTGAGTGATCCTACCTTTGAATTTGTCCAGGGGAAGAACATCCCCAGACTGAACAGACCAAGCAGCGGACCTCCAGTCATACCGAAGAGGCTCAGTGCCAACTGGGGTTAAAAATCAATTTGAATGGATTTTATTCCTTTTGAAACTGTTATGATGCATGTCAATGTTGTTTGAAAATTCAATATGTCACGATACGAATTTAGGAAAAAACTCGGTATTGGTATGGACAGCCAATTCGGACTGAAATCTCACCGAATTTAAAACACTCACCTGACTTCATCAACAATGGATCGATTCAACCTGTACCTGCATAAACAAGGAGCCGCTACTCACCTGTAATATGCCTTGGCTGAGCAACGAGGTTATGTATGCGAGCAGCACGCACAGTAGGCCGAATCCAAATGCTGAAAAACAACGCAGAGTTATACACAAATAGATACATGTGGATGACATATGGAAATAAATTGAATTGAATAGGAGTTTTAATGTCCTTGGAATACCTTGAGAAATGACCACTAATTGCAGAGAATGCCCGTTTACCACTCAAACGTCCATTATCAACTGTCTCCAACCGAGTGCAGCTGCCTTCTAGGTAGTGTACAGTTGTGTACAATGCATTGGATGATCTGGTACTCACCGATGCCCTTGGTTGCCAGCGCGTACCGCTCCTCACTGATGTGGGGAAAACATGGCTTGACCAGATCCTCAGCCGTCACCGCGGCGAGAGCGTTTAGTCCAGAAGAAACAGTACTACAATAAAAGGAACGTTATTTTTGATAAAAATGTATCTAAAGAATTCAGCTGAACATGAATATCTTGTTGAACTGAGCGGAAAACACATCTGGTTGGCAATTTCGACTTGTATATTGATAAGCCGCTGGGGTCAAACCAAAGTAGCGGGTGCTGGACAATCTTTACAAAGTGGAAAGTATTTTGTTTATGGGTAACAACGAAGTTAAATACCCATCCTCATTCATGCCGATCTGATGCGAACGATTTAGCTTATCAGTGCTGGTTTCCATACCCACTCCCATCGAACTGCGCGGGGGACCTCTCGCAAACACTTCACATCCTTCAAAACATTTGACAACCAATACTGGTCTTAGAATGTATGATAGTGTATTCACTTTTTAAGCCCAGGGAGTCGTTTTCTCATACAGATCAATGCTCCCCTATCTGTCTTGAGCAGAAGTACCCCCCCATCGGTTGAAAAGAGCCATGTTTGTGGAGAGTGGTCATTTTGTTGGTTGCGACGCAACTGTAGCGCGTGCATTTCCTCGTCGAGCGTGTGTTGCTAGGAACGAGCGTGTGTTGCTAGGAACACTGTGCACTCTCTTGCTCTAGCTCGGGGCTCGGTTTATAACTCACCTCAGTGCGGCGCTAAAGACGGCCGAAGTGAAGAATCCTGGAAGGCCGGGGATGCGCCCAAACAGGTCCATCATGAAGTAAGGAATTAACTGGTGCAAATAAAGTCAGGTATGAAAATAATTGCTCACAGCGAGCCAATGTGTTATTCTGGAAACCACGGCACGATGGAAAAAGGCGGTATATACCGTTCTGCTATAAGATACACATTACACTTGTACATCTATATCATAAATATCACCCCCTGGTGTCTTATGTTGTCAGCATCTCTCCAACCACACCCGCTTTTCTAATTGCCGTGGCCAGGCAAGTCACCCCCCCCCCCAATTTTCATCCCCCATCCCCCAAACTTTTCTGGCACAAATTTACATCACTGGTTAAAGCACTGTAAAATTCTCACCTGGTCTGTTTGTGAGATTTTTCCGCTGGTAAGAGGATCGCACTGCCTGTCCGCGTAAAAAGAATACATGACAAGTCCGGAGAGACAGGAAACCGAACCGACAATGACCATTCCCGCACCCGCCAAGCCTAAAGCGCTGCAAACAAATAGAAAAATCAGAACCGGGTTATGGACACCGACGATTGATGGACGATATACCTCTTTGCTAAACATTCTTCCCTTGGTGCATGGGACACTGCTGTCTCACACAGGTTAGCGTTTCAAAGCTATGTAGGTAGTGTAGACATGCCTTCGTAGACATGTAGGCAGGAAAACCAAGTCTTGGAGATAAGATTCGTTTTTTCGAATTGGTAACGCTCTTTCGAGGTACATTCTTGGTAAAGATTTCCCCCATTGTTCCTGTTTATTTTGTGACACATAGCCCTAACCTCCAAATGCCTTTAAAGCTATTTTTCAGAGATCAGGAAGCTTGTGTGCATGTGGGAAAGTCTACAGAAGTCTCTGCAACCAACATCTTTTGTTCAGAGGCTCAAACTGTGACTGTCACACTTGTATATTTAGACTGGCGCTGTTGCCTTTCATCTGCCTTTCATTTAGGTGATGTGTAAAAACGTACAGTGAGCTGGTTGGCACACAACTAGGTCTGCCATTGAAGTCTGTATAACACTTTCCGTAGTCACTTCTCCAAGGGTTTGTCCATAAGAGTGTTTGAGAGAGAAACCTCACTGTCGGTTTGTCGTCATCCACACATACATTGTTGCGATTAGTGGAAGCAGGACGAAAGAATATTCGAATACTTTTTTCGCACGCAGTGCATTTCTTTGGAATTCACTGAATGGTTTCTGTTTTTCTTCACCTAACAACCTGTTTTGTTTAAAGAGGAACACAGACTCCAATATTAGGTTTTGTTGAGTTAACTCATCTTCCTTTCTTTCTAACTTTAACCAAATTCCAGAATGGTCTTGTATCGCCTTCCAAACCAAAAGGATGCACTTGTAACATATGAAGGGAATGATAGGCTGCAGGCTTGCGTCAGGTTTGGTCAAATGACGTCCAACTGACGTGGCATCTACAAGGTTACTAACGAACTTGGTCGAATCATAATTTATCTTGGTCTGGGATTTGGTTTTGTACTCTGAGGAGTGCACAAGCTACCTGAGAGCTTGGAAATGATCCACGAATGAAATAATCTGAATTCTTCCTGAAGTGCTCCTGATTTCAGAACTGACCGAGTTACTTTAATAGATCCAAATGAGCTTGAGGGAAGGTAATCGAACGCGCAGTAAAGTAATCCGTCTGTATGGTAAGAGCCGCATTCGGGGGTATTCAATTTGTTGGTAGGGATGCGACTGTGACGGGTGCCTTTCCTAGTTGTTCGTGAATCAGCGAGTTCAGTTCCGACCAAAGGAGCCTTTATTGCTAATAAAAAGCGCCCTCTCTTGGTCTAGCTCGAGGCCCATACTCACGTCAGCATCAATTTGTGCAGTTGAGACTTCAGGTAAGGAATGTATTGCTTGTTGATTTTGTGGTTTAAATTTCGCCCCATTAAAACAGCCGTTTGATGCAAATCGTTTAATGCTGACTGTAAACGAGATCGCATGAAAATGGACTTGACATGGCAGGTGTATTCTGCACTGACAATGTGACTGAATGTCATCCCAGTGGATTTAAAAACTCTGAGAATGTAGACACTTACACCCAGGCTCTTTTGACGCTTCCCGTCGTGATATAGCGCTGCACCTGGGCTTGATTTACGCCGTAACTAGTCGACCATGTGAAGCTTCCCCCGATAACAATGGACCAGAACGTGTGGCGAATGGTTGGGTCGAAGCTGAAACTGAGAAAGACAAGAGAAGTGAATGATTAGACGAAGCCGAGCAAGTGATTGTATATATACACGAGGTAACTTGTAGGTAGATTCGCATTCTCTATGCAAATACTTCCCTCAACGGTGACATACGATGGAAACAAGTAGTTCTCGCCACTGTCTTCATGGGGCGACGCTGTAGTTTTTGCGCGCATTCAGGTGAAAACCAGGCATGCGCACTAAGCTTCGCAGACGCGGTGTGTCAACGAAGGTGGTTTTTCTAAATACTCGAACTTGTCGTCTACCTACTATAATAAACAAATTTGATAGAGATATTTCAAGTAGATTGCCCTCTTGCACGTAGTGCTATGGTTTTGTCAGCATCATGTGGAAATCGTTATTGAGCCGAACACTTCAAAGTCAGGGGGTTAACGATTGGGCGAAGCACGAGACCTGCACGGAGTCAAGTATTTGAAAACCCTCATTATGACATTTTTTAATGGAAGTCGCCCAACACAAGAGGCCACTTGAGGTTAGGGTTAAATAGTAAAAAAAAAAACTATGAGCATAAGACATTTAGAAGGAAGAAAAAAAAATTGTTGATGTAACATTGTTACTTCGCAGAAAAGTATCCTCTATCGTCGTCAATAAGCATTTTAGTCCAAGATATATCATATTCAGAGTGCCATACAATATCCTTGCTTGTGTATCTTTTACTATAGCAACTTCTCTCTTCGAGATTTGTCTGATGGTTAGACTTACTTCCAGAAGTCGATGCGGCCCCCTTCCTCTGCAATTCGCCAGACGTTGCCGAGTCCGCCCAGCCGCATGGTTCCCTCAATGATGACAGCTATGAATCCCCCAAACATCACGCACGTCTGAAACACGTCGGTCCACAGCACAGCCTTCATCCCACCCTGTATGTTGCCAAAATGACAGAGTGACCTTTCTTGACACTTGTATGCCTGTGCTTGCAAGTGAAGTAGGTGTGCGAAGCTTGGCCAGGGATCGCACTCTGGGAGAGGCCATGGATGGTTGTCTTGACAATGGGTAGTGTACAGTGATCATGTGCACTTGTCGCCATCGAACCACTGCTACCTAACTCAAGGTGGTAACATAACGTCGACGGTTTGTAGCATGAAACAGTTTGTCCTATAGTTAACTCAAACTCGTCGATTATTTGGTCACGATGCGCGGCAAAGACAGCAGTCGGACTTTCAAGTGAAAATCTCTGAACAGTTGGTCAGCAGACAATGATGTGTACGACAAGTCTTTACTTACAACTGTCGTGTAGAGGGTACAGACGAGTCCCGTTGCTAGAACAGACCCCCACAGGCTCACGTCAGTAACTGGCAGAAATGAAGCAAGTGAGAGTTTTTTAATTTAAGTGTTAATCTATATTTTCATCTTTTCCAAAATGAAAAAGGAGGAATTCTAGAAATGCAACCCTTTTGTCGTTGAAATAAGTTCCATCCACCGAAAGAATGACACTCAACACGCTTATTCTATAAATATGACCAAGCGTTGCATGAGATGACTTGGCATATTTTTAAAAAAGATATCTGCGAAAGGGAAAAAAAATTGCCTTATCCTGTATAACAGGCGGGCCTGAACAATACATACAAACCTGCATTGAATGCCAAGGCTGGAGCATAGATAACTAACCCCATGTAGAAAACCTTTAAAGAGAGAGAGAGAGAGGAAAAGATATTAAGTTCATCATCAAAATGACATTTCATGGAAAGTATGAATGCTGTCTTGTTGTTCAAGAGTTAACCAACATCCTTGATGCCCATAAAAGACATTTCGATAAGTAATTGCCTGAAACGGTCATTGTGGTACACGAATTTTGAAGGGAACTCTTAAAAAGCGAAAAAAACAAAGAAAACTTACCATATTCAGGAAAAATGTGATCGTGGCAGAAACGCGAACCGCTTTGTTGAAGCGTAACTCGAGGTACTGAAACGGAGAGAAACAATTCAAGGGGTGTCTTCACTATTTCTCTCTTGCTGTTTTTAACGATACCACTGTGCATGCCAATTTGTAACATCGCACATGGAACCATGGCGTCGATGACCAACGAAAACATGACATCGACAAAGGTGTACGAGACGAGAAATAAACGAGATAGACCTTGATGGTATAGTTCTACACAAAACATGGAAAAGAGTGGGGGAAGAAAAACAACGTTCACATTTTCTTGGCTTCATATCTTTGTCCCTCCCAAGCTCTCGTTGAAAATAAAACACATGAAAGCATTTCGAGCAGGCAGTTCTTTGTTGTAGGTGACATTTTGAAATTCTGGGTGAAAAGGGCAATGGAAAAAAAAATGGCCGAATGTGACTTGTTTTGAGACGACGTTACGCCTTACCTCATTTGCACTTGTCACGTTCAGCCTAAAAAACACTGGGATGAACAGGCGAGACACTGCTAAACCGACCACTGGGTAGGAGAAGCAAAACAACCAGAACATGCTACCGAAAATGTAGACTTCGGCCGGCGTGCCCAGCACCGTGATGGCTGAGATGAAGCTAGCCACCAGCGACATGGCTACGGGGATGGGGTTCATGTTGCGGTCGGCCAGGAGGAACTCGGCCGCGGTCTGCTGCTTGCCGCCGGTGCAGCCGTAGAAGAAACCGATGCCCAACGAGATGAGCAGCATGCAGCCAAACACCACGTAGTCCCAGACGCCGAAATTGGCAGCATCTTCAGGCCCGGCCATGATGGCGATACTGCAAGTGGCTTACTGCGGCTAAGGGTCTACTCATCTGTAAGTCCGTGCTGGAGATAACCAGAGCAGTTTGTGATCTTGTCCCAATACTTGCCCTAATTTTTTTCAATTCATCTTGCAGGGCGTTGCAGAGATGTCGTCGAAGAACTTTGATCGGGCATCCGAAAAGCAGTAGCAGTATGTATAGTAATTAGCATTTATGAATAATCATAGCGGTAGATATTTGTGGTACTCAGTCACTCGTTTGGAAAATATGCTTTTGTTCCAAAACACTACCAAGTGATTTCTTTCAGATCATCCCTTGTTTCGTTTGTTCTCAGTGAATGGTAAGGGCCTTGGTATACAAAACGGAATTCCATGGTATAAACAATCTAAAGTAAACATTCTACATCAACGCTTAAAAAAGCATTTCAGCGCCCCGAGCCTGCGCAGTGGTAATACTTAATTAGTTCCAAACGGACAGAACGACTATACGTCCAGGTTTGGCTTATCTGCTCAGGCAAAGGCATTGTACTCCACCGGCCTAAAAAGATTATCAGTGGTATATGATAAAGGTCGTGCTAGCGTACGCCTGCCCTGGCATCGAGAGGGGCTGATGCAACCAAAAATATTCATGCTCTGAACTCCCGATGAAAAAGTTTGGGGTTCGCCTTTCAGCCTAAGAGGACTTTATCAGCAACCTGTTTATCCACTCTCAAACGCGGTGCAACGCAACAATGGCATTTATCACAGGTACTTTGATGCAGTTAATTTCAGGTTTTAACCTTCTGGACTGAATTTGTCCTCTTAATGTTTAGGAAATGACAACGGAGTAACACATGACATTATCGTCGGGTGACCCATTTCATTTCAGATCACTTTGGCTTAGACGGGGCCTGCTTGATCCGAATGAAATGATTTGGCAGACTAGGTATTAATCTTGAAGAGTAAACACTTTGAAAAGTACAGACTATCTTCTTTTTGAAGAGGGAATAATTCTGCTATGGATGAAACAATTTGAACGTTCTTTTCAGAAAAAATCCAGATTTTGCCTCCCAACATAAAACCTATAAAAACGCCAATAAGGCAGGACTAAAATAACCCATTCAGTTTGGTATCTTTTCTCCATGAGATATCAAAACACTGGCCTGTGAAGAGTCACTTGTGGAGAGCTTTCACAGACATAAATATACTGATGGCGCCAACTTGTGTTTCCACAGTCCCTATGTAAATCAGCTGGTGGTTGTACAACTGTGAGCCCAAACACGTTATGGGCAAAAGTCATCTTGTTTCCTTTGCACTGAGTGACACACGGGGCGTGTCTGTTGTTATGACCGTGTCCGACGTACTTGGCCATTGCTTGACAATGCACATACCCCTGTTAGAAGTGGCTGAATCACAATAGCAAACTACAGCGTGCGTTTAAGCTGCTGCCAAGTAGCTCGAACACAGAGGGGTCATGGTGGGCCAGGAAATTGTCGGGTTGCATTACCTTTGGGTCCGCCTGTCTGCAATGTTCGGACATAAAAATGCTGACGGGCCTGACCCCCCCCCGGAAAATTCCTGGATCCACTTTGAAGAGGGCAAATTTTCGTCTCCTCTTTCTGTACATTATATTGGTATTTTTGTACTACCAGTTGCTGGCAAAGTTACACAGCCGTGAGTAAAAAAAGGGAACAATTCACTTAGCGTTAAAAAAAATTCAGGTAGCTCTCAAACACTGAATAACAAACCTTAAAATGAAAATCTGGCCCTTGTTAAAATTGTTAAATGTACATACATTATTGACTTAACATCTGACAGTGGTGAAATTTTTTCAAAATTGGAGTAGCAGGCAACGTGACAGTGGTCTGCCAACCATGCCAACTTCCTCAAGGTTATTTGGCTGTTGAAATTTTGCATGCTGTAGTCGAGCCTGATGCGCGTTCCGTCACAAGTCCTTTCACAAGACCAGTGGCAATATGTATCCAAGTGGACCAGATGATAAGGTTTGTGACACTTCATTTAAACAACTGTCTACAAACCATTCTAATATAATTTTGATTTTTTTAAAGAATGCCTGACACTTTTTATTTCTCAAAGAAGAACGCTGTTACAGATCTATAGAAATACTTGTAATATACAGAAAGTTGAAACACTGGAAACTGTAAAATTGAGCGTGACAAACTGTTTACTAATTAAGCTATAGAACAATACATGCTGGCTAAGAAGCTAACAAATTAAAAGCAGATCCCGGTTTGGTGGAAAGGAAGAGTTCAAATGCCTTAAATCCTCTTTGGGTATGATGAAATTAAACACATCCCAATAAATATCCTACCCACTTAAGTTTCTTGGGCATATCATTAGACATTCACGGGTGATACGTGCATTAATTTGAAATCGCTTTGACTCAATAATTAAGCTAGTTTGTGCGTATGTGCCTTAAATGCCACCCATACAACCTGTAATTTTTGTTACTTTCTTTAGTCTACTTGATAAAATAATTAATATTGTTTTTTCTAATAACGATTTTTTTTGCTGATTGGCCTTGATCATATTAGGCATATTAATAAATATTCAAAACGAATGCATAGTTTTCTGCGAGGAGGGAGGTATGTGCACCATGGTTCATCATCAACATCGTCACCATAGTTACAGAGCTGTAAAACCATTGTTTTCCAGGCTATTTTCCTTTTCAGTGCTGCTTGGTTGCTCCGTGGCAACTGTTGCCGAGTCAACATCATCACTATCGTCTGCATTATCGCTCAAGTCTGGTTTGACCTCCTTCACCTCTACCATCTCCGCCTCTTCGTCTTTCTTGGTGTAATCCTGGAAGAAAAAGAGTGATACATTTCTTAAAATCGACGACATCTTTTTCTCTCTGACTCACAACGCCCTCTAAAGCCTACATCTTACCGGTTTTTCGTCCCCGCATCGTAGTGGCTTCTTAATCACTTCCGGGAGGCAGCAGTACAGACCGTCCACGCAATGAGACCGAAGGACAGGGTCGATGTCTTGCCTCTTGGTGGCACCTTGATTACGGGAAAAATCGTAATTTTATAAAGTAAGTTCAAGGTTTTTATTTTTGAGGCTTTATAATTAAGCTTCAGATGCGGACAGCCAGTAGATGGTGGGCGTGTGCGGTTTAGGAGTTTCAGAAAGATAAATGGCGTCGTACCGGAAGCAGTTTCACAAGTCTAGCAGAAATCGTGACATTGGTGTTAGGCGCACACAGAGGGTGACGGGAAGATATATGGATTCTATAAAGAAAGTTCCGAGTTTTCCATTTTGGAACTTGTTTTGGAGCCTTTATAATTGGGCGTTGGTAGCGGTAGACCGAAAAGGGGAAGACGCAGAATGGCGTGAGTCATATGCATATTACGCTCAGAAAGTGTACAGTTCGTATTTTATGCGGCCTGGGCATAATATGCATATGATGCACATCAATCTGCGTGTCCTGTTTTCCTTTTACGATGGCTAGTTTATAAATGAAAGGATGCATGGGTTACAAGTCTCTTTAAAGGAAGTGACGCCATTTAGTTCCAATGTACGGAAAGCAGTTTCAGCAGTCTGATGGACACTGGAAGTTCTTGCGTGCTTGCCGGTCGCACAGTACCAGTGGCTTTCAGGCTTCGGCCCACACTCTCTCATGGTCACTTATGATGGTGCTTTTCGGCACTGAGCTCCTATCATATCGAAATGTCCCCCTTCACAAGCTTTGAGCTAAAATACAGTAGTTGAGATATTGAAAACATGGGAGGAAAGCAGGCACCCTACCCGTCAGGAAGCTGACTAACAGACCAACGACGATGGTCACCAGCCAGAAGGCGCATGAGTACCAGGCGTACGAGAGTGAGTATAATTCAATGATTGGTGAGCTAATCAAAGTAAAAAAAAGGAAACCAAACAAAATTTGAAGCCTTGGATCATTACGATTAAAAAAAAACAACACAACAAAAACAAACACTTGGCACGAAACTCTTGTTCCAACTTCAGGAATTTTTTATTTAATTAGTTAAAATGGAAACGTGGGCAAAAGAAATGTAAGCAACACTTATTAGTTTGTTACAATGAATAAAACTTTGGACTGATTTTTCAAAGTTCCACTTACGTTTCTGGTGCAAGAGTTGTTGTCGTTGTCATCAGAAGTGGGCTGGGTGTCGTGATGGATGTGGTCAGGTTGCAACCTTCGATGGTTAGCGGAGGTCTGTAGGTACTTGGCGGGTAAATGAAGGCGCCAATTCCCACCCAACAGGCTACAGCCAGGCCTCCCAGCAGTCCCGCCATCGCGCCCTTCGAAAAACCAAGCAGTGGATTGGGGTTGTTTGCACAGATCCAAACGCAAGAACATGCATTTTCTGGGTTTTTTTTTCGTGTAATGGTGATAGGGGAATACTGAGCGATATCAAAGCGAGAATTAGTGGCAAGGAGGATGAATACGACAATAACGATATCAACCATAAGATAAAACAATTTGCCTCAAGCGGAAGCACCCCGTAATCGGCTGAAAAGAGCCACATTGGTCAGGAGTGTTCAATTTAATGGTAGCGATGCGACTATGACGCGTACATTTTCTAGTCGTTTGTGAACCAGTGAAGTTCCGTTCCGACCAAAAGAGTCTCTGTTGCTAAGAATATGGCGCCATCTCTCGGTCAAGCTCGAGGTCCATAATGATATATAAATGTCGTGTACACGACTGTAGCCATCTCACCTTGACCGTAATCAAGGCGACGGACCAGAAGCTGTCAAGGGCGAAAGTCGAATTGGTTCTAAACTCAAAGATGACTCATATAATGAGGAACTAATTCCGAGATCGGTTGGAGATAAACTGTTATATTGGACGAGGAAGAGCCCAAAAAAAAGGGGGGGGGGCAATAATGAAGCTAATTTGACAAGGGTGACGATGTTGATTTCACTAGAAGAGACGACAGGGGAGCTCATCCTAGCTAGGGTGACGATGGAAACATGGCTGAAACTGATGAAACTAATAAGGGGACTGTTTGTTCTTATGCGGAACAGGATTGCGATCAGCGATCTGACGTTGGTTCACTGACAAAGCCTGCTTAAATCGAAAGCGCGAACCACCTCTGGGATCACTGATCGAGATCCATATCCGTGTGAAACAAATAGGCCCCTAAATTAATAGAGTGGATTTGCTCTGCCGAGGTGATCGCGGTGGGCGATGAAAATAATAGCTGAAGCTATGCTAGCAACATGCGGCTGTAATTTAGGCAAGAAATGTAACACTGTGAGAATGATGTCGCCCAGAATATTCCTACCTTTGAGTTTGTCCAGGGGAAGAATAATCCAAGACAATACAATCCCAACAACGGACCTCCAGTCATACCAAAAATGCTCAGTGTCAGCTAGGGTCAATATATAAATACAGTGGATGGATTTCATTCCTTTTGAACTTGAAATATAGGATGCTCATCGATGTTGTTTGAAAAGCAATGTCGTTGTAAGAATGTGGCTAAACGTCGATAGTCTGCTGGGTGTAGCTGATACCGATTGAAATCTCATCAAATGGAATCAATGATCACCATTGCCACTCACGAGGCAAAACGGACATCAACAGAGATAACCATTTACGGCACTTCCTGGTGGACCTTTTGTGCTCCTCAACCCTTACATTGATCACAATCCCTCCATCCCTATTCATTTCATTGTTCGCCATCTTTTATTACAGGCCGTGCTGAGCCCCGTCATTCTGAACCGGCGCCTTGGGCTATGTATGCAACCACACGAATGAAGCCAAGCCACCGTTGGCAACCATGTATGGAGCTCAACCATAAACACTTCACGTGTGAAATGAGGTTCCTATACAACATTCGGGCTTTATTTTCCTGTAAAAAAATCCTCTTCGTCCACAAATTCGAACCCATACCCCACAGATCACAAACCATTATACTGTAACCGCTGGACTACCGCATTTCACACGAGTTGTTGGTGTTTTTACTTTTGATATATTTGTAATACCGATGAACGGCTGCAACGCGAGCCTAATATTACATTGGACATGCGCAATACATACAAAACCCAGGTGGTTGGGCTTCATACGTTGATTACATTTATATCTAACCGCCTTGGGTAAAATATTCAAGCCGTAGAGACAAACATATACCCGAATGAGTCGTCTTCCAGACTTGATCTCAATCCGTATCTGTTTAGACAAGAAACCGGCACTCACCTGTAAAACGCCCTGATTGAGCAACGAGATGACGTAGGCGAGAAGGATGCAGAGCAGGCCGAATCCAAATGCTGAAAAGAAGCCGCATACTGTTTCACAATAGCTCCAATAGAGAACACGTACAGACATCGAATCGAAGCAGGCTCGAGTCGCAAAGCAGACGGGTGTGTCCTTGTACTATTTCCGCACCCTTTAATGATTATTTTGCAATTCCCTTGTGCCACAATTCCTTCAAGTACAGTGTGCAACTCCTCATACAAAAGTGTAAGAAATGTCAAATATTTTATTGAAAATAATTAGTTTCCTTCCAAAGAGGACTATGCTAACAACCTGCAGCTGCGTGCACCTGTCTTCAAGAAAGTATATATTAATGTACTGAACTGGTACTCACCGATGCCTTTGGTGACAAGTGTGTATCGCTCCTGACTAATGCGGGGCAAACACGGTTTGACCAGATCCTCAGCTGTCACAGCGGCGAGAGCGTTCAGTCCAGAGGAAACCGTACTGTCATAGAATCGATAGCATCCTCCAATGTAATTAGGGTACTTTTAAACGAATCAATTCAACTTGCAGATCTTGTTAAACTGAGTGGGACAGATGTCTACTGAACCCCCTCAATGTCATCCCTCGGCTATGTTGAGGCTGTGCAAAGGACTGAAGCTACGCGCCGGTACCCGTTCCCTCCATCGCAATCCCACATAGGGAACCAGTCGTAACCACTCAGCTCACCACTGAACAAAAATCCCCTCACACTACTATTGGTCGTAGAGTGCTCAAGGCCAATAGCCTATTGGTTTTTTTTTGTTTTATTTTGTTTTTTAAATAGATCATTGCTGTCTAATAGCGTCAACTCACCTGAGTGCGGCGCTGAACACAGCCGAGGTGAAGAATCCTGGAAGGCCGGGGATCCGCCCAAACAGCTCTATTATGAAGTAAGGGATTAACTAATGCAAACAAAAACAGATGCCATAGTTGGGTATAACAGGACTGATGGCAATGCCACTTTACGCAACGAACGGCTTACGGCCGAATTAACTAACACAAACTCACCTGAAAGAAGTTAGAATAGAATTAATCGTTGAGAACTCTGGCTAAGGAAGAGCATACAAGCCACCAGTAATTCCGCGCACTGCGGGATTCTCACCTGGTCTGTTTGTGAAACTTTTCCGCTGGTGAAAGGATCACACTGTTTGTCCGCGTAGTAGGAATACATGACAACTCCGGAGAGACAGGAGATTGTGAGCACAAAGGCCATGCCGAAAACCGCTAAGCACAGAGAGCTGCAACCATACATAAAAAGGGATTCAGATGAAATGGCAGATACCGACAATTGACTTGTCTTTGATAGTGAGGCCGCGTCCGAATTACTTGGCTGTGGCTGAAACTATGCACTAGTCTATGGTAGTGGCCAAAGCTAGTTGCAATAGAGCCGTGTGTAATTCCAAGCCATAACCTAGATTTGAATCAGGTCGGACTTAGGTTGCTCTTCCCCAGTCAGCCATCCGTTCACACAGTACTGTCGTTGCATTCGGCCACTCGCATAACTTCTTATAAGGCGCCCTCATTTGATAGCTTTTCCGCGATATCTGGTGTCAACGTCAAAGAGTGTACAACGTGTATCCCTAGTCAGCAAGTCTGACTGGACGGATATTAGCCAATCAGACGCCCGTTGGTGATATGGAGTTATTCATAACTGCATATGAACGACATAGTCTTGCATAATGTATACAGAATTTACGCCAATCAAAGTAGTCAGACTACAAATCCACCAATCAAAATAGTCAGACTTGTAGTCCCGTTCATTATAATAGAGATATGAACGATGTAAAAACAAGTCCAGCAATTTAATTGGCTGCTAGCTGGTTTGATAGATCAGCCGATTTGCTATGTAAAAACGGCTGGCAGATTTGTTAAGTCGGGATATAACTTGTGGTAATAAGTGGATACAAGAGGGTGCGAAGCAAAACGACGCGCGGCCTCCATATCCAAAGCATAAAAACAAGACGTCACGGAAATATCCGACTTGAGTCAAGTCTAGGCATAGCCAAGTATTTTGGAGGCGACCAACTGTGTCCCCTGATGGGGCGTTTCTGCCATCTTTTATAGGCTGGTGTTTTTATTTGTCACCTGCCTATGGTTCACAGGCGTATAGGTGCAAGTAAGATTGGCGCACAGCTGGGCTCTTTATTGCGGTCTGTTCGTTGAACAGATACGCCCCTGATCACTGTTCCACTTGTTTGTCCAAACGTGCTTCCTCCAGTCACACTCTTTTTGAGAGAGTAACCTGGCTGTATTTTTCTCCCTTTCATCCATACGCCTACACTGCTATTTTTCGTAGGTGCAAAAGAAAAAGGAAACTTCAGTGATGCATAATTTTCTTCCGGATGTCTTGTGTGGTTCCTGTATTCCCCAAACTTGCAAAATATTGTGCTTCAAGGGGAGCATTAATTCCTATCGTCAGTCTACCAGAGTACTTTTTTCTCTCTCTCGTTTGTAACCCTGCTCCTTTAGCTTTGTTTAGGCGAATTTGCACAGAAAAGCTGGTACTATAGATACTGTTTTATTTTTCTATATAGACCGACAGTGATGCCGAAGGGCTCATTCCTTGAGAATGATCTTCTTTTTTTCGCCAAAGATATTACATGTATTTGTTTTTTGACAGATTGCATCATCTCCTCGCACCTGTACGTTGGCCCAAATCTGACCAAAGTTCAGAATTGACCCAGCGAGATCACCTCGAGGACAAAAGAACCCTTACACTCGGAACTTGTGAGTGGAGGGGTGGGCTGAGAGTTGGGCTCAGGTGATTCGGTCGAATGAGGTCCAGCTGACGCAATGTCAGGAACCAAGTTATTGTTCCAGCATCTACAAAGGATTTGGTCGAATCAAAACTTCTTTCGGCCTCAACTAAACTGTTGGTTCGTACAGTGGATTGTCTGTAGCTCTGTATGATTCATCATGCGTGCTCTCAATCTCAGAACTGACCAAATCTCTAGCAGTGCGTTCGATTACTTCCCTCACGCAATCCCGTAATGTTGTCAAAGGTTTCAGTGAACAACACAACCGTCGTAATCAAAGAACAATGCAAATGGTTGTGCAGAGCAATTAAATTTGTAGCTCGAATCTTAACTGTCGAAAGAAACGCACAGACACATTATCTTAACTTTATTCTAAGACTTATGTGATGTGAACCAATTTGCTCCTCTGTGCAAAAATTTTTATGAATTATTTACAACGCATTGGTGTCTCTGTGCACCACACAATCCTTGTTATCACTCTTCTCAGAACTAAAGTCGCGATGTTTTTGCATTCCATCGTGGGCCCCCTCATCAAGTAACCGGCCGGGGGGGGGGTCGGGTCGGTCACTTGGATGAGGCCTGAGTGAGTGCAAAATTGAACGCTTTCGCGAGTAAGCTCGACAGGTGGTTACCAAATGCGCCTGTACAGTAATACTCCGTCAGCATCAATTTGTGCTGTTTAGCGGATCCGGGTGAAGAATCCAGTTTTGAGTTTTGTTTGAGGCAAACCAGTCATTCATGTTTGCACCACGAGACTGTGCGTGTATGTGTAAGATTTTGTTACATTTATCCCCAACAGGCAATACGATTGCATGTGATCCCGGTTGGACGAGGTATCTGAGATACGCGCAAGAATGGGAGACCTTCGAGAAGCTTGGTGGCGGCATACCGCTAACACGTGACATTTCCACGTTTGTTCGCTTCAATCTGAGCTTGCGCTCATTTGATCAGCCTGTCTTAACCAATGGTCAGCAGGTCACGTGGGGACGGCATGTTTGCCGCCTCCATGTGTCTGAGCGTCTCCCATTAAACACTTACATGTTGGCTCTTTTGATGCTTCCCGTCGCGAGGTAGCGTTGCACCTGGGATTGGTCGACTGCAAAGGATGACGTCCGAGAGAACGTTCCTCCAATAACAATAGCCCAAAAAGTGTGGCGAATTGTTGGATCAAAATTGAAACTATAAAAGAGAAACCGGAAATGAATCGTGCAGTGAAAACACATGTGATGCATATGGTTGACAGGCATGTGTATATAAAATGATTAAGAATATTCATGCATATTATGGGCTCTGGGAAACCTACTCCCTCGAGGGTGGCACAGTGAGAGGGAAAATACCATCAACACCACCTTGTGACCAAACAGTTTTGAGCACATTCAAATGAAAACCACTCCCTCGCACCGTAAGCTTTGCAGGATTAGTGAGTCCACGGATGCGATTTTTCAGTACTCGGCTTCTTTTCCATCTCAGGATTTGTGTGTTCGTATTTCCTGCATAAACTGTGGGTGTTATCAGATAACCAAACCATAAGGTGTTACGTTAACGCCACAGGGATTACTTCTCACACCGACAAGTGTTACAATGCACTGGAGGGTGTTAAAATTAACACCAAGAGTGTTGAAATAACGTCAAAAATTTTAAAACCAGTGAAAAGTGTTAGTGTAGTCCTCTGATAACACCGGGAGTGTTAAAATGTCCTATCCAGAGTGTCATACATTCGGCTTATTTTATTAGTTCCACTCTACAGTGTTTGTTCAATGGATATACTCACTTCCAGAAGTCGATGCGACCCCCTTCCTCGGCGATCTGCCACACGTTGCCGAGTCCGCCCACCCGTATGGTGCCCTCGATGATGACGGCCAGGAAGCCACCAAACATGACGCACGTCTGAAACACATCCGTCCATAGCACAGCCTTCATACCACCCTGGTTGTTGCCAAAATTAATGATAAAGTACCCGTAATGATATCTTGACCTTGGCATCTTCAGCCCTGTATTGCATGTGCTGTAGGTGGACGAAGCGTGGCACGGGACATTGCATAGGAGTGCATGCTGTCAAGTGCACCGTAATGGCTCCAGAGAGACGGTGTCTCGACAAGAGGCAAAGCATCTCATCATTTCGAGGGTCACCTCGGGTATGCAGAGGTCATGTGCATTAATTTGTCGACATCGAACCACACCTACCTAAAGGTATCGTGGGATTCGAAGTATTAGTTCACAATGCACGGAGAGCGAGCAAGAGTCAGATTTTTAAATGAGACAGTAGAAATCTGTGAAGAGTTTCGCTTACATGTACAACTGTCTTTACTTACAATTGTCGTGTATAGGGTACATACGAGTCCCATGGCTAGAACAGACCCCCACAGGCTCACGTTGGTAACTGATAGAAAATAGAATAGTGTTATTTTCTTGAAGTAAGGTAATGGTACAAGGTAAGCTTTTCAGGTCAACTTCAATTTTCCCTTTCAAGTGCTCCTAAGTTGCTTTCTGGTATTAAAACGAATAAAGAAAAGTGCAGGAATTCCATAAAAGTAACCCAGTTGTAGTTAAATGAGTCCTTCCAACCTCAGAAAATGAGAAAAAACCCTTGTTTTATTTTGTTATCGTGCCTTAGAGGTGAAGTGAAATGATTTGGCTTCGTTTCGGCTACAGAAAGACAGGTTGATCTGAAGAGTAGATACAAACCCGCATTGAACGCCAAGGCCGGAGCATAGATAACAATTCCCATGTAGAAAACCTTTCAGCAGAGAGGGAAAAAGAGATATCAGGTCAACTGTCAAATGACATTTAGTCGAGAGCACAAATGGTGTTGAGTAGTCGTAGAGTTAACTGCCATCTTTCGCAATGGACGTATCCAGAGGTAGGGGGTCAATGTTTTTTTGTGGGGCTGCGGCAATTAATACATCAGATTTTTAAGATTGTCCATTACCTGATCTTTGGGGATTAGGACATTTATTAGTCTCTTACTCAAGACCAGGACATGCAACTGACTGTCATGTTTATTAGGAGTAAGCGATAAAACTGCCTAAAATGGTTGAAAAAGGAAAAGTAAAACTTACCATGTTAAAGAAATATGTCACAGCGGCAGAAACGCGAAGTGCTTTGTTGAAGCGTAACTCCAGGTACTGAAAAGGAGAAGGGTAATTTGAGAAAGGTATTTTCCGTTTCTTATTTCTGATTCTTTTGCACGGTTACGTCGTGTGTTCAAGTTCGAAGAGCACGGAGCCATCAGGTCCACAACCGAGTGGAAGAAAGTACAAAGGTGTATATGTACAAGCCGGATTCGTTTGTGTCTTGAAGGCATCGGTGTCGCTAGGATGTTTACCGATGGGGAAAAATTATTAAGGGGGAAAATTTCCAGAGGGCAAGGCGCTTATCAGCTGATTAATGATGAACAAGCAAAGTTTCGAGGAAATAGGTGTTTTTCACCCCCTTTCAACTATTTACTTCATCTTTTCGCATTCCTGCCCTTTTTTGTTCCTTTTCATTTTTGAAACAGTCATGCTTGAAGGTACATGTACTGCTTGACGAACAACATAGGAACGTGTCTATGTTTTGTGTGGGTGTGTGGGAGACATGGTCTGTGGAGCAGTTGGGATTCGTGTCCTGTGAGGGACCTAACGTAAAATCTTGATAAATTTGGAGACAATGTCACGTCGTACCTCGTTTACACTAGTCACGTTCAGCCTGAAGAACACCGGGATGAACAGGCGAGACACCACTAAGGCAACCATCGGGAAGCACAGGCTGAACACCCAGAACATAGAGCCGTTGATGTAGACCTCGGCCGGCGTGCCCAGGAAGGTGATGGCAGAGATAAAGCTGGCCACCATCGACATGGCTACGGGGATGGGGTTCATGCTGCGGTCGGCCAGTAGGAACTCTGCCGTGGTCCGCTGCTTGCCTCCGGTGCAGCCATAATAGATGCCGATGCTCAGCGAGATGAGCAGCATGCAGCCGAACACCACGTAGTCCCAGACTCCGAAATTGGTAGCATCTTCAGGCCCGGCCATAGCTTTTCTGCGAGTGGTTAGGTCTAGCGCAGGATGTGTTTCTCTGCAAGTCCGCGCTTGAGATTAAATGTGCAGTCTGTGATCTTGTCTCGGTACCAAACCTAGTTTTAAATTCTTTTGAGGGAGACGGGAAGATGTCACGGAGAGTTACGGGATCTCTGAATGGACATCCGATACAGTTAATTTGCATCTATGAATAATCATGTTGGACTAAGAGAGGTGTTAAATGAATCGTTTGGAAAATTCATTATCTAAAAGCACAACTAGGCGATATTTTAAATTAAAGGTGCCTTATATCACGTTCCTTTTTCAGAGTATAGTAGGGACCTTCGTACTACAGAATAAAGTTTATGGTGCAATCAATCGAAGGTGTTGCATCAACGCCGACGAAGTACTTCAGCTCCTTGTGCAAACCGATAAAGGCCGTGTTTCAATAGAAGCCCTCCCAGGGATCTGAAATGGTCTCTTTCAACCAGAAATAGTGGTGGTCTGACCACTCAACGGAAGAGTTCAAGGTTCACCTTTAAGTCTCAGCGTGCTTTATTGACTCATTTATTTGTTGATACTTGAAGTGGTCGTTAACACGCATTTGTGACCCAGCCAAAAAAATCAGTAGGAAGAACCGGAGCCAGTTTGGAGGTGAAGGCCTTGAAAAGAACTTAACAAAAGGCCTAAACAATGGAATTGAATACTGGAACTCGAAATATGTTTTTACTCTCAATATGTTCGTTTTCATCAGCATTCCTGACGGAGAATTATGTTAAAAGAAAGAGCTCAATGCCTTTGAATTCTCGGACGAAATCTGTAGCCTGCGATATTGCATTGGGTCACGCATTATTTCAACTCTCAAAACACCAAATAGCAAAACAACGCTCAACGAAAATATGACTTTCCTTGAAGTAATGGCGCAAATGTGCCTTAACGGGGTAACCACAGACGCGGAAAATCCTGTGTGCTGACTCGAAACTGTTCTTGCAGGTGAAACGAACGTTTTGCTTTCTCAGTCCTGTACTTGCCGCAAGCATTTGAGTACTCGATTTCATCACAAGTCCCTTCACAAGACTTTCACAAGACCACTTTGTAAACAGGGTAAACAATAATAGTGTAGTAAATTTATCGCAAATCACTTGAACAATTGGCTACAAAACCAAATATTTTAATCGATATAGAAGGGGGAGGAGGGAAACAGATGTTTTAGAATAGTTGGAAAATAAATTACATGTATTTCTCATAAAGCATTTGGTCACACAAATGTATGGAAATAGACGTGATACGGAAAGTTTTTATACCTCTGTCCTGAATATAGTATTTTCACTGTCCAGAACAATAACACGAATCGTTGGAAATGTTGAACGAGTTCACCGAGCCTGTTTATTGTTTAAGCTACAGAAACAATAAATTGCTCTTTTCCTGAAGAGCTACTGGCTACCACTCTAGTGAAAGGTTACAGCAAAATGAAAGGCTCCCTCAATACCCCGATTAAGTTTAAATCCTTTTAATTCAATAATCAAACTGGTTTGTGCGTGTGTGCCCGTAATATTAGCACATAACGTGTCGTATTTTAATGTTAATATGGTAAGTATTTTGATGACCGATCGTTTTAATCTGACTGGCCTTGGTTTCTAAATTGAGGCATACTAAGCGCTTAAAGTATTTACAAAGGCAGGCGTAATCTTCTGCGCGCAAGAGGTACGTCGTCACCATTAAAATGCATCTTCGTTGTCATCATGGTCACATAGCTGAGAAGACCTCGTTGTCCAGGCCGTTCTCCTTGCCAGTGTTTTCCGGTTGCTCCGTGGCAACTGTCACTATGTCAACACCATCGTTATCCACGGCTGGATCAGTTAAGTATGGGTTGATCTCTTTCACCTCGAGCACATCTGCCTCCTCGTCTTTCTTGGTGTAATCCTGGAAGAGCAGCGAGAGACTGACTATAAAAGCATTTCCCCCCTGCAGATTCACAACGCATTCTTAAGTCCACATGTGCATATCTTACCGGTTTTTCGTCTCCGCATCGCAGTGGCTTCTTAATCACTTCTGGGAGGCAACAGTACAGACCGTCTACGCAATGAGACCGAAGGACAGGGTCGATGTCTTGCCTCTTGGTGGCACCTACAGACAAAAATAAAAAGTATTCTCCTCCTGTACTGTCGAATTCTGGAATTATTTAAATTGTTTCAATTTGCCCAGTTAAAGCCTTGTGGCGGAAGGATAGTAGGAAGCGACTGAACATTTGGCTGCGCTGGTGCTGGATGTGCGAGCCTTAGACGCACGCTCGTGAACTCACTGGCTGTTGCGACCACTTCAAATAGACATGTGCGTCAAATTTCAGTTTGCACCGCTTGATCCAGATGGGAGGGCTGTAAAAAATATCTTCCAGTGATTCCGCTAAAAACACGATGGCCAAAGTTTGTTTTTCAGGGAGAGTCGACAAGTGTGGGAGACAGGTTCACAGGAGGACAATCCTTGTGCCTACACACCGCGAGTAAATTGACATATCTGCTTGGTGTGGGTGGCAATGGCATTCAAGTATCGGCCCGTCCTCTCTTACCCCAAAGGGCGCGCCGTGGGGCACAGACCCCACAATATTTCATAACTTGTTGTCATAGTGCCATGCCGCACAATGCATTCAATACGCATAAGCTTCTAAAAAACATGATGATATCCAGTTGGCTCGCTGCATGTGGAGGGTAGCATTCTAGCTTACCGGTTAGAAAACTGGCCAATATTCCAACGAAGACGGTCACCAGCCAAAAGACACAAGCATACCAGGCGTATGAAAGTGTGTACAATTCAGCAGTAGGTGGGCTAATGGGGGAGAAATACAAACAACATCCATCACCTTCGAGCGTAATCATACAAACTGACACAAAAACACTTACATCTTAATTAAAAGATTTCAAGTTTCGACCTTGGTGTAAGTAACACATAGATCCAGATAGAAAGGTCACCAAGCAGTAATGAGAATCAGTTTAAGAAATTACATTTCTGGCGGGAGAGTCGTCGTCAAAAGTGGGCTGGGTGTCGTGGTGGTCAGGTTGCATCCTTCGATGGTTAGCGGCGGTCTGTAGGCACTCGGCGGGTAAATGACTGCCCCTACGCCGACCCAAAAGGCGAATCCCAGACCTGCCACAAGCCCCGTGATTGCACCCTACAAAAAACAAACAAGTTTGGTTTTGAACATGGAGCTAAGCCCAGTTTTGGAAACATTTTCAGGTTTTTTTATTGTTTCTCTTTTCCCAGATGAAACAGATAACCTTGGAAAAGATAGCAATCATTAGACCTAACACATGCAGGGTGGCCACATTGCTGGCGATGACAGCAAAAAGTGATAGTCACAATAATAAGTGAAGTGACTTAGAACAAAAAGAGGCCATAACGATGATCATGCAGTGCTGTGACATGATGGCACCTTTTTGACCAAGGAGAAAAACATGCATAAAGTTCATTTCGACAAAATGGGAGTTGTGGAAGACGGCACATGGAGAGGTTTGTGATGCCGTAGATACTCTTCGCAAGAGAGGCCTAAGATAACGATGGAGCTAAGGAGATAAAGTCCCTTAGGCACATGAAGTTCAAAATGAACGTACAAGTAGACTACAGAGAATCGTTGGACGGGGTTGATAATAATGACCGACCCTGCGTTTATTCTGATGACAATAACGATATTGTTCATTGTCATTCAAATGGTTGTGGTGGGGATATTTCTACCTTTGAGTTAGTCCAGGGAAAGAACAGTCCCAGGCTGTACAGACCCAGCAGTGGACCTCCGGTCATACCGAAGAGGCTCAGTGCTAACTAGAAAAATGAAAACACAAGCGTACGGTATTTAATTAATCCTTTGAATCCAAAAGGATGCTGGCCAATTTTTCTTAGAGAGCACGTTGTGGTTCGAATGGGCCTGAGTTAAGTTGTTTGACACATATTTTACTTCCAAGGCATTAAACGCAGATTCGAATTTCACCCAAAATTAAATAAAGTACCCAAAGCATTCTACTTACCAGAACAGACGGATACGTAGATGACAAAAGTACTTTTTTCAGATTTATCATCATTAGAAACCATTTCTTTCACATCGACTAAGCAACAGGTCATGCACATTCTCTGACAAATCTCATACAATCCTTGGCAATATTAAAGCAATCCTTAAAGAAAGGTTGCGCTTCATTGGGTACTTCGGGAATTGGTGATAGCCGGGAAAACATAAAAGTTTTCGAGGCAAGCAGGGCAGCATCTCCAACACAAAGCTACTTGAAGAGTAAGGCAATGTTTATGTACAAGTTTTATTTTCTCGTTATTTAAGTCTGATAGATAAACATTATAAATTCAATCGAGAGAAGAAGGGGAGTCGGGAGCCAATCAAAACCACACAGACATGCAGCTGTGATCAGATGGATATACAATCCTACACGCACAATGCGGCACAGTGAAGGAGTTCATGAAGTGGACGGCTTGTACCGTGTGATATACCTGTGTATATTTGTAATTGACACAAACCTGCAAAACACCCTGGTTGAGCAACGAGGTTATGTACGAAATCACTATGCAAAGCAGGCCAAATCCAAGGGCTGAAAAATAAAGTACGCAGAATTATGAAAATGATAAGCTTGGAACCGAGGAGCTTGAATACTAGACGGACTCATAATGCTTAGGGCATTCGAGAAATCAAACAATACCCGTGAACATTTATTAGGCGATGCCCAAATTATGGAATGCATGTATGAACAAACAAAACACACAAATATACCACCACTGCCCCCTTCAAAAAGGAAAAAAATGCGTTCGTGTGACTGCACATTCTGGGAGGAACTAGTACTTACCAATGCCTTTTGTAATTAGCGTGAATCGCTCTTGACTGATGCGGGGGAAACAGGGCTTGACCAGATCCTCAGCTGTCACAGCGGCTAGAGCGTTCAGACCAGAAGAAACCGTACTGACATATATAAGACAGAATAAAAACAGTCAAACAACCAAAACGATTTTTTTTAGATTTAAAATCCCATTGTATTAGAAACAAAAGCATGGTGGCGTGAAGGATTTTGCAGATTTGCTAGTCTGGACACGAGCCTTAGAACAGTTTGGTTTCAAATAATGTCTCTGCACTGAAAGGCCAGGGAAAATCTCCTTCAAAGTCAAGACAAAATAAGAGTCACGCCCTAAGTACAAGGTTGCTATAGAAGGATCAGAACGTAAGAGACGCGCTGGACAGACGGCGTGAAGGAATGAACACTCGTGGAATGAAGGTGCCACCGGTGAGGGCTTAGGACTGGCCGTCAAGGTTGAGTGCTCTCGATCCAGACGGAAACTTGTATGACAGGTCTCACCTCAGCGCTGCACTGAAAACAGCTGAAGTGAAGAATCCTGGAAGGCCGGGGACCCGCCCAAACAACTCCATCATGAAGTAAGGAATCAACTGAAATAAGCGGAAACAGAATCGAAGATAGCATTTTTCTAACTTAAATATAAAAGTTAACAGAAAACAACAAATCAGTCCAGACGGTCATCGACTTGCTCAACCTCTGCAGCGTCAACTTATTTCAGCTCAAAAAAATTGCAGCTTTAAAATGTCATTTCCGATAATTTCTGTCAAAGTTAAGTCTATTAACACAAAAAGGAAATCTCGGCTTATGTGTGCCACCTTTGTTGCCTCAAAGTTGCATTGATTGTTTTCTGGCTTTGCCCCGTCGGTGGAAGGCAAGAAAGCCGGAAAGTCCTTAGTCTCAGAACTGATACCTGGTCGGTCTGTGAGACTTTGTTGCTGGTGTAGGGGTCGCACTGTTTCTCTGCATAGAAGGAATACATGACGAGACCAGACAAACAGGCCGCCGAGACGACAATGATCATGCCAACAGCTGCTAAACACATAGCTCTGCCAAAAACAAAACAAAAACAGAATTTAACCACATAATTTATGTAAGTTGACGACAGAAATGCTTCAAAGTCTATCAGCTATTGGATCAATAATTTGTGTTCAATACAGCTGCACAGAAAACAGCGACAAAAATCACTTGGAATAAGTTTTTGCAACTAAAAATCCAACACAGTCTTTGATGGGAAAAATAGGGTCTGTTGATACACCCTGTTAGGACGACGTTGTACGTCCTACAACATATAAATGTAAATACTTTGCAAAACGGGGAACATGCACGATGTGTTACAAAACAACAGAAGTTCAAATCTTGGATTTTGGCATCCTTCCTTCAGAGCTTCTCAAAGTAATCAATTTTTGCAAAATATTGTTATCTCTTTCTCAACCTAGTTTCAGTTGGCTGTTACTATGTTGCATTGTTTAAAAAAAAATGGCTGTGAAACTTGCGTTGACTATAAAAGACATAGTCTTCAGCTTTGTTTTCTGGAAAATTCGGTTAGTACAGGACTCTGCTGCAATGTATCGGCCGAATGAAGGCACTTACATCCGGGCTCTTTTGACGCTTCCTGTCGTCATGTAGCGCTGCACCTGCGATTGGTTGACAGCGTAAGTCGTCGACCACGTGAAGCATCCCCCAACGACAATGGACCAAAACGTGTGGCGAATGCTTGGATCGATGTTGAAACTATGAAAGGGAACAGGGACCACGAAATGAGCATTTCTTACATCAATAGCTTGATGAATAACTGCTACCTTATCATCTTTAAGATGACACGGAGAGATCGCGTCAGCTAAGATCAAATCCACCTGAAAACAGCCCTCTCTCTCCAAATGGCGTGGTTTTGACACGTGCTGAGTAAACCAAATCAGCATGGTCATCCTCGTGCTCCCTACCAACTTGTGCACGGGGAAGAGGTAGAATTAGGCAGACTTATATCCTGTAGGCCTAATGCCGGCAGTATTGTTGCAAGAAGTTTCCAAAGGTAATATCTTACATTTATTCCGAGAGGTAGCCCAAATAAGAGCAAACTTGAGGAGCCTAGCCAACTAGTTAGTGGCTCAATTTCCAAAATCACATTCACAAACTTTAAAAGCGTTCTGTGCTTTACGGTCATGCCTCTTATTTCACAAAACTGAATAATGTCTAGGGGCGTCGTTCGTGATAGCAAAGAATGTTCCGTTGTTCGTGCGTGGAAGTCATTTTTTTACATCATTAACCTTGAATGGAAATGTTCTTCTCTACATTGCTTGTTTGATGGCTAGACTCACTTCCAGAAGTCGATGCGGCCTCCTTCCTCGGCGATCTGCCAGACGTTGCCGATTCCACCCAGGCGGATAGTTCCCTCGATGATGATGGCCAGAAAGCCCGCCATCATGAGGCACGTCTGAAACACGTCGGTCCACAGCACGGCCTTCATGCCACCCTGAAGGTTGTCCCAAACGGCAAAGTAATCCTTTATTATTAGCTCGTGTTTGGTATGTGTTTTATGCACAGCTCTATCCGAACTGCGTCACCATACGCATAAAAGAGCAGAGCCATCACCATGGGCTTGAGGTTTACGCCAGTTTGTATTTCCTCCTAGACACCCGTGGTGGTAATTGTACAGGTACACTGCATGTGTGAGTGGGCCCAAACGGTTGTTAGATGGTTTTAAAAAGGCTTCCGTCTGGGTTCAGTTACCCTGGTCAATCCTCCTGGCCATAACATGTGAAATTATGCATGTTGTTCCGACTGACATGTTCCCAGTTTGGTGAAATTTGCCCAATGTACAGGTATTAACTTTACGTCAGCCTGATTTCAATTATTGGTTTCGGCTGCATGAAGAGAGTAAGAATCCCCAGTAGTTGACTCTAATATGTACCCCAGCAACATAATGTGAAATTCTGATCGAACAGCTGACCATTGGGCAATGCTTACAATAGTTGTATATACGGTGCAGACGAGTCCCGTGGCCAGGACGGATCCCCACAAGCTGATGTTGGTCACTGCAAGAAACGAAGGGGTTATAGATTTTGAATCAAAAAGCGAATGATAGAGTAATACAACCGATAAAAACGAAACAGCATGCCTTGAAACTGGTGTCAATCTGCTATTTCACGTACGCCCTTATCGTACCCCGATGATCACCCCTTTGAAAACGCACAAAATGAACAGTTTTTCTCTATTTGTTAGTCTTATCCCACCTCTGAAGAGGACATCTCCCTCCGTATCTAAACGTCTGGTCGTAATAAAAGCCGGAAGAAATTGAAAGTAAAAAATTGACACTGTTTAGAGCAAAGGGAAGCTATTTCTCTTTCAGAGGTTTAACTAAGTGATGGATACAAACCCGCATTGAGTGCCAAGGCTGGAGCGTAGATGACAATTCCCATGTAGAATACCTTCAGAAGAGAAGGGAGAGGGAGAGATCAAGAGAACTGTTTAATGGCACAGCACAATCGGATATAGGAATATTGTCACGTATCGAAAAGTGAACCCACTTTTGTAGCCATCCATTTCTGAAGGGCGGTGAAACACCACCTCCCCAGGGATCACTACTCACAGATTTTGTGCAATTTGTTTGGGACTTCCAATGCCCTTTCTCACATAGGCCTATTGGTCACCAAACCCATTTGGACGAGTCCCCACTCTGAGCATAATTCCTCACCCGTAAAGATGCAGCTATATTTTCGAAGAAATAGATGGATACTAAGATACATATTGACAAATATATAAAATGAATGTTAAATAATAATTTCCTGTCAAACACCTAGGCCTATGTTTAATAGGCATACATAGTAGAGTAAATGTGTGTGAAGTTTATGAGACAAACATGGGTTTTATTGTCTGTCGTGCTTCCGGACGACGAAAGTAAATTGTCCCTCATAAAACTATGGTAGACGTATGACATTATAGGGCTGGAATGCTAGAATGAGCCACCAAGACAAAATTAATCATGACATACGAAAGGAAATGAGTCTTCGAGACGAATGCGAAGTGAACCGTGTATAATTTTTTACAAAAAAACATTTCTTTTAATTTACATGAAAATCTATTATGTGCAGGTGTTGCTCGGCTTCTATTCAAGGCCGTCGACTCGTGTGGAGAAGGCAATGACACCGCATCGTTTGCAGAGTTTGAAAAGAAACTTATCATACGCATGAACCAATATTTAAAGAGAGCCTTTTTATTGCAAACTGGTCTGTTTGAATGGTGCATTAACTGCATCCATAAACTAACACATTTTATAACACTCCGCAACTGGTTGCTTGACTGGCGCCCAACAATATTGACTGATGGCAAGTATGACACAACAAAACACAGGACATTCGTATGTGATCACAACCGAACCCATAGTATACGCAAATATTTGCATCACTACCATCGACAGGGTCCATCAATCCTTTCTTCAAATAATGACAAGATTATAAACTAAATCAGTCTGAATTCCGCGAGCTGCGTGAATTTTTCTCACTTTGGGCGTGTCTGAAACCGGTTATAGATTATATGCTACACCCTCCACATGCGTCAAAAAGTACGATTTAATAATGGCGACAATAATGCACACACGTGACAGACTTGGGGAAACATGACATCGCTTAGCCATTGTCGCACTACCCGGGCCAGAAATCGTGCATGTGGATAATAGACCAACTTCAGAACAGAACAGGAAAGTGCAAAGTAGAACATACCATATTCAGGAAAAATGTTAGAGTGGCTGAGATGCGAACTGCTTTGCCGAAGCGTAACTCGAGGTACTGAAACAAATGGAAACATTTCAAAACTGTGCTTTTATAGCGCCCAAGGTTCTAAACTGGTTTAGGGACATTGAAGGAGAAAATCTCATAACAAAACTACACGTTTGGGAACTTGAGTTAATCATTCACAGAAATGAATGCACGTTACAAACAGAACAACAAAAATGAAAAATTTTCTCAGTGATTACAGTAATTGGATCCACATTTTCAAACCTTTTGTGAGTATTGTTCAAGTTTTATTCACATCACAGCGTTGATTTTACCCTTTAGTTGCAATCATCTTGAAGACTTTCACAAAGTACAGTCACTGTTAGATACCGGACTACTTCTGAGGAATTTGGAAAAAAAAATTAATTGTGCCTAACAAAAAACTTAAGAAACTTTAAAGCTCCAGGGAAACGAAAACGACCTAGGATCTGAAATGATGTCATCATTTTTGTTTCCTGTATGTGAACTCACACCATACCTCGTTTGCACTGGTCACATTAAGCCTGAAAAACGTCGGGATAAACAGCCGCGACACCACGAAAGCGATGATGGGGTAGGTGAAGGCGAACAGCCAGAACATGGAGCCGTAGATGTAGACCTCGGCCGGCGTACCCAGGACTGTGATTGCCGAGATGAAGCTAGCCACCAGTGACAAGGCCACGGGGATGGGGTTCATGTTGCGGTCGGCCAGCAGGAACTCGCTGGTCGTCCGCTGTTTGCCGCCGGTGCAACCGTAGAAGAAGCCGATGCTCAAGGAGATGAGAAGCATGCAGCCAAACACCACGTAGTCCCAGACGCCGAAAGTACCAACAACTTCCAATTCAGCCATGGTGTCACTGCGAGGGAGCTACGGTAGAAGGCTAAACCAGGGGTGAGTCTCCACTGAAGGTGTGGCGCAGTACAACTTGTGATCTGGTGCCAGCTTCTTGCCCAGATTTCGTTTTCTGATGAGGAAGTGAGAGGTGTGAATACTGCCTGTCCTGCCACTCAAAACGATGAGTGAGCATGAGGCTACTAATACTCTGAATAATCATGACGTGTTATGTAAGGTATTTACTAATGAACCATTTACATATTAATTTTCAGCACACGAAACCGATCAAGCTAACTTTATCCCGTCTGTTTACCTGCCATGTCTCATAACCCTCTGAAATGTGGTTGCATCCACAACCAACCACTTGAGCGAGCATTTTAAAGCCACAGCCGAGTTCCCTGGCCAAGGGCTTTGGCTCTAGAGATGCCAGAGACCGGTAATGTATACCAGTACGCACACGTCTGCGCATATTCTAAGACTACTAAAAGAGGGCGCATTTTTTTAGCGTTTCATCACGGGGAGCAAGAGTCCCTTCTTTATGTACATTGTAGTTGTATTTGGCCACCAGTGGCTGGTAGAACTATGGCTGGCAGCTTTTAAAAGAAGCAAATAATAACGAACACAAGCATAGACGCAAGCATAATAGCTGTAAGAGAGCGTGTAAAGTTCAGCGATTGCCTGGCTAATCGGGGAAAAACAAAATAACATTACCGTAAAGCCTGAACAATCAAACGGGGGCACAAAGAAAGTTTACTCTATTTAGGGAAGCAAGAAGATTTTTATTTCTAAACGGTAACCCAGCAACAGATACAACGTGCATTGAGTGCCAAGGCCGGAGTATAGATGACTATTCCCATGAAAAATACCTTCAAAAGAGAAGGAAAACAAACCTACATAATTGTTCAATGACATGTCATAACATATAAGAATACTGTCTTGTCAGCAAATATTGACTGCTTCGAGTGGTAGCAAACTAGCCTCCCGAGTTATCCGTAGAGCATTCTATTCGTCCTGGGAGACTAGTTTTACTATACTAAGAGATAAAGCAGTCAACATTTGTTTTGCAACACCTCACCCACAGGTTTTTAACGCTATGAGCAGAAATTTCACGCCTGGGTACTATTCATGGTTACTATTCATTTCGCTGCAGCGGTTCACTATCCAGAGACCCCATGCACTTTGTAATAGACTTCCAACGCCCTTTAGCAAAGTGGTAGCAATGCCAATTTTTATCATGCGTCCCACTTTGAGCTTAGTTCTTCACCAGAAAGTGCAACGATTTTTAAGAATCTTCATTTAAAAAAGCATTGCGCGCCTCCGTGCGATATACGCTCACGCGAACTGAAAATTTTTGGAAATGCAGGTTTATAATTGTAGGTTCATTTTTTCCTTGTACCTTCCTAGACGATAAGCTTCGAATTTGTCCTAAGAAGACTGGAACGCGTAGACACAACAATGAATGAAGGCAGTGGTCATGCTAAATAGATGATTTTTTTCAACACATTGTGTCCAGTCAGGGTCGCCACAAGCATGAACCAATTTTGAATGAAAGAACCAAATATTACAAACTGATTCGTTTGAAGGGTACAAAAACCCCACCCACGAAACTAAACTGACCTCAATTTGGACGCTGATACGCCAGCATTTCATACAAAATGCTACATACCCTGGAAATGACTGCCCGACTGCCAAACAACAGGGTTTGCTAGTGGCAGACATGACACAATAAAACATCAAAAATTCTTACAGGATCACTTTACAATCTTCAGCAAATATTGACATCAGCACCATTGGCAGAGTTTAATAATCTTTTCTTTAAACAGCATCAAGATTATTCTTTGAAACAATTTGTCCAAGCTGCGACACATTGTCACTGTATACGGGTGTGTCTAAACAAACGATTGGAGTAAAAGGGTCAGAAAGATGAATACCCAGGACGTCCGCGCATGAACTTGAAACAACAACACTACATAAAATAACACTGTGGGTACAGCAATCATAATTTGGTAGTCGTGAATAAATGATGAAGCCTGTCTAACATGGGTTGATAATTCAATGACTGCAAAAGGAGAGGCCGAGAAAGGAAGAAGTAAAACATACCATATATAGGAAAAAATATTAGAGTTCCCACTTTGTTGAAGCGTAACTCGAGGTACTGAAACAAAAGGAAACATTTGAAGACTATTCATGATGTCCAAAGTTGGTTTGGAGACATTAAAAAGAAACCACAAACTGAAACCCCAAGTTAAGAATCTGCAGTCATTCATTTTTAACCGTAAATGATTGGTTAAAGGTGGTGAACGCCATTGGTAAAATCCCGAAAATCGGACTACCGTATAATCCTAAAGTATCTTACTTGAAAGAGAGTCCATAACAGTCTCAATCAGTCTGTAAAATATTTCAACCCAGAATGCTGTAGTTTTCAAGAAAACCAAAAATTGTGGTCTTTTTTTACGATAGTCTGCCGGCCATCGTAATAGAGTTAACTTCACTCTGCACACCACATCCTTTAACGGACGCCAATTTTCTAAGGTAGTGTATGCAGATCTTGTAGGGGTTTCCATTAATGAACACATAAACCTAAAAGCAACTAAAAATATACCGACATTCTTTCACGAACAGCACTGTGAACTGAAATTATAGGAACCCGAGTGTTAGGCGTAAAGTAGAAAGTAAATCAGTGGATCAGTATGAAGTTAAATTTTATTGAAGGGAAGTTGTTGTTGGGGAAACTCTGCAAATTCAAATCACCCCTAGATAATAATAGTATAATCCAGTATGGCAAACAAAGTACAATTTCCACACGTTAATCCTCCCTTGTTGTAAGATACAATTCTTTTTTACTTATAATTATTAATAACTATGAATGGAGTTTTAGACTTTTATCGACGCGTGTGAACTGACATGAAAATGCCGTATAAGCACGATTGCGCGCGCACGTGTGATAGGCCTCCTCCTTTCATGTCTCGGACAAGAGGCGACTGCTGTATTCGTGGGTGAAATGTTTCCACGAATTCACAATGCTACAATGTCGAGGACGCGCTTTACTCCAAGGTAATTTAACTGATTACTCCTTGTAACCGTTGAGAACTGATCCTTCCCTAAGGGAATGGGAACCTACCATACTTGTTTCCCACCCTGGCCCCGCGGATGATGTTCGCTTGTACTACGAACGCCCTATAATCCATAGATTTTACGTAAGATAAACCACAACAAATTTGATTTAAACGTTGAAAATGCTGCGCTGTTTTTCTCGATTTTTTACGAGCAGTTAACTCAAACATGAATTTGAATGTAGAAGGGGCAGTGTAAGGAGAATTTGACACATAAAATACAAAGGTCGCTGACCTCGCCAGAGGTAACAACCGTCCAAAGGTCAGATACGACAAATCCATTATGATACGACAAATCCTTTATGATACCCTTTAATGTAAAAAAAGAACCTACAATTGGACCATAGAAAGAAAAACATGTGTTATTGATCAAATCCAGTTCATAGTTACAATAAGATAAAATGAACGTCAGTGAACTTATCAAGGTAAATGACCTTTTAAAGATCAGTGAAGGTAAGTTATGAAACGTCATTCTGATATTCTTTCACATTTTAAATACCTCACATTTGGACTAGGGCAGTTTTAAAATGTAAATTTGGTAAAATACTATAAGGTAGCAAGAGGTCAGATATAAGATGTTCCCACATCTAAACATTCTACTCTAGGAATGAAGATCTAAGCGAAGTTTCATGCTTTTATCAAAAGTGCTCAGTTTGGGGGCTTAGCTGCCCAACAAATATAGCTCTTTTCAACCGATAAGGGGTGTTTCTAGCACTGGCAACAAGCAACGTTGAAATTGAGTCTATCCCAAGTCCCTTCTCAAGACTTTCCCAAGACCAGCCGTGGGAAACAGGGTGAAAAATAACATATAAAATAAGTAATACTTTGGTCACAAGTTATTTGAAAAGCTGGCTACAAGCCCAAATGATTTAATCTTTCTATGAAAAGACGTTAAAAAACTAAGAAGTAAGTTAAACGTATTTCTTACTAAGTATGTACCTGTAGTCATACAGCTGTATGGAAATCAAAGTAAAATAGTTGTGTTTTACCTCTTACTTGATTATTCTATTTTCAGACGAATCATCTTTGGCACCGAAAAGGACATTTTAAACACTGGACATTTTAATACTCTTAGCGTGGCTGTTTATTGTTTATGCCATTGGAACCATGAATTGCTCTTTTCTTGAAGAGCTGTTGATTACGAAGCTGATACATTTAGCGGCCAATCAGAGTTCGTCTCAAGAGGAGGAATGCGAATCCCCTAAATCTACTTTGCGTACGATGAAATTAAAGACTCCAAATGCTGTTATCTATCTACGTGAATATCATGGGCATATCATTTGAAATTTATGGTGCCGATTTCAAACTTCTCTGACTCATTAATCAAGCTGTTTTATGTGTGTGTGCCTGTAATGTTACCGGACATGTTTTTGTACACTGTTAAAAGTTTCTGTTAAATAACAGTAGATACTATTGTCAAATGGCTTTATATGAGTTGTTGGTTTGGGACAGCACTTTCTACGGTCAGTTTTTCCTCTGTTTACTAAAAGGAAATTTTTATGGAAGTGTATTTAGGAAATGGTAAGAAAAACAAATTCGTAAGAACGGATTACTATTTCGTACGTATGGATTACTAAACCGTATTTACGGATTAGTAATCCACATGTTGCATTGCATGACTAAATTTCAGGTCACTGGGCCCGAGCAGGACCAAGAGAGGGTACGATTTTCGAGCAACAGAGGCTCCCTTGGTAAGAACTCCACTTTGCTGGTTCCCGATTGACAATGAACGTTGCGTACGCGTCCAGCCCTACCAACAAAACAACACTCCCCACCAGCATGGCTCGTTTCAACCGATGAGGAGATGCTTCTGGTAAAGACGGAATTTAAAATGCGACCAGTGCCTAGGATCATTATTTACAAAACCGCACGTACAAACAAAGTATGTATGAACAAAGTTTTTCTTACCCTGTCCTAAATACACTTCCAAAAGAATCTTCTGTTAGTATACAGAGAAACTGACAGTAGAATGTGCAGTCCCAAAATAGGAACTTCTCTATTATTCTATTATTAATGCCAATTAATAATAGAATCTACTGTTATATAACAGACAGTTTTTAACAGCGTATTACCGGTCCTCGATATATTAAGCCTGCTTCTTATGAATGATAGTGTATAACGGTTCTTTTTGTAACAAGAATGGTTTAATCTGACTGGCCTTGGTTTTTGATTGAGGAAAATTAAACGCTTAAAGCATTCATAAACGCAGGCATACTTTTTCTGCGCGGAAGAGGTAGGCCTACGTTGTCATCATAAAAATTAGTCATCGTTGTCAACATATGGTTAAAGAGCTGTGAAAACCTCATTGTCTAGGCCGTTATCCTTGTCAGTACCACCAGGATGGTCATTGGCAATTGTTACCATGTCAACATCATCGTTACCCAGGGCGTGATTGGTCAAGTCTAGTTTGACCTCTTTCACTTCGAACATATCTGCCTCTTCGTCCTTCTTGGTGTAATCCTGAAAGAAGAGAAAGATAGAGATGACTTGCTTGACTATCAAAGCATTTTTTTCTCTCTGATTCATGACACAGTCTGATCGTGTGCTGCCTACCGGTTTCTCGTCTCCGCATCGTAGTGGCTTCTTAATCACTTCTGGGAGGCAGCAGTACAGACCGTCCACGCAATGAGACCGAAGGACAGGGTCGATGTCTTGCCTCTTGGTGGTACCTACGGACCAAAAAAGTATTCTTCTCCAGTACAGTCGCGGAGAACAGCAGTCTGTAGTTCCTACTGCATCCAGTTAGCACGCTTAACACACTTCACCTTCCACTTAGTCCAGTGAAGGGTGGTATACCTTCCGAATTCTGGATTTTTCTGAGTTACCTTTTTTATATACCATGGGACGGAAGGATAAAAGGAAGCATCTGTGATAGTTGGTTTCGCTGCTGCAGGATATGCAAGAGTTAGGTGCGCGCTCGTGGAGTCCCTGGCAGGTAGCCAAGGCCACTTTCAATCTTCGATCAAAGCCAGTTGATCCAGAAAGGAAATTGAAAGGATTTCTTCTGGGAGGATGCCCATCTGAACCCTAGCAAAAAGAGGGCAGCAAGCTGGCTTACCTGTCAGGAAACTGACCAGAAGTCCAACGAAGATGGTCACAAGCCAAGAGACGCAAGCATACCAGGTGTATGAGAGTGTGTAAAATTCAGCAATGGGTGGGCTAAGCGGGGAAGAAGCAAAATACCATTACTTTAGAGCATGAGTGTACAAAACTGGCAAACGTAATTATGAACTCGGTTCGAATCCTGAGCAAACGATAGCCAGACAGATTCTTTTTAAAAGTTACATTTCTGGCGGGAGAGACGTCGTCAGAAGTGGGCTGGGTGTGGTAGTGGTCAGGTTGCATCCTTCAGTGGTTAGCGGTGGTTTGTAGGCGCTTGGAGGGTAAATGATTGCCCCGATACCGACCCAAAAGGCAAAACCCAGGCCTGTCACCAGCCCCGTGATCGCACCCTTCAAAAATTAAACAAGCTTGGTTTTGAACAGGAAATAAAACAGTTTCAGAAATATTTTCAGTTATTTGTTTATATGGTGTCTTAATAGTTTTCTGACTGAAATGACGTTAATAATGAGATTCCTAAGTGCAGAAATAGAGGACGACGACACCGGTGATAGAAGACGATGACGCGCAATAGACAATTAAGGGGAAAATAGCAATGACTTTGGAGGCACACATGAATGGCAACAATGATGAACCTGGCGACATTAACGACAGAGATGATAGCGACATATCAAAACTTGAACTAGCGATAACGAGGATCGAGCAGATGCTGTAAAATAATGAACTCGGGGTTTTCAAAAATGGCAGGCTTACATGAAGTTCATATCGACAAAGCTTTAGGTGTCTACGACAGCCCATGGGGAGGTTTGTGATGCCATAGATACTTATGAGAGGCATGGGGATGGCTCGGATGACCTTACAGCTGCAGTTGAAGTTGATGGCAGTGAAGCTGTATCAGACAAAGATGACGACAGAGCTGGAGAAAAAAGTTCTAAAGTATATGAAATTCACAATAAAACACACAGGAGGACGACAGAAATCGTTTGATGAGGGTGACTGTAGTGAGTCTGTACTTATGCAGGTGACAATGATGATAATTTAGAGTATGGTGGTGTTATTATGAAGGTATTTGCTACCTTTGAGTTAGTCCAGGGAAAGAACAGTCCCAGGCTGAACAGACCAAGTAGAGGACCTCCGGTCATGCCCAAGAGGCTCAGTGCAAACTTGAATAATAAACATTTTGTTAACAGTTTTTAATACTTTTAATCCAAAACGATGTTTGAAACCACACTCAAGATGCGAATGGCTTCAGCCGAAGTTGTATGGCACGTATTTTACAAGGAATTTGATTGCGATTTGAAGGTCGTTAAGCTAATATAAAATAGCCACTACTTTCTATTCACTAGAACAGACAATTATACGTAAATGAAAAACGTAACGTTACCTTTACAGTTCAAAATGATAAACAATCGCCATAAAAGCATAGTTTCTACCTCGACAAGGGATAAATATCATTTGGCATTCTGCATTACTAGAATCCTTCGCAGTCAGCCTTCTTTCATTTGGTACTCTTAGGTAACTGGCTACTGTTGTTGTAACTAGAAAAAAACGGAATTTTCGAGGTGAACCGGCCTTATCAACAGAAGGGTAAAAGTTCAAAGAAAATTCAGGAACCAAGCTGGATAATCGGTGATCCCGAACTTACGGTTATGTATTGATTATAGCGCTAGCGGTGTTCTACTGGATTGAAAGCTTTGAGGAGCACTTTCACGTACAGGTGCATCTTTATTTTTTTTTTTACTTTTGATCTTTAAACATAAAATTAAGTTAATCAAGTGAAGAATAAGCTGAGAATCAGAGGCCAATTTTATGTCGCACAGAAATGCAGCAGTCGACCAAATGGATGCCAAAAAAACCTAAACATGACGCCAGAGACACAAAATAAGTCACACTTCCTTGGAGTGGACAACTTCCATAGTGTTATGTAAAAACGGCTGGGCCATTTTTTAAGCGAATTAGAACCCAGTTGTGGGGACATTTCTCTGTCTCCATAACATTTTTAGTCCCAACAAAATAGATGAAATATCGTGACCGCGTTTGTGACCATAACTACGGAACAAGGAACTTCATATATGAAATCCACATACCTGTAAAACGCCCTGATTAAGCAATGAAGTTATGTACGCGATCAGTATGCAAAGCACGCCGAACCCAAGTGCTGAAAAATAAAGCATGGAGAGTTTAGGAAAACGAGACGTTTCGAACCAAGGGGGAAAATGAAGCTTAAATATTATCGTCAGACACACGAACAAAATTGAAGACATTCGTCTCAAAAAGCAAGATAAGGTATCTAAAGACAGGTTTTTACCTAGATTTTAAGATTAAAAATATCAAATTGTAGCTGGTTATTTGACATCGGTAATCATGTAGTAAACATTGTAAGTACACATCTTGATCAGAGTTGATGTTCATATCCACTTTCAATTGTAACTGCCCCAGGAATTGCTGTCCAGGAGAAAAAAGAGGTGGAGACAGATTGAACCGTACGATTTCAACCTGCAGTGACTGCCTTTTAGTGCATATTCTAGGACGATGTGGTACTTACCGATGCCTTTGGTAACCAGTGTGTATCGCTCTTGACTGATGCGGGGGAAACACGGCTTGACCATGTCCTCAGCCGTGACAGCGGCGAGAGAGTTCAGCCCAGAAGAAACCGTACTGGAACAGCAGTTGAAAAGGTGAAAGAAATTTTGATATTTGAAATTTCAGTGGGTAATGTGTACAATGTAGAAAGGCAGTTAGGCACTCCATCTACAGGACAGGACAGGATGCAATGATATGTTCTCATTGAAATTGACCTAGCTTAAATGAACGTTGACTCCTTCCACATACAGTGTGTCGGTGTGTGGGGGAGGGGTCAGGGGCGGTGGTGATGATACAGTACATCTGGTGACACACACCAACTTTACATTAAAACGGCGTAATAAATGCTTTTTAAATTAGTTGTTCCCTTTTTAGTTCTACCAAATGTTTGGTTGTGAGTTCGAAACGTACCTTATTTTCACCTTTTTGCCACCCTCTGGTCAAAATTTGGGAGGAGGAATATATCCCCTTCAACGGAATGTAAGCCCATGCCGACGGGGACATTAAGAAAGGTCTCAAAGGTCAACTGACCTGAGTGCGGCGCTGAAAACGGCTGAAGTGAAGAATCCTGGAAGGCCAGGGATCCGCCCGAACAACTCCATCATGAAGTAAGGAATTAACTTAAACAAGAGGAAAACAGAAGCAAAGATAGAATTTTTCTAAATGAAACATAAAAGTTAACACAATACAACAAATCAGGCAAGACGGTTGAACCCATCAGAGAGTAATCTTTTACACCGCAGCGTCAACGTAAAGTAGCTCCAAAACATTGCACTTAATTGTCACGAAACAAAGCCAAAAATAGCAGCCCCGACGCAAAATTATACATCCTCAGTCTTGGGACTCATACCTGGTCGGTCTGTGAGACTTTGTTGCTGGTGAAGGGATCGCACTGTTTCTCAGCGTAGAAGGAGTACATGACGAGACCAGACAAACAGGCCGCCGAAACGACAACTATCATGCCAACAGCTGCTAAGCATAGAGCTCTGAAACAACAAGAAATTCAGGAAATATTAAATAAATCTAACGTTTTAAATCACGTCATTATTAATGCAAAGGGCTAGTTTGAAATATAGATTTATACAAGTTACACTGTACCCGAAATTTCAGCCAGTACTTTGGCCTCATGCCGTTTGAGGCCTCCGTAATCTGTTCTTTATTAAATGGAAGTTGTTATATCTCTCTTTCTAAAGCTTTCATTTATCTGTTCTGCCACTTTGTCACAAAACTTAAAAATGAAATTGTAGTACAACAATTTTGGCAGCCCAAACTAGTCAAAATTACGACTCATGGAGTAGAAACCTATGGAAGTTGTGCTCAGTGTGTGGATTTTTCATTTCTTATGTAACATAAAATAAATATGCCGTCTTAAAGGATTTTTCTGGCAAATTCGGCTCATTCCGAAGTCTCATGAGGCACTTACATCCGGGCTCTTTTGACGCTGCCTGTCGTCATATAGCGCTGTACTTGGGCCTGGTTAACTCCGTAAGTCGCCAACCACGTGAAGGTTCCCCCAATGGCAATGGACCAAAATGTATGACGAATGCTTGGGTCGAAGTTGAAGCTATGAAGAAAAAAGTTAACGAAATTGACATTTCTTTACAAAATTAAAGCACAAACTATAATATGGTCTCTGAGTATGAGCATTTCCACACAAAAGGGCTACCGGTTCAGTTCCCAAAACATCCTCGGAAGACAACAGAGCGAGCTGTGTATGGACTAGACATCATCAACTTTGATTGGCCAGTATGTTTTTCTCCGCATGGCTTGTTTGATTGCTAGACTCACTTCCAGAAGTCGATGCGGCCCCCTTCCTCGGCGATCTGCCAGACGTTGCCGAGTCCACCCAGCCGGATGGCGCCCTCGATGATGACGGCCAGAAAGCCTGCCATCATGACGCACATCTGAAACACATCGGTCCACAGCACGGCCTTCATACCACCCTGAAGGTTGACAACACGACAAAGAAAGAGGTCTGAGTATAATTGGCCGTGCGTATGTCGCGGCCGTAGTAACATTCACATGGTGTTCTATATCTGCCATCTCGCCCTTACGAAGGTCGGGTTAGCGCTTGTCGGCCTAATCCTATAAGAGCCGTGGGAGGACGGATAACGTTTCTCTGAAATTGCTGCATTGCATTTTTTCCCGTCCTCAAGCCTTCGGGTTCTTTCAGGCGGACAGTTTCCTGCAGTCATTGTTTTTACGCTGTAACACCGCTTTTGCCAAGACAGGTCATCCAAAAATTTGTACTTTTTCTGTCGACTCTCTCATGCTCAGAGCACATGGACTGAGTCTAGAGCCACGACATTTACATAACTGAATAAAACAAAATTATACGCTGAGTTAAAATGAAACTTCCTAGGTGTGAATTGAGTCCCCCCCCTCCCCGCTGTAAAACAGTCCGACTCTTTTAGCTATCAAAATGCACCAGTTTCTACCACTCATCACTCAAGTGGCACATATCCTATGTGTCGGTGGACGTGGTTCTGGTTTGTAGGCTTCTTCAGAGCCACGTGCAGGAATCAAGCAGACGTGTATACATCACAACACCACGTCAGGAAGGCGCTGGCTGTCTTTATGATAGTGACGTGAGAAATAAAATGGTTCCGCGCATCTGTAGTTTAACGTTTCCGCCATTACTGGGGACGCATGACGTTCAGGGATTAAATGTCTGAATTTGCCGACACTGAACAGTCTGTTTCCAAAGACAAGATACCAAGCACGCCAATTTGTGAAGTGAGGACACTTTCTGATTCGCAGACACATGCAGGGTTTCTAACCAAAATATTATATATTGTGCGAAATAAAGTAATTATGTCATTTCTGAATGATTCACGGCCTACGCGCTGAGACAATTCTGTCCACCGCCGTGAAAATGATTTTGTTACGTTCAACGACTGGTGTCAATTTACTGACGCAAATAGGATCTCCCATTATTTAACCACAACAAAATCTCAGACATTGCATGATATAATGCTTACAACTGTTGTATAAACGGTGCAGACGAGTCCTGTGGCCAGGACGGACCCCCACAAACTGATATTGGTCACTGCAAGAAACGAGGAGAAATGAAATACATATTCTGAATTAACAGGTAAAGTGTAAAACTGACACCAAACTGCACAGCGAGTAAGTGTGCTTAAAGAGCCAATGGCTACAAACAATGGCTATATGCAATGTTTGACATGCACAAGGCTTCATCCTCTACGAACGCAGGGCGAGGGTTCCTCTCGTTTTTTCTGTTTTCTCAGAATGACGCAAACTACATTCAGCATGTTCAGAATACGCATCTTCGCATGAACAGAAAAAAAGCGCTTTTTTAACTTGTCATAATTGAACTGTGAAGACAAATGACACCGCGATCGATTTGGATGCTTTCGTATCTATTTGAACCGATAAAATCAGAGAAAACGTGTTTTCCTTTGAGTTGCTCTTTAAAGCCAGTGTCACACTGCTAATTAATTAAAGTGAGCTTCAATCTAATATAGAAGATATCCTTTGTCTCCAAACGAGTGGTTAGAACAGTAGCATAGGAAAAGAAAAACAATTTACATCGTTCAGGGTAAAATGAAGTGTAATAGATACTAACCTGCATTGAGTGCCAAGGCCGGAGCATAGATGACTACTCCCATGTAAAATACCTTCAGAAGAGAAGGGAGAGAGAGCCTGGGTAACTGTTCAATGGCGTAGCATAGCAAATAACAATATTGTCTCGTACCAAATAGTGACCCCAATTTATGCTAATGCGTCTATCTCAAAAAGAATGGTAAACGCCACTTCGCCATGGTTCACAGACGAGGCAAGTACGCCCACTTTCGTAATGCGTCCCCAAACTCATTTGAAAGTGGATTGCGTGAGCCCCATGCCAAAAACGTATGGGCAAAACACTGTTCATCTTCACCCATGCACCGTTTCAGCCTGTGCGAACTGTCTTTGTGCTATGTTCACAGTTTCTAGTGTCGGCATGCCCTATCTCGTTGTCACCGTTGAGGGAGTCGTGTGCTAAGTTCGTAATGCTTAGCTGTTGAAAAGGCGCCTTGGTTGGATTGAATACCCTTTCCCTCGCGACAAAAAGTACGTTTTGGTAAAACTTAGAAAGACGATCAACCGTGAGGCGCGCGTATGAACTTGGAAGAAGCATTTTGATTCAAAGAAGCACTACACGGGTACTTGTTTTGTTAAAAGTTGTGGATAAACAATAAAGTCTGCATACTGTGGGTTGATAATCAAAAGACCCTCAAAAGAAGAGGACAAGAAAAGAGGAAGTAAAACGTACCATATACAGGAAAAATGTTAAAGTACCCGCGATGCGAACGGCTTTGTTGAAGCGTAACTCAAGGTACTGAAACAGAAAGAAGCATTTTGAAACTGTTTATGACGTCCAGTGGCGTAACTAGGGTGCTACAGCTGAGGGGGCACCTGGGGTGCATATTTTGTTTTCAGGGGGCACTGAAAATAATTGAACTAGGTGCCTGTCTAAACGCATACCTACATAAATGGACGTAAATGTCCATTTCAGGGGGGGGGGCACCAGAGGGGCACGGGCCTCCAGGGGGGACGTGCCCCCCGTGGCCCCCCCCCGTAATTACGCCACTGATGACGTCCACGGTACTGGGTTTGGGGACAACAGAAGAAAACCACAAAATAAAACAACAAATTTGGAATCCCATTTCAATCGTTTACAACTGTAAATATAGGATTCAAAAAAGAAACCTTTGCTCAAAGCAACACGTTTGTTTAGCACATATCGCTTCAGTGGTTCAACACTTTCAAAGCTTTTATCGGTGACTGTTCTTTCAGACTTTTCTATATCAAAAAAGAAGAAATCGGTATACCTTGTACTGAAATAGTGTGGAATTACCACTGTTGAGTTAATACAGACTCCAATCAAGTATGAGTAGTGTGAAGTATCCAACAGCATTCGAGAAATTTGAAAAATTGACTCCCTATTACTTAATTAACCTTGGGTAGAGGGAGTGGCAAAATGCTGCCGTCGTGCCGTTATAAAATTCCAAGAAGACGACTTAGAACTTGTAGCTGATCATTAACCTATACCTTACCTCGTTTGCACTGGTTACATTAAGTCTGAAAAATGTCGGAATAAGCAGCCGCGACACCACGAGGGCGACAATGGGGTAAGTAAAGCAGAAGACCCAGAACATGGAGCCGTAGATGTAGACCTCGGCCGGCGTACCCAGCACCGTGATCGCTGAGATAAAGCTAGCCACCAGCGACATGGCTACGGGGATGGGGTTCATGTTGCGGTCGGCCAGCAGGAACTCGGCCGTGGTCCGCTGCTTTCCACCGGTGCAGCCGTAGAAGAAACCGATGCCCAACGAGATGAGCAGCATGCAGCCGAACACCACGTAGTCCCAGACGCCGAAAGTACCAACATCGTCCAATTCAGCCATGGTGTTACTGCGAGGGAGCAGCAGGGAGGAGGGCCTAGTTTTCTTCTGAAGAGGGTGAGAGGGAGAGGTGCTACCGCCTCTGTGGCCCTGCACGGGGACCCAAAACGACAAGCATGCATGAGATCACTAACATATATGAATAATCGTGCTGTGGTTGTATAAGATTACAAATGAACCATTTACGAAGTAATCTTTTTTGCACACCAAACAGAGCAAATTAAAGTTTTCCCATAGTGTTTGTTTAATGATATTACAGAGAGCCCTCAAAGTCCTTTCTTTGCGTCTCACTAGTCATGATTATATGCATCAAAATTCACAAAATGTAAAAAAAAAGCACAGGACATACCAGTGTGGCTTATGTGAACAGACAAAAGAACTTCTGGACTTGCCCACAGAAACATCAACGATGGCATAGTTCGATGAAAGCAGTATTTTAAGTATGTTGAAGGTTATTACGCGGCCCAAAGAACAAGAATCGGCCATGTCGCCACCTCTCAAGTGTTCAAAGTTCGCCCTGTAATCTTTTGGGCAATGTCGATTATCGGCAAGTTGTTTTACGAATTGATGATGTGGGTAATAACGCGGTCACAATAACGCCGGAATTTGTCACAGCATGCTGCGTTATCAGACACAAATTAGTGCCACTTTGACTAACGGTTTGTGCAGAAGCCTCGTATGACCATTTGCCTTTCCGCATTTCGACCACGGTTCCAAGCACGAGACCAATATTTCAGTAAATATAATGGAATAATGACGATTTTGCAGTGACAGAACTGTTCCATTTCCCTTTCTCTGATGTACAGCGTGTTAAATGTCTTTCAATTAATTAGCCTTGTGCACGAAGAGCCCTGGAAAAAAGGTTAAAAATCCTTAAATTACGTTTCCCCTGAAGAAAGTTGCCCCACCCCTGGATCCATGCAACCTTATAAATTTTTAACACAAGCAGAGATTTCATCGCTTATTCTATTTGATATACACCCTTCAAAACTAAAAAAAAAACTACCTGGTGTAGACCTAAAATGCTTAGTATAGATCTCTCAATGTCTTGCTTGCAGACATGGTATGCAGACTTGTATGCTACAACGGCAGAGCCTTGAATTCAGTGGTTCTTAAGTCGTGTTAATTTATGGCATATAATGCATATTTAACTAAGCCCAAAACACGCTCGCAGCCGATGAAATCCAGTGAGCTTGTTTCTGATAAATAAACATAAAGGGTGATCAACGAACATGGGCCACATCTCTTGAAATGCCCGTCACAAATTCGCCAAAGCTGATTACCCTCACTGCCTCCTCCGTTAAAGAGAAGCAGAGGGCGCTATTTTGAATTTAGTGGATCATTTCTTCTGTTACGGATGCACCGAACTATGATTCAACCCCGTTGAAAACAGTCTAAAATCAACAAAGTTTGGTTCCCCATTGCACGCAACTGAAGTCCCTGAGACCTCTCAAGAAAAAAATGAGGTTTTAGTTCTTCAGATTTCATTTGATTTCAAATGGTAGTAAATGAATCTTTTAATTATCCGCCGAAAACAAACTCACCCCCCCCAAAAAAAAGTGAACGTTCCCAAGTCTTCTCAGTAGCTAGTTTTAAAATGACATCACTCACCTTTTCGAACTGTTATGGCAATATTTCAAAAACATTTTTGTCTGCTTTGCCCCAAGATTGGTGCCCCTGAATCTACAGAAATTATCCTGGGCCATATTTTCACAATCCCATAATTTCTTGGCCCGCAGAAACCCCTCTTTTCGAAAGAATTTGTAGGGGTACTTTTTAATTTTAAGCGCCTTGGCCTGGCGGAGAATTTTCCCTGAACGGGGACAGTGCACCCTTACGAGCATTGTCCACCAATTTGTAAAGGGCCGCCAACGTTAACGTTTCCAGAAATTTCCCCCTTGGTTGGACGACATTCGCCTCCAAATACTCATTTCTTTCTTGACTTCCTGTTGAAATGGAAGTCAGATCATTTCGGTATTTAGCACAAGACTTGGTATTTGGATATTTGTCAAAATTTTGTTGGATTATTCTTTTGGTTTAGCACTATAGTTTTGCCATAGTTTGCCAACTATACAGCATGACAACTGAAAAGTCGCTTGTGACATCGCACACGTACTCAATCACAATTACAGCTTAAATTTACCTTGAGAACAAAACTTTATCGGACTTGTATAATAATCACCTCCTCATAATTCACCTTGAAATACCATAGAAGAATTATGGCGATGTACCGAAACATTATTCTACTCTTAGATGCTTGCGGGAGATCTAGATTTTCCGGAATATGTTTCACGGTAACGTGCGTTATTTCCCGAATGAACATTTCAGACTTGTAAGTGGTTTTAAGATAGGCACATGTTGCGCTAACTGGGTTTTAGTAAATTGCATAAATACAGAGGGGTGGGTGTAAAGAACGTAATCACTAAGTATAAATTTGGATGACACCATTCTCCCAGTTTGTATAAAGTTACACTAATCCTGGGATTTATAGGTTCTGAATGGGATTTTTCTCTGGAGCGAGTGCAATTAATAGTTGATAAACTACCGAGGTGACCCTTAAAATGCAGCAATCGATATGTTACGTAAGACAAATTGTCATGGGGATTTACCGTGACGCAAGCAAACGCACCCGTCCGTAAACACTTCAACCTTGTGTACACACTGCAGCCTCTGGTTGGGCAGAGCATGGAGTTAGAGCAAGAGTAGAATGGAGTGAGGTACGGTGACCCAGCACTACCAAGACTACCAAAATCTTTAGTTCTTTACGCCCTTACAACACCGTTGTAAACGAAACTTCTTGTAGGGCGGTGATCAGCATCCGTTGAGAGGTGAAGTTGCGCTACCACGTCGCGCGATTGCAGCGATTGACCTGCAAGGTAGGAGAACACAAGCTGGAAGGTCACAGTATCAGAGCTTTGTGAAGCTTTCTCCACGGCGGTGAGACCGTTGAATGCCGCGTGGCAAAAAAGAAATACTATTTTATTGACAGACCGCGGCTCTTTTTGAGGCATGTTCTCCAGCGCTTGACCTTGCCAAACTAAAATCGCTGGAAAACACAACTACCTACGTGTGGCATCCCTACTGGAATATACGGCGGCTCCTTTTTATAGCTCCGGCATCAGGCCTCATATCAACGAATATTTTCGGGTCATCAACTCGACCTGTTCTGCGTTTCAAGGCTGATACGATTACGGCAGTTCGGCGTGAACGAGATCTCGGATCTGATCACAGCCTTTGCATTTTAGGTGGGCCCACTCGCTGCTCGTTGGCCTAACCGCCCTTTACTTCCGGGTGGCGATGTCTCAGCAAGATCAACATGGTGATATTGCCTAAGACTGTGGGGCGCATTTGTGCCTGCAGTAGCAGGGCAGTATTGCAGATCTATCAAGTTGTTTTCCTGTACGGACTCCTTGCTACTGTTTGGTCCCAATCTGTGCAATTCGGTAAGAGCATGGAAGATGCATGTATCCTTGACACGATTAAATAAGCCTACATTTACATAGAATGAATGTACATGACTACACGTAACAACATTCTCAAAGCCAGGTTGACAATTTATAAAGTTCACTGATGATAAGATCCTAACATTAAGGCCAATAAGCTGAAGGAAATTTACAAGCATGCATATGGACGAGAAACCATGTAAATGCTCAGCATGGCCGGAGCAAAGCTGTCGTGCAATTTAGCGTCAACAAGCGTCAACACACAGAAGTAGTGTCACGTCAGCAAACCGTCAGGAACTTGGAAATACCCTCTAAAGAGTGGCTTTATTGTATTTTAGAAACTCTAACATCCGCCACTGAATGAGAGGAATGGCGGAGCTGCTTCCAGATTCTCACTGGAAAACGAATTTTTTTATGTATAGGTGCCGCCATCTTTCTCTTGACGCTAAATAGCATGACCCGAAGCAAAGATAGGCTGACAATGGTATAGTGATGTAAGTGGTGTGTTTGTGCCCAGTGATCACGGTGTTGACTAGTGGCCCGTGGGTTAGACATAGGGATTTTGTTTGAGTTAATGGGGGGTCGAGAGTAAAAGGACAAATGGAACAGACTGGTTGTTTTGGTTCCATGGCCCCTCTCCCCCACTGCTGCTTTTATGATATCACTGTTTGTGACGATGCACGAAGTTCTGATACATGTAATAATGACGCAATATTGTGCGCACTTGATAGGGAATGGGGTTGATGTGACATTACTGCTGACGATGGTGACTGTTAATGTCGTCATGGTGATGATGACTATTGCAAGTGGTAGTGGTGACAGTAGTCTTGTGATAATATAGTTGTAGACCCTTAATGTGGAAATAAAGGGCAAATGCCTTTTTCTTGCTCTTTAAGCCGACAAAATATTGTCGAGAATTGTAGTGGAGTTTGAGGCCGCATCAATGTTAATCCCGTTCAGCCCAACTGTTCGCACCATGTGCCAGTGGCATAACCGGGATACATTTGCAGCAAGCACTTGGGGGCCCTCATTTTCGAGGGGCCGGGGCACGTTAGGATATAATCTATACCTCCTTTTCATGGAGTGAAAGGTAAAGTACTGACCAAGGCAGATTATTTTGAGATTTTTTTTCATTTTTAACTTCTGAGCGAGAGGGGCCTCCAAATCAATTAACAGCAACTGGTAAATCCTACACGTGTATGTAGCACTTGCCATTTTGATGTGCTTAGTACTATGCCCTAACGTTGGCCTTAACGAAGAGAAATGCCGATGATTTCCATGCTTTTTTTTCTCTTCTGGCCAGACCTAACTGACATACGACTGGTTGGAGGGCCCGCCAACGCCCCTAACTCCGGTCGAGTGGAGGTTCTGCATGCCTCCTCCGGGAACTGGCTGAACGTGTGCGATGTGAACTACTGGGGCGACAACGACGGGACCGTGGCGTGCCGCCAGCTGGGTTTCCCGGGCTACTCACGGACGAGACGGGAGTCCTACTTCGGTGAAGGCTTGAACAACGGCTCTGTGGGAGGAATAGGGTGCAACGGGGGTAAAATTTGCCGGAAAATATTGGACGGTGTTGATGCTTTGGCAACAGTGACAACAATGTCTGTCGAATGATGGACTTTTAGTTACGAGACAATAGTGCTGACTGTGACTCGTGTCGGTGATCTGTTGCCATTCATGTGTGGTTAAGGGACTCGTTTACTATGACATATGACCATGTGTAGTGGTCATACGAGTACTTTAGTTGGCATCAATGCCGGTGATGCTGATGCGGATGACAGGATTGACCCTGCTGAAGACTAAGATGACAAAACAGCATATAACGATGGCGGTGACAACAGAAAAGGATAAAAAGGACACTTGCTATCGTGATGCATGATCCCGAATGAAATGATTAGTTGGCTTGGGTAAAGCAAAAAAGTGGATGCTACATTTTTGCTAACACAATTATTTAGAATATAGGTGAACATAGAAGTGATCCTGTGTGGGAATGCAACTAAGGTGTCTTTTCCTAATTCCAAAGTAAAACTTTAACATTGATGCATTTGCAACCTTTCCACAGATGAAGAAACCCTCGGGGAGTGCGCCCATCAACCGGTGCAGGAATACACCGGCTGCAGCGGCCGAGTTGCTGGCCTGATATGTACCGGTAAGACGACGCAAGCTGAAGTCATCAACTGGCTTCCAATAATTATGTCTTGTTTCATGTCGATGTCACTCGGTTTGAAGTGTAATCGGCAACTGAATGGGCGCAGTTTATCACTAGCAATCCGTTTCCGGTCGTTTGACTTTATATTTGAAGCGACCTGATGGTTTATAGTGTTCATGCAGAATTCCTCAGCAGTTGCCATTTTGGGGACATCTGTTCTCGATTACTGCCTTCAATCTTGTCATGCATGTCACACGTAATTGCTAGTATGACATTATTGTGTAGGTCAACTTGTAATCTGAAGAGTACATGTAATAAAAATCGACCATGGAGCAACAGCGACCTCATGCATCAATCCCTAAATATCTGGCCGTGAAAGTCAGTCAATGTTTTCAAAATGGCACTCAAAACACTCCTCTGTAATCTTGCTTTTGATACTGCGTTGTGAAATTCATTTATTTTCGTCCGTTCACTTTTTTTCTTTTGGAGCACCATGAGTGTCTTAACCTTGAGATGGGTGTGTGCATTGTTTAAATAACCATTATTATTACTATCAGAAATTGGCGGCCAATGCGAAAAAATGAGTCGCAAAAAGTCAAACAGGATATCTCATTCCATTCAGTCATACAAAATGTAGGCTGGTGTAGGTATAAATGTAGGTGTAAAAGATAGATTAAAATTTTGAACTGATTTTCTTTTGTTAACAGTCGCTGACCAATGGGAGACTTTTTGGCGGCAACAGACGTACTGGTACTTTTCAAGGTATTTAGTGTGTTCAGAACCATACACACATGCTCAGAACAACGCACGCAAAACTGGTTAAAAAGAACCGGTGTGTTGTCGCCACCAAGTATCTTAAAGTCTCCTATTGCAGTGTTACCCAGCCAACCATTATTATTTTATACTACAATCTTGTTGGACTTTCACTCTTACAGTACCGGGCTTTCTCGGATGCTACACTGATGACAGGAACAACCGTGTGTTTACTGACCCGCGCTTCACCGCCGACAACCTGACCATCGGCCTGTGCCTGGAGCGCTGCCGGGGGCAAGGAGCGCGCTACGCCGGCCTGGAGAACCGGCGCGACTGCTACTGTGGGGCGGAGGGGACGCAGATCGACATCCATGGCCGGCTGCGCGACCGGGACTGCCGGAGCGCGTGCACAGGGAATCCTGACGAAGTATGTGGCGGGGGTGGCAAGCTTTCCATCTACGACCGTGAGTAAACTGACGCAGCTGTCGATTTTATCACTGGGTCCGAGATGTTGCAAAGCACATAAAGCTCTCTACAGGAAATTACGATGAAAGGTGCATGGGCTAGTTTATGGTGTTGGTAATTCTAACCGTCAACAAAACTATTCAAAGAGAGATGTAACATAGCACTGCCCACAGTTGCAGGGAATCCAAATACATGTAGTACAGTGCAAGCAATTAGGAAGAGATAGAGTTGTTTCACTCTATGTAAAATATTAGCATGGGAGTTTTGCAGAATTTTTCAAATGATGTAAAGTTTGGTACCAGAAGGTCAAGTTTTTCTTCAAAGTTCGCTTTCGATTTTCAGGCTTTTCGTTTCTCCTCCGTAGTTGTTTTTTGACCTGAACTCCAAACCTGCTTTAAATAGTTGTATGCAAAAAGTCTATTGGAAATAACTCTTGCAGAATTACGGCAATCTGTAATCTGATTGATGAGATCTGAAACTGCTCTTCGTTGGTATTAGAGTTGAAATACGAGTCTCCAATTTTTCAAACTCTTTACTGAATTTCAGTGACGCTGGGATACTGCACGGACCCGGGGACCCCGGCTAACGGCGAGCGCACATCGGCCGGTGGCGAGGCGTTCCGCTACGGCGCCAACGTCACCTTCTTCTGCCCTGACGGTTTCGAGCTAGTGGGATCAAATTTGGCGAGGTGCGTGCTGGGCGATTCACCCCAAGAAGTGAGGTGGGACGAGCCGGTGCCGCAGTGCAGATGTAAGCAACCCCTTTGTGGATAATATTGAAATGCAGACCTCACTCACTGGAACCAGAGGCAGAGAAACAGTATGGGTGGGTTCATCGTGCCCCTTCATGGGTACCTCTTCGCCCATTGTTCCATGGGTATCTGATGGGTGGTTTCAATGTAGCCGTTTCTATCCGTACTTTCTCGTTAGAAAGAAAAGCGGCAATATCGGCACAGGAATGCCTTGAAAATACAGGTCAATTATCAGAAAGGAATAAGTTAGAATATATTAAGTTGAACCGAGAAAAGCACACCTTGGTATTGACTAAGTTCAGTCTTCTTATCCCCCTAACAAAGATTATTTTCATGTCTTATTGCAAAGGTATCTCTGCCGTCCTTGGACTTTGAATAAAACGATTCACGTGCTCTTTCCTTCAGGAGATTTCGACATCCATTTCCCGAGTTCCATGTACATACTGTTGGCCGACTCTATGTGCATGTGTACTGATTTAAACGTCAACAACTTGTGCCCTCTCGCGCGCCAAATTGCAAAGCTAATTTGCATTCATTTCAGCGCTTGCATCGCTTTAAGATATTACTTTGCTCCGGGCAAATTTCAAAAAAGAAGAAATGAACGGTGGCGCCTACTAGTACCTGTTCTAGCTCTTAGCGGATTTAACTTTAAGTGGTGCTTCAAGGTATTGTCTTAGACTGGGTCCTTTCGTACCTACCGTTGAGGTCAAAAACACTTGCGGTAATTGTCTTTTCATAATTGTCGCAGATAAAATGAGGCCATAAGCTGCAACATTACTTCTTAACTCGCGTTGGATTTTAACAAGCGTGATTTTGTCGCAGATTGGCCGATATCAACGACACCAAACTCTGGGTCAGGTGACGATGAAGAATCGGGCACTAGCAGTGCAGGTAAGATTATTAAAAACAAATGATTTGTAGTATTTAAAACAGACAAGGAAAGTGTACCTGGACATTCAAGGAACATCGTAATATCTCCTGCCGTGTGGTTATTTTGAACGAGTGAACAAGATTTATTCAGACTGTTTAAGGAGTCACGAGAGCGCTGTTGTAAAGAAGTCCAGTCATGGACTCCAGAAAACGAGGCCGCTAAATTTCAGAAACTGTAGTATTCAAAAAGAGACCTTAACCCTTTTGATGCATTCATTAACAAATCGGCAAGACGTGGTAAACAATTTGTCCCCAAAAAGATAAAATTCGAAACTGCATTCCCCACTACACCCTCGTACTTCTGAAGAATTCTTCCATTCAGTTACTTTACCGTTGGACCATTGGACCATGGGAGAGCACCTTATTTCTATAAAAAACAATACTTATAAAAAAATGAATGAGTCCAAAAGACGAACTGAAATTCGTTTGAAACATTTCTCGTTTCAGGAAAAGTAGCTGGGATAGTCTTGGCCTTAGTCGTATTGCTACTACTTGTTGGTATTTTTATCGTATTTATCATACGAAAAAGGTAGGTCTATGTGAATTCGCTCCTGTATCAAATAGCAATTAGCCTTTGTCACAGTATTGTCTAGTTTCAATATCCATTGATGCAACAATCTCCTGTTAGCATTCTTTAACTAGCGTGGGCTTGTTACACTTGGTCTGAGTGTTCACATTCTGAGCAGGATTTTGCTGCCGTTTCTTCTTCACAAGAACGCATATCGTAGGCTATAAATTTATATTTCATTTTCGATCAGGAGGCGAAGACTTGACAAACAGGGAAACACAACTGCTGGGGATCATCAAGGCAATACCTACTCCGAGCCACATGGTGTGCCGAGGTACCAGACCTCCCCCAACGCTAACACAGAGTACCAGGACCTTGCCCCGCCATTAAAGGACGAGGAAGGACCGTACACATTGCTGCGGAAGCCCGGCTCGCATCAGTCCTCGGAGAGAGACATCCCGGAGTATCTTGAGCTTTACCCCGATTGCCAGGACGGCAGCTCCCCCGTCAACGCTAAGTGGACCGACAACCGAATCGTCATCGCCAAGCCACCGGTGGCAGCCAGGCAGAAGGCCTCGCGGGTCGACAAGGCACGCCTGCCGAGTCCAGAGGTTAACGAGAACGAGTATTCGTATGTGGACGCGTCCAGGTTCAGCGGCGACGCCCAGGTGCTTCAGGGAGCACAGCCCCGGGAATCGAAGCCAATGGAGGCAGAGGAGGTTGCTGGGGAGGATTCTGTGTACTACAGCCTCCCACCCGATGCACGGTAGCGAACAGAAAAGGAAGCCATCTGACAGGAAAATCGAAACTGAGTTCTCAGTCACTGACAGTGGCAGACATACGCATGTTGTGGAGATCTACTTCTCGGGCTTAGTGCCCGTTCAAAACATACCCTCAAATAGTCGTGAACTGCAAAGACGAGATGGAAGCTGCAATGTCACACCTTTAAAAGGAGGGAATAGGCCTATATGCTGATGACATCAAACGTTGTTTACATACGCACTTTTCTATGGAGCCAGTTAGTGTCCACTGTCCACTGAGCGCTGTAGGAAAGCACACACGTGATTAAGTGTGGCCTCATCAGGACCAAGGTCTGTTCCAGATAAGAATAACTTGGTTATAACTTGAATTCTACTCTCTTCAACTCCCGCCACCAAACTGCGCTGATTTTTACTTCAATTTTGAGCACACTGATCACAGGAGATGTTCATGATGTTTAATAAAGGAAGTTTCCAATGTGTGTCCGCGTGGATTACGTAAAAAGGTCAACAACTCTGGGACGAGTCGGGAAAAATTACACTGTTCATCTTCCTGTGGAACTGATCGAGGAGATTTTTAGTGTCATGGGACATACTGTTTTTATAACTTAGAAAAGAGCTTTATGTGAGCCATGAATTTCTCTTTAATAAAGGCGGATATCATTTCACTTAAGTTAAACTTCACGACACGACCCGACCGTCGTGTACAGTACTTCCAACTATTTTCCTACTTTAACCTGTGCTCAGAATTTCACTGTTGTCTGTTTTTATTGATTTCACTGAGAGTGTTGGGACCTTTGGCCGTGTTGTACCTTACTTAATGATTCATTTTAGTAGTGACGTGTAGTAAATTCATTATTTTTTTATATTTTGCACACACAAATTAAACCAGGAGGCCTACATTATTTCGCTAATTCGTGTCAGGGCCTCAAGATATTTCAGCTTTTGTTTTTGTTTTTTTTTAAACAAGATTGCTTTGAGGGAAAATGAGGAGGACCCTTTGAACTCATCTGTTACATGCTTGACTCGGTCCGCAGAAGATTGATAACTACATATAGCAGGTGCATGCGAGGCTGGGAGTTCGAAGAGACCTGGACTTCTCGAAGGTCTAAGTTTTATGAGACACAGGCATCCAAGAAACTGTGTGCTCTTCAATCAAATGAAAACGGTCCGGGGCAAGACACCTTAAGTGTTGCAGTATGAAATTCTGCACTGAATCAAACACAGGTTATGTGCCACACTGCGCAGTCCACATGTTGCAACTTACGGCCTTTTTGAAGCATGACGACACAAGAGAAGGGCGCTATTTGAGGAGGGTAAATTTGGAGTAATAACACAAGATATTTTACCCAAACCAACTATCGCCCTCCTATTGTAACCACATACCCCCAAAATGACAGCGTACATTTTTAGGCTGAGAGTCAGTATCCAGAAAAAAAGGCCGTATTTCATGGGAGATGAGCGTGCTTATGACGCATGGTAAATAAATAATGCATTGGTTACGGTTCATTTCCACCACTGTGGGTCTGTTTTTGTACATGTAAAAATACTATGCTTTCGTGTGTGTTTATAGATAACCCTTACTCACAAGGCCATGTTGTTCTGAAGCGGGAAGCATACTGCTTCGTCATTTTCTGGTTGAGGTCGTGCAAAAGGACTGGGGACTTTTGTATGATTTGGTTTCGTTTTTGGTTGCTTGTTGGAGGTGTTTCTTTGCATGTTTATTTACATTTATTATTGTGGTAGCGTTATGGCAAATATTTTCGCGCTACTGTTTTGTGACAAAGCAGACAAAACAGAGAAAGTGAAAGGAAAAATATGCTTTCCATGTAACAGTCGAAATCGTGCATGGAAAGACTGTCACTGTATGTAGCCTCATGACTGTTTTGAGGGATGATCATCTCTGGTCTTCAACAGTCATCGGTTAAGCCCCGAAAATTGATAGGAAAATGATAGATGTGGAAATGAACTTTAATTTGATACGTGTCTCGAACACCTGAGAAACTTGTATTTTCCCCGATTGTTTGAAGTTTGGGTATTTATTCCTGTTGTTAACCTATAGACTTTTCAGTCCACTCACGTCATTCCTTCCAGTGAAGGAAATGGGTAAATGACGTGGAAACGAAGATACTGACAACATAATTACAGAAAGTTGCGCATAAGGGCATGCAAATACTAATAAACTATAGAGAGGAAAAATGACAAAGTAAATGATTGTTCATTCATTTTTTTTCACAATGAGAGAAAGTCAGGGTAGTATATGAATTATTTAGAACTGAGTTACAGTGAAGCATCCAAGGGTGGATGAAACTTGACCCTGCCCTTCTTTTCCTGCCACTCTTTACACATCAGCCTAATAGATTTGGAGCAGTTCGCATGGTTGGGGTGGGGGTGGGGGTGGTAGCACTAGCAATTGTAGGCCACTTTTCTTTTCAAGATGTACTTTGCGTTGGGGAAATGTTAATTTAAATTACGGGTTTTGCCCTTACCCAGTGTATATATTTGCAAGCTCTCGGACAAGCACAGTAGTACAGTGTTTATAAATTTATAAGTTGGGTAAGGGAAAAACCCGTAATTTAAAAGCAGGGGTCTTGATTATTGATTCTTGGATGGACTCTGCAAGTTCAGCCTCGCTTTCGTATTATTTTTTACCATTTTGGTCATTGCGCAGAGAGCGAATGCCACTGGATAGCATGAATATCAGGTTTTAAAAATGCAAACAGGAAACTTGCGCTTAATCTTACCGGTCTGTTGCGGTTGTATGACACAGCAGTGTCGTTTTCCGAGTTACCCTTTCATTATGCATACTAATGCTGTGCGAGTGGTTTGTCTTTGAACGGTGCCAATCCTGTAACATGTCTTTGTTGTTTTTTGACGGCGCCGCTCGAAAGTATAAGAAGCAAAACCACGAATGCAAGTCATTGGACTCACTACATTGCTGAGATTATTATTGATGTGAAACCACGGACGGAAAAATTGTCGAGATCGATTTTTTGCAATTACTTAAAACCAGGAACACTCAGCTTTGGGAGTATTTGTTCACTAGAAGCGATCGTAGGCAGTGGGTGACAGGCCAAGGTAAGCAACGTTGGGATAGTTTTACCCAGCAAGTCATTGTCTTAATTATAATGCCAATTCTGTTGGTGTAAGTATAAGGTTGAAGTGTTATGGCTTCTTAGTATGAGATGCAGTAGGCGGAGAAATTTTCTGGAAGGGATACTAAGGAAGAAGTTTAGTTTTAAAATGGTTATTTTTTTATCATAGAAGGGGCACGCTGACTCCACAGTCAGGACATGAGTTCGGTTTATGCCTTGATCCCTGTAAGTTATGCTACTTACTATAAGACTAGAGCCAACCCCCCCAAAAAAAAACCCCAGAAACTTACTGCCCCGTCATATACGTAAAGGTCGTCTCTGTGAAGTGTTAATTGGAACAATGACATAGGACAGATTTCTCTATATAAAAATAACACATTTCTGCACCATAAACTTTTTTCTTCTGTCAAAATGACTGTTCAAAAACCTGTTGCGATCATTAAATTGCATTTCTGTTGTTTGGACATCTGTGAATTTGTTCCAATAGCTTTGACACGGAACTTGCAACACGCCAGTGCAACTGACGATCATGCGGATCTCGTCATTGACCCACATTACCACATTTCTACCTTCTGGCTTCGGTTTCCTCTGTGTATGAATAGTTCTACCAACGGAAGACCTTGGAAATTTTGCAGTGCTAAGTTCTCCTGCTGCAGACAAGCATTCAGTTCGCTTTGAACAGTTCCTGATCTCGGTTCAGTGTATGGAAATGAGAATCATGCAGCAAAAATGTTCAACAGAATTTTGATACTGCTTTTCTGGGATAAACAATACTGATGAATGCACCGTCTATGGGTGACTTGGTAACCCGATCTGCGTCTCACAGTTTTTCTTCAGGTCGTGAAGAACGTGGAAACTCGCGTTCGCACAAAAGGTTGGAATTTCATAATACATGTACCGTGAACCGCGGTGTTGTCAACAAAATGCCGAAAGCCTCTAAATTTTATTAAAACAAGAAACTTCAACTTTTCTTTTAATATCCGCTATGATTTTTGCACGCGTGTGGCAAGTTGCCTCGAACGAAAATCGTTGATCATGCATGCATCCGCGAAACTGAAATTATCAAATTGGCTTATCCCATGCGCGATGACTCAGTTTCGCTGCTTTTCCGGGCCAGTCACATGTCGGCAAGATAGCTTGGCTAAGTTCTTCGGATCGTTAGTAACTATAAAGAATGATTCTCCCAGGTCATTGCAACATGTAATATGCAGAGGACGTTAACGGCCATGAATAATTCTATCTTTCTCTCAGACCAGTCACACATAAATTAAATGCTATACAATACGTAGCCTTTGCTATAAAAGGTATAGAGCTTAATTAACTTCTATCTCATTCGTGTTTACACGGGAACACCATAAAGCGATAAGCCACTGCAGAACCGTTGAGCAACTGTATACTTTTGAGACTGCATATACCTTCTCACTACACTGTACTGGTATTGATTTGTTCACAAATTTAAACGCTAAACGCATTTAGAGTTTCATGGATGGAGTTTAGTAATGGAACTTACCTATATACCAAAACATAAGCATTGTCGTGTTCAATTGCTTAACAAGTTCTCTTTTATAGTGTATCGAACGTAACGATACTAGACAGCCTTCCTCCTTTGGGATTTCACATGCACATTAAAAAACCCGCAATGAAATCTTCACTTGAGTGCAGTTTCACTTCCACAGCCTGATGAACATGGTGGTATTTGTAGCTTCGGCGACTTTGGACTCAAATATCGATGTTTTTTTTTATACCTCTTCAGGTGCATGAGGCATGAGGAGCTCCACCTTCCATCTCGTGTGGGTAATGTTCGTCATCGTGTGTACAGCGCCGCGTCGGTCCATGCTGATGCCAGGAGGACCTGGACCGGCCATGCAATATCGTAATTACATTGTTCAATTCCAGGGAAATGAAACTGAGGCCAAGGAGTAGCCCTTTTCTATTTATAGTTGAAACGGAAACAACTTATTCGTCCCCCGGATGCGTCAGTCTTTGTGCTATAAGTGCCCCTGTCTTCCAACAATCCGTTCCGGTGTTCTGCGTCCGGTTCTGGGTCTCTGACATCTCCAGAGCATCTCAATAGCCGAAGGGTTGTGCTTGTCTTTTGAAAACTCATCTATTAAACACCCAATTTGAAGGGGGGGTGCCACTTGAAATTTGCCCACGGACAGTCACGCAAAATGAGTGTAGTGTAGTTTGATTCCCTGGCACGACACCTACCTCAGTTTTCTCCCCCTTCCTTTCATCTTCATTTTCCCTTCTCTGTTTTTTTCATTTTGCCGACAGAGCATGATTTTTCCAACAAAACTAACCAAGGGGGGGGGACACCCCGACACCTCCCCCAAGCGACGCCCTTGAAAACATCTGTCCAGATTTTTCCTCCAAATAAACGCCCGCGTATAGTTAGGGAAGTCTAAAGAATGCAAGAAAATAATCTTTTACTCTACAATCTATTCAAATTCATTGGTGGCTATTGAAAAATGACAGAATGATCTCGTAGCAGATTCACCGCGTGTTTTATAAAAGTTGTCCCTTTCCCATAACAAAACAAAATAAGCAAACCACAAGGCCCAAACCAACAACAAAGGATGAGGGAAGAGCTCATAGGCAGACCTTGGATGGTAGTCTTGCAAAATTTGGTACAAACAAACATGAGCCTCGCTTGTAAAGACTCGAGGTTTGGTAGAATATGCAGTCTTCGTCATCGAGTTAGGCCTGGCAGTAATACAAGGCAGAAAAATCTGATTACTCAACGTGATTTTTTGTTCTCGTAGAAATCACCAGTGCTCGGCTTGTTGGGCCACAGCTCAGTCGAGACCATGCCCACTCCGGTCGAGTGCAAGTCCAAATAGACGGCACAACCTGGCTTGATGTCTGCGAGAACATGTGGGATGATGGGGATGGTGAAGTGGCCTGCCGACAGGTTGGATATGCTGGGTTGTTGGACAGCATGAGAGGCATTAGAATTGATGAGGCTAACCAAACTTCAGAATCAGTCCGCGATTTTAGATGTGCTGGAGGTTAGTAGTTGGTTCACTTGGTTACAAAGTGACTTCAAGTTAAAAAACTCCCTTCAATATAAAAACACAGACATTTTTTCCCACATTCTGGAAAATGATCAAAGCTTTTGCAAGTGAGTCCCTTTAAAAAGTGTTTTTGTAGAAATTTGGGAGAAATCTCTTCTTTAATTACGTCTATACAGAATATTGCTATACGCTTGCTTTAGATACCAAACTTTGAACTTCACAAAAGAGCGCAACAGAAATAAAACTACTCCATACAAATTCAAATTTGTATGAAAAACGTAAGTAATGTGTTTTATTGTTAAGTTTTCTTCAAGTGTGAACTAATTTACGACCCGTTGAAACGATATGACATGCTTTACAGACCCTTCATTATAATTCTAATCGAACACTTAATTAGCTGTTTCAGCAACTTTGCCGAAACAGTATTGTTTTTCTGATTATAATTTTTTTCCTTCTTTTTCAACTCAATTCCTTCCACCAGTCGACTGTGGCAGTTTACTGAATTTGATCGACTACAGACTTGGCAGACCTTTGAACCATCATCCAATGATGGTCTTAGAATATATTCACGGTGATAACTTAAGTAGTTTATTTGTTATTGATTTTTTAATTTTGTTTCGTTTCGTTTTTCTACTTGACACAAGTGAACAGGTAGTCTTTAACTTCGGTGCAAGATTACTATAAGAACAAAGGAGAAATCGGGTACTTTACGCTGAGTTATTTTATTTGAAATGTGTCGAAGAGTCGGAATATGAAGTAATATTTCATGAAAAGTGTTCAGTTTAAACGCAAATCATGTGACAGGAACTTAAAGGAGCAGTGTTTCTGCAAACGAGTTTATAGCCCATTGACTTTGTACACGTTTCGAGGGACAATTTTGATAACCTTGCAATGTTTGATCGATGGCAAAATAATAGCTAACAAAGTCCCGGATACAAGATTTATAGCTAATATATGACATCACGATGACGTCACTGCCTTATTTTATATTCATTTTTGAATACTTCATATTTTTCCATAGGTTTTGTACACGTTTTCCTACTTAACACAAGTGAACAAGTAGTCTTTAACTTCGGCGAAAGATTACTATAAGGACGAAGGAGAAATCGGGTACTTTACGCTCTGTTATTTTATTTGAAATATGCCTAAGAGTCGGAATATGAAGTAATATTTCATTAAAAGTCTTCAGTTTAAGTGCAAATCACGTGACATGAACTTAAGGGAGCAGTGTTTCCGCATATGAGTTTTTTGCGCTGGACTTTGTACACGTAATCAAGGTACAATTTTAAAACCTTTCCGATGTTTGATGGTTGTCAAAGTGACAGCCAATAAAGACCGTGATACAAAAATTATTGTAAGTAAAGGACGTCATGATGACGTCATCATGTGATATACTATTGATTTTCTAATATTTATTTCAGCCCTTTGACTTTGTACACGTTTTTGAGGCACTATTTTCGTACCTTAGTAATCGTTGATCATCGTCAAACTTACAGCAAGCACTAACTATACAACAAAGATAATTCTAAAATATTTATGTAATGATGACGTCATCACGTGATTTATTATTAAATTTTTTTTATACTTAAATATTCTTTTAAATGTATAAAACCCATATAAAATCAACTGTGGCCTCCCGCAACATTCCGTTTGCAGTAAGTGCCAGGAAAAAAATGTGGTCTTGATTTCGTCTCGCGTAGGTCAAATAACACGACCCTTCCTTCTGGTTTAAACCGGAAATAGTCTCATTGTTTAAAAGTGGCAAAAGCCGTAAAGTTTTTTTAATAGAATGCGTCTGTCGGTGCTAGTGCTGGGTTGAAAACTTGCTTATATCTTGGAGAGGAAGTGCTTTAGGCAAATATTGAGCTCATTTAGTGATGACGTCATAAATAACTGGTTATTTCATAACGGACGTTATCAACATGTTAAATGTTATTATTTTTGCGTGGATTCTACTTTTCCGTTGANGACAACATCAGACCCTTAACTTGCAGATTCAGCGTGGCGTCATTTGCCAGAGAATGGAAGAGTAGTTTCGAAATTTATATCATACAGTACAACTTCTAGTCACAGTTATCAAAAGTGAAATTCATTTTTGCGCCAAAATGTTCAGGATAGTGCAACAGATGTCATCTTTAGTGGTCCTGCAATCTTTGTTCTTATATTTTGTACACAGAAAATGTGAAATGTGCAATCAGTTACTCTTATGATAGATATTATCAATGATTTTTTGGTTTCTAGTGTGCAAGGCATATTTATGATTATGCAAATAAGGCGGGGTTCGCATGCATACCCATATCAACGGAGAATATACTCTTTAAGGCCCTATATCCTCTGGCGTACATGTCCGATTGGGTTCAAATTTTGCAGATACCTTGAATAGAGAGTGCTTTAGAGGAAAATTGACCTTATGTGATGATGACGTCATGAGGAGACAAGTCACGTGACATTAAAGTCGAACTCTTGAAGGCCCTATATCTCCTGATGTACTGGACCAATCGGGTTCAAATCTTGCAGATATCTTGAGAAGGGGGTACTTTAGAGGAATATTGACCTCATGTGATGTTGACGTCATCGGGAGACAAGTCACGTGACATTAAAGGGGAACTCCTTAAACCACTATACCTCGAAAAGTACATGTCCGATGCGGTTGAAACTTTGTGTGTGGCTGGAAAGGGAAGGGTTTTATACCCAAATTGATCTGATTTGATTCTGACCTCATCTGGTGACATATCACGTGACATTAAAGAAATAAAATTCCTGTAACTGATATCACATCCTCTTGTGATGACGTCAACAGTCGAAGAAGCCGTATATGTTATCTTTAAGTAAGTATTATAATTTTTAAGCTATTGTGAGAAGCTCCACAAGTACAAAGCAAACCCTCAACTGTAAGAATAATATCACGTGACAAGTCATATAAGACTATCTTCTGAAGTGGACATCCAATTGCATTGGTTGAATTGATTACAAATTAAACTTTTTCAGGGTATGTGTCACGTCCAGAAAACTAAATTGTTCACTTTTACTCTCATAGTTTCAGGTTTTTTCATCACATTTGCCAATACTTGTTTTGTCCCGAAACAGCTCTGTGTTTGTAGTAGGTTACAAACACTTCTATCTAGTTTTCACTGTTTTTAATCCTTGCTATTCATGGTTTTACAGAGGAATCTTCACTTGCACAGTGTGACCACAACAAACGGGGGAGATGCATGAACGGAGCAGGGATTACATGCTACGGTAAGAGCTAACTCGCTGCCCCCGGTAATTTAAGTTGCTGTCTCTGTTGCTTTTGTTTAACCGTATTCGCAATATAAGGAAAATTCTAGTCTGCAAAATGGTCGGATCGAGTGTCAAATGCGGAAGTACTGCAACGCACTCAAAGTGCAAGTTTGCACATCATCCTCACAGAAAGCCGTCTCAGGTGGTTTGGTCATGTCTTTAAGATGGCATCGGATCGACTTCCTCAGTGAATCTTCTAGAGTGAAGTTAGCATTAGAGTTCGATCTCGAGGAAGATTATATTTGGTTTCCAAGACAAGGTGTGGGACGACCTACGCCACTGTCTAATAGAGGAACGTGGAGTGGAGGAATATACCGCCAAGAGAAGAGCCTGGTAGAGCCTGGGGCAGTCCACGATAAGGCAACTGCGGGGAGTTGAAGTGGAAAGGAGACGCACGAACACGACGAAAACGGCCAGCCAAAGGCGCGATGGCATGATCCCCTTGGATCTTACTAGGCCAACATACGATAATATTTGGCGAATTGGGTCCAACTTCAATTGTGAACCTTTTACACCACAACGCTTGATTACTGGTTTGAAGAGGTTTTGACACAACTTATATACCAGATACCGAGCTTTTTCTGACCATATAAAATTTTAACAGGCAGCAATGTAATTAATTGTCTTCAAAATGCTTTTGTCCATTAACAAAATAACATGCAGACAACTTTAGATCAGACAATTTTAACATTTCCTCTGTAGTATGCAAAAGAGTCAGCTGCAGCATCTGATCTCTGGCTTTCGCATTTTTATTGGCAAATCATGTCACCTATACACAGAACATTCTTGTTGATAGTACCTTGAAAGTTTAAACTCAAAGTAAATTGGTTTCTTGCAGAAATCACCAGTGTTCGGCTTGTCGGGCCACAGCTTCGAGATCAGCCCCACTCCGGTCGGGTGCAGGTCCAAATAGACAGCACAACCTGGCTTGATGTGTGCGAAAACATGTGGGATGATGAGGACGGTGAAGTGGTCTGCCGACAGGTTGGATATGCTGGGTTGTTGAACAGCATGAGAGGCATTGGAATCGATGCGAATAATCGAACTTCAGAATCAGTCCGCGATTTCAGATGTGATGGAGGTTAGTAGTTAGTTCCCTGTGTTACAATGATTTGGAAACGAAATCCCTGTAATCATCAAACAAAAGAAAAGGTAGCGAAAGGACGTTAAAATCCCTACACTTGTTCTGATACGCAAATTCTTGAAGAGAGACAAAGTTATGACATTGTGAGCCCATGTGAAAATTATTTTTGCAGAGATGAGAGGAAAAACAGCTCTTCTTTAGTTGGTGTGCATAACAGTGTTTACCCAGCTTAAAATGCCAATATATGGAGTCCTAAAGGACTATATATAAACACAATCAGTTTGACACAAATGTAACACTAATATGTTTACATTTGTGTAGAGAAGTAGTTGCTGTTGCAGGCAGATATGAACTTTATACAAGTTCACATTTGTATGCAACAGTAAGCGTAGTCTTTCCTTCCTTAGTTTCCCTCAAGCAGAGAGTGTGAACTAGCATTCTTAAGGAGGTAGGGAAAAGAAAATCTTCGTTCCCTAATCATAACCGTTGTTAAACAAGAGGTAACAAGACAATCTTCCAAAATTAACATGAAAAAATGGATCCGTGTTCCCATTTATGCATTAATGGTAGAAAAAATGGGCTTGCGCGAGTTCCTTTTTGCCGATTTCAAACACACTCTATATGTATTAATGATATGCCGGCGACCCCAACACGTCATGGGGAGATACGACTGCAAACAGAGTGCATCCTCACACGCGAGTCTCGTATGTAGTAGAGGCATGCTCAAAATGCAATGTTCTTGCTCAGTTCATCTCCACTGTGTTAATTGTTCCATCAATCCATCTTAAGTGCATGATTTGTTGTGCTTTTATCATAAAATAAATCATACCCCGGTCTTGCGTAGTTACCGGTAGAAATTTTGGACAGGAATCTCGTGCCCTGAGACTTAGTGTTCTCGATGTTGCCTTGCAATAACGCGTTGAATCGATCCTCCCCGGACAACGGAAACCTTTCCGGTTGTCGCAGATAAGTAATATAACAAGGATTTTTTTAAAGACTGCGTAGACAAATTTCCAGCGCCTGCAGAAGCACTTCGAGTTTAGAAACTGCTTGAGCTGCGTTGCAGCTGCCTATATACGGTGTTGTGCACACCGCCAGGTTTGGGACCACCACACCCCGGCAACGCCGACGGGTTTCGTGCAGTTGTCCTCATTCATCGCCGAGTAAATTATGGTTACTCTCATAACAATTGAATCCAGTTACTTCGACAAGAAGAATCCGATATGTGTTTAGCTCTTTCTGTTCGACACATTAAAAGTGTCGACTCAGCAAACAAGCAAACTCGTAGGTCGCTGTCTTTTTAGCTTCACACGTACACACATACAAAGTAGCCCGCGATTCAGCCCAAGATTCAGGTCTGGGTATCTGACGCTGACCGCGTTTTTCTCTGTGGCATAGGAATAGTCTGTTGCTACTGCACATGAACACGAGTGCACTCTCACATGTTGCCACGTAAACCTCTTCATTTCGGAACAAATTTCACCATTATTTTGACCAGCCAAGAGGAAGATATATGCATCTAAAATATTAATGTATAATGTAATGATTTTCTGTACGTCATCAAAACTCCTCGTTTTAATGCATTTGGACCGCAACGGTGACAGTTTACATGTATCTTCATGCATGTTGTGCCTTTCTCCCAGTTCGTCATCAACCAAACATAAACACAAAATTTGACCTTGTTTGTTTCTGAAATCGGCCTAGTTGGTTGTGGAAAGAAATTGCCTCTTGTTGATTTTCGGTTGATAAAGTCATGAAATATTGTTTTTTTTTCTACCTCCGAAACCCTATCGATGTCGAAATATTTGAGCCTTTTTCCTTTACACTTTAATAATAAACATGTTTATAACAAGCTTCATTTACCCTTCTTTATAAATTCAATGTCTCACTACGGGCGTTTCACAATAGCGCACCTACAAGAGTTTGCAACGAGTCGACCGATCACATTGCGCGAACCTGTCGACCCAATGCTCGCATCGACAGATTTTACGCACTGTGCGGATTAGTCAACACGTGGCAAACTCTTGGAGGCGCACTATTGTGAATCGCCCGTACTGATTTTCACTTGTTTATCATTGCTGTTCGTCGTTGTGCAGAGGAATCTTCACTTGCACAGTGTGATCACAACAAACGGCGGGGATGCATGAATGGAGCAGGCGTTATATGCTACGGTAAGAGCTGACTCGCTCCCTTGAGTTATTAAAGTTGCTGCCTCTATTACTGTGTTGTTTACCCTTAGAGATTTTGCGTCTGCTGTCAAAAAGAACCAACCAAGCACAAACAAGCAAAGCCCCCTCCATTTTCATTATTATTGCATTATTTTTAATGTGATGTGACCGTCTTACATGTACTTGCCCTTCCTACTGTACAAACACTGAAGATATCGGGCAAGAAACGGAGGCAACCACGATAGAAAGGGTAGTAACTCCTGAGCAGACGACTCCAGGTCCGGCAAACACCTCACCGGTGACGAGCTCAATGTGGACCGTGACCGAGAGGCCCGAGAACCCTGGACTGACGCAATCGGCCACTGACGGACACGGCATGACAACGAAATTAGCCACGACAGATACTGGTGGATTAGACAGTCAACGTGAATCAAAGCCAGGTATCTTTACACTTCAACCATGCTATGACATCCCTCTAATTCATGTAAAAGTTATGTCCGCTCTTTTTGACAATCACAATGTTGCACTCGATAGTCCGAAGCAGGTAGGCAATTCTACCAAATCCAAGGACAAACAAAAGCTACGTTGACGAAATAATTAAACATGGATACATTGTCTGTTTGAGGCATTCAGAATGTATCTGTTTTTTTCTTGAAACAAATATTGAACATTAGTTTGCGTTGGGTTGCTCTATGATTGGGAAAAACTGTTCTTCTCTGACGGTAATGTGATGCTATGAGAGCTGGACATGGCTCAACTCTCTTTTCTTGTTTCTTTTAAAGGAAAATATATTGGACTAGCATTAGGATGTACGGTGTTCATCGTGTGCGCATGCTTCATGGTAGTGTGCCTTCTGAGAAGGTAAAAATACCAGATTGGAATTGATACCAGAATGATCAATCCTTTTTAAAAGGGAAAATTCATATCAGATAAGGCAAATCTCTCAGCAAAAAGATTTTACTCTAGCCGAGTAGACATCAGAACCACAAATATTTTTCAACACCCATTTTTGTGCAGTTGAGTTGTCTTCCAACCATTTATCCTTAGCCATATATAACCTGTCTAAGAGGTTATTCCAAATACCGATGCATGTGCTGAAATTTTTAGTGTCCGGTATGGATGATTGTGTCCATGATTTCTTGCGTAGTTACAGTTTAACAACGCTTGGAGGCAATGATATCAAGATATCCAGGCTGCCAAAAATGACGCCATACTGGGGTTTTCCATACATTTCCCGTATAGACAACAAAATGAAAAAAAAAAAAATTAGGGTAACCAATAAAAGCCCTGTCCGATTGGGTCAAAACTTAACAGACTTGCTTGAAAAAATAAAAGGGGAAAAACACACACACATGGACCCGCTAACAATAGGAATTAAAAGAAAAGGAAATAAAAATGCAACCGCTCAAACAGCTCGACTTCCTGAGTCCAGTTTGCAGATTCAGCACTTCGTAAATCCATTAGATAGAAAAAGATTTTATCTGGTCTCTATCGTTCTAGGTACAGACAAAGGAAACTTCCCGTGGCGACAACGGACTTGCAACTGTCTGTGGGTTTCGAACAATGTAGATCCGACAACGAGAAGGTACTGGGCTTGGCGGTCCCTTGTCCATCACCAGTCGAACATTCACTAAAACAGCCAGCTTCAGCTCCGCCGGTGTCAAGGAATGAGTCTGCCAGCAAAATATCGGTTTACCTAGAACTCAACGGTGAGATGGCTTCAGGGAAAAGGTCATCGACAGAGGGAAAACAAAACACAGCAAGAGCGTCATGCTTCACGACGAAGCAATCCGAGTCGGATGCAATGGAAACGAACCAGGTGTTGAGCTGCGGCACAGACTATTTTACTGTCGAAGACAAGGGCGACTTGACAGGCAACGGCCAGTACACCACGGGGGTGGTCGGGGACAAAGCCACATCACAGGCAGTTGATGCGCCATCGCGGGATTCGGGTCTTCCGGGGGAAGATGACGTCGATGACCACGAGTACACGTACGCAGATCCCATTTCAGGTTCCACTGCACACGCAGAGGGGGAACCAGGAAGCCATAACGTTTTACATCCTCCCGTGTACACGTACGCAGACGTGCCTCGGCTGGGCGCCCCTGCAACCGGCATCGACCGGCCACCTAACGCCGATTATTTCATGATCGAGGAACAAGAAAACTCCATGGGCGCCCCGCTCTACAACGCCGGCGAGGCACGTCCCACTATTTCTACGAAGGAAACCAAGAATGCTGGCTGTCAACCGGCGGCAATGAACAGGGAAACCGAGTACGCCACCGCAGACGATTCAAATCTCTGCACTGGTTCCGCTGAAGAAACCGAAGGATGGGTAGAGAATATCGTGTATGTTCCCGGGCCTCCTGAATAGTTTCTTAAAGAACAATCTATCCTGGATTTGTAAGTGTGCATACTTACGTACCGTAACTGTCGACAAGTAGTCCTTGATAATAGTTGGTTGGCTATATGTAGAAAACAATGTTCATTAGGCACATTAATTGTTCCTTATATGTTGTTCCAAATGTTCCAAAACCTATCTCTGCTTGCTCAGGCGAACATTGGACCGGCATTGGAGTCTGTCTCTCCCTAACAATGTGCAAGCGTTATACAATCCTCTCGAAGAAGCTTACATGTAGTCATACGTAGTTTTGACTGTGACACGTCGTTACTCATATTCAACATTGGTTGCACTTCTTTCCGTTCTCTCTGTCGCTGTCATTCTACACAACTATTTTCATAACATTGGTTTCCTCTGTAAACTGATTTGAAATCGAGGTTTCTCGAGAACCCTCGCGACTCGTCCTCCCAGAAGTTGGTTAGCCAACTGCACCCATCCAATGCCTCAGCAAAGTTCTTTAACCACAGTTTCCATATGTTCACTGGTGGAATACTAGTATATGTTTTACATCTAAACATGCTTTAATCTCTTAATCAATTCAGTGTATAGCATATACTACTGTACAATAAATATTGGACTTTTATATGTACGTTTTATAATTTTTTCTTGGTCGTACCAACTCGAGGCAAGTCTAAACGTCAATTGTGTACCATCTGGACGGTTTCATATCGAAAAAATATTATCACTTTTGACTGTGGACCATTCAAATTATAAGTCGTTAATAATGGTACATCCTGCAGAACCACAGTCCTTCCTATAAGCAAGAAAGGATAGGTGAGATAATATAGTAAAGGGAAAGGAACACTATACTTCGGTTATCAGTTCATTTTTCCGAAACTTTGTTTCACGCTATAAATAGCCTATTACCCGAGTATGGACGTTCTAGAACGGGAGGGGCTATTTGCTTCACTGGTAATTTTTCATTTGAATGACTACTGACTTTAAGATCTGCTACCCGATAAAGCAATTTGCATTTGTGACGTAAACAAAAGTCTCCCCAACACATGGTCGCAATTCTCCTTTGCTCATCGCACTGTACATTCGCGATCTTTGCCTTGACTGCAAGGGCGATACTGGTATTAAAGCGTCTGCAAGAATGAGGTTGGGGTCAGACACTTTGAAGTCCAAGTTCACGTGAAAACACGAATCATGCACATAGAGGGTACTTTATTCACTGGAGTACGTTATTGGGCTTATATTAATATATTAATGCGTGCAGCGAGTCCATTGCATTTTGAAGCAGTAATTATAGGTCGATGACTACTTGTAGCCAGTCTGTTGACACGCTATATCAATGCATTGGTAATTGATGCATATAGGGTAATGGACATGCCAGCTCGCTATTCCTGTTTGATAGGGAAATAAGTCACGGAAACGACAGTTTCCAAACCACAGAGGTTGGCACATGTTGTTTACGTTACGGAAGATATGCGCAAAGACAATGATGACAATAAAGAGGTCCCATTATCTAATATCCAAAACATCGACAGAAGTTTGTGGTTTATCTTAGGATTGAATCTGGACAAGCAACCTTTTTGTTCCAGTTTGCGTCGTTGGTTGTGGAATATAAGTTATGCAATTGCAGCCCTATGTGAAAATGTGCACCTCATGCCGTGCCACTGGATGAAACCGTGACTTGGTTAACACGAAACAGGAACCCAATGGCAAACCATCTTTCCGTCCTGCTGCTACAGTTTCCGTGAAAAGACTCGTTTTCCGCGGTCCCTCTTGTGCTTATGAGGTTCCTGTTCGTCCTTAGACTGCAGTGACTGATTCAGGCAATCGCAAATGAAGTTTGGACTTAAATAGCGACACACACGAGGGCCTGCACGGATATAAAATTATGAGAAGTCATACTGGACACCAACAGTAAGTTGTTGGACTATTTCGATTCGGTTATAATCGTTGACACCCGTGTTCACATATAGATTGACCCCTTCACGCGTGACCAGTTATCAAAGAAGGTGGACTTGTTACAGAGAAATACTTGCTCACCAGGAAGGGACATATACGCTCAAGGTAAGCACAGTGCTGCTAAAATTCCACACACATTTTTAGTACGATAAAGATTGCTAGATAAATTTTATGTTTAACAATTGACGTAAATGCTAGCACCAGTTTTTTGGGGATTCTTTTTTTTTGGTTGCACATTCCAGCATTTTAAAGATACCGTTTCTGCGGTCTTGTGTGTCAGTGTTTTAGGTTCTGTTAAAACCTGTAAATAATCCGGGGCAGATCCAGGAGTTTTTCGAGGGGGGGAGTTCAGATTTCTTGTTTAAGTCTCATTTTTGCGGCTTATAGTTTCCTGTTTGTAACACTCATCTTGAACACATAAGAAGAATCTCTGGGATGATACATCGTCTTTTAAATTTATTTCAGCTATCTTGAGTATTTTGCAATTTTTATTACCTTTTGTCTCAGAGCGGGGGGGGGGGATCAACCACCCAACCGGATCCGCGCCTGAACTGAATCGAAAGTGTGTTCTAGTAATTATCTGACACTCATGTTGACAAGAAGCAGGGTCATGGGAAACGAACTACCTTCAGCGTTTTGTCAAGAGCTTGTTCCTGCCACAGCTGTTCGCGCTGATGCGAAATCTGATTTTGGCAGGAATTTGAGCAATAAATTGATCAGAATGTTTTGATAGAAACTTGCTCCTATCACAACTGATCGATGTAGGCCTAATGGCGGTAGGCAATTATGGCAGATCTCGAACTTGATCCACTAATATACGTTTTCCCCCTCGAACTTCCTCTCGATTGGTATATGTTAACCATACCCGAGGAAGACCTTGAAACTGCGGAAATCTTACACAGCGAAGCAACAGACAGTCACCCACATAGTTTTTCAGTGTTGTCAGTAGTACAGGATATATTTCAGGATATATTACATGATCCGCGTTTTTGGCATACAAAAGCAACTGTAACTGCTAAGACTCATCCACTAATATGAAAGATATAAATATGTTAACACATTTCTGAACAGGCTATAGAAAGCTTGACAGAACTATAGTCAGGCCAATGTTACTGGAATTTGCTCGTAGTATTCGATTCAAGATGGCGGAATTAGCTACATATCTCCACTCCGAGACATGGACATTGTTTGCATAGCTAAAACATGGCTTAAAGACAGTTGTGATTCAAATGAGCTCATTTTCTCAACTGATTACGTCATCTTTAGGCAAGATCGACAAAACCTAGCCCGGAACTGTAACAAGGAGGTGGTGCAGTCCTCACCGTAATAAAAGCTCACTTGAAACCACGCCGTTTGGTCCACCTTCAACACCCTGGCATTGAACAGATTTGTTCTGAGATTTAAATAGTTCTCATCGCAATATATCACTCGCCAAATGCAACGGCTGAATTTTGGGATTACTTGCAAACTCCCATTGATGACATCCATTCTGCTTGCCCTGACTATCAGGGTGTCATTTTAACAGGTGATTTCAATATAGACCTTGCACAGTAGACGGGAGACGTAAGATGTGGCGCAGTGAAGCAACAAAACTAGGGGGCAGATATTTACCTTTCTCTAGTGCCAACGACAGTTCATTTGAAATAAGACGCAACTACGTCCTCCGATGCTGAACAATTTGAAATTTATTCCTTTCACCTTATAATGAAAACAATAAAAGGAACGTTTATACAGCTGCTGCAAATTTGGGCCCTTAATGAAGGTACGGTTATTAATAAAATCGGGATATAAACATTTTATTTCAGCAGACAATTTTCAGAGAAAATTACTAGTAGTTTTTCAATTTTAGAAATTGAGCTTTTAGAGCTGTTACAAGCTGTAATCGATACAAAAAAATATTACTGGGCAAGTACTTTGTAATCAGCTCACATTTTTTGAAGTGAACAAAAATAAAAAGCCAAAAAACCCCCCAAAAAACAAAAGAAAGAAACTAGAAAAGTTAGACGTCGGTCAATAGAATGAGACGTCATACATCGTACACAATTCCTCAGCTTTTTGTATTTTTCTCAACACCCACCTCGGTAATTTACGAAATGTTTAATTAGAATTCTAATCGTGAAATGAACAGGTTATTGAACTGAATAGGTGCTTACAAATGATTATAAAGATAACCAAGATATCGTCTGGAGCGGGATTTGAACCTGCATCAAGTAAGAAGTGGAGAAAGAATAAGGATCGCTTTAATGGAAGGAAAAGGTCCGGCTTTGTCCTATCCCATCTTCGTGTTTCTTATAAAAATATTCCGGGAGCGGGGGCACGCTTTTAAAACGGAAAACATGTCGGCTCTATTTTCTGTCAATTCCATTGCATGTTAAGACATCCCTTTTAATTCAATTGTGCTGTTGGCAATCCAAATATTGCAGGCCTTCGCACGTTCATTTCAAGCAGCAATTTTATTAGGTTTTGTAATGGGTAGAAAAATCAGGTCTTCCTCATGCATGCATTCGAATCATGACTTCCGCGATGTTGATGCGGTAAAAACGCATTAAAGACGAGATAGGACTACCAGAACAGGCCACACAAGGCAGGGATATGAATAGGGGCAAGGAAACAATCAATGACAGCTAGAAAAAAAGCTGATAAACTTCAAAATAACAGCAAGATGACGGTCAAAATTCAGGGGTAAAATCGGTCGATTTTATTTTCCAATTCAGTCAGAGGTTATATAGTTGCACAAGAGCGTACCCTGTAATGCAGGTATAGTCAGCAGTGACCGACAGATGACCAAGGGTACTTTTGGAATTGGTGTTAATGTCGAGGACGATTTTTGCTTTTTCTAAACTTATATAATTTGTTTTACTGCTTCTTTGGTCATATCTTTTATTTGTCCTTGTTTGCACTAGAGTTTAGCGCCAGTGTTTGTTATAAAAGAGGTGAGCGGCCTCATCGTGCATGACCAGTTTACTTACGTAATTGTTCGTGGTTTATTTTTCTCTTTTTTACCCCTCATTTTTGAACAATAATTTTCTCTCAGACCCAGTATTCAACGTTTTAACGGCAAAAGCTTGGCATACACAGCAAGAACCAATAACAGGGATGCAGCCAAGTGTGGCGTAATACTGACATCAAATTACATGAAATTACAGGTCAATTGACATCATATTTCAAATCACCATTACATTATTTCCAATGCATCTCATCAAATTTTAGAGTGGCAGAATATTTGTAAAAAATGCAAAGATTCTAATCTTCCCTTCTCACGTTTCTCGTAGGTCAAATAAAATTTTACAAATTTAACGAACTTTTACGTGACATGTCTAACCGATGAAAGTCATCCAACTGTAATATTTCGCCGGGAGAGATTTTCATGTTTACGGTTTCCCTGCTTTATTTGAATCCATCGTTCAACGCATATGTGGGCTTTTTTGGACAAATGCAGACACCAACTATTACAGATTTGCTGATAACAGGTACAACTGTCGCAAAATGGTCAAACTGGTCATTGAGTGCAAACTGACGCGTGACGTGAAAATCCCACAATTTCAGGCTTGCAATGTGCAAAGTAAATGCTACATTTTAAGGCCCTGTATTACATTTACTGTGTTTATGCTTTTTTGCAGTTGAAGTGATTGTGTACGACTGTAGAGTAAACAAACAAAACCCCACTTGTCTTCTTTTTTCTCTCTCTCCAGGGTATTAGACATGAAGCTGCTGTACCTGCTGCTAGTCATCACGTGCATGGCGCCACAGCTATCAACGCAAAGGCGAAATAATGGTATATATATGTTTTATTTATGGCCTATCTATTTGTACACAGATTTCCAAACACAAACTCTTTTCACATGCTGTTCAATTCTGTTTTGAAATAGCAATAGTGGTAGAGGAAGAAAGAAGGACAAATAAAGACCCAAAAAGTCTGGTTGATCCATGCACAAAAAGCATTTCACTGCGACATGAAATTGTGCCAAGTAACAGTTACCCGTGATCCTGCGTGGAACTCAGCCAAAGATGGACATTACTAAATAATAAATGATGAGGGCTTGTGCCATGTTCCAAATAAGACCGGGTTATTTAGCGTCCGTTAAAGCTAAAGCCTAAACCTCAAGCCTTAACTCTCGAAACACAGGGTACATAGTTTTCGCAATACCAAAGTGGCTAATAACGCTAGAACATCTCGTCTCCATGCACATTTTTCTACAAGGAGTAATCACTGGTGCCCGTCTGTTACCACTGGCTGGCCAACCAAGCTCTGGTCGCTTGCAAGTACAAATTAACGGCGAATCGTGGCGAGACGTATGCGATAAAGGTTGGGGAGACCGAGATGGTGAAGTGGTCTGTCTGGAGCTGGGATTCGAGGGGCTTTCCCGAACAATGAAAGGCCTTCGCATCGTTAACAGGAGTTCAAATTCGGTAGACGATTTCAAATGCAGAGGGAGTGAGTACTAGATCTCCCGTATTGTATAACTTTGGTAAAAAGGGTAAATCTCTTTAAGAAAATCATGAGATTTATTCCAGTGTCTTTCCCTGCTCTAATTCAAAAGAGAAGAATCAGTTTCCTTTCTCGAGTTTGCTCAAAATCCATAAACCGTGTTAATGCTATCCGTGGCACGAACTTCGAGATAAATCCTCCAGTCCTTTTTACTCCTGAACTCTGCTCGTAAGGTCCACCGTTAGACCTATGTCGGTCGTGTTTCCGTTTCTGCAGATGAGGTGGCACTCTCAGATTGTAGCCACAAACAATCAAACGGCAGATGCAGAGACACCAAAGGAGCCGGAGTGACTTGTATCCGTGAGTATCATCCAATAAATCAGCCTGAATTGTTCTTATTGCCAATTGTATCCCCTTCAACGGGTTTATTGTATAACTACGCCCATGTATACTTCATTGGAAAATATGCTACGATTAGGGCTAATTATAAGCTAAGTCGCTTTCAGCAGAAAGCTTGATCCTGATTGGTTGAAAAGAGCCAAGTTGGTAAGAAGTGTTCATTTTGTTGGTAGCTATGCGGCAGCAGTGCATAGTTGTGCGTGAACCAGAGTAGTGCAGTTCCCTCCAAAGGAGCCTCTGTTACTAGTAAAACGTCACCCTCCGTTGGTCACACTCGGACGGATTGGGAGACCAGATTCACAGGCAATTACAAGGGGTGACATCACACATGGTTGTGGGCAAGTGATACACGCCCAAAGCATGCCTCTCCAACCAATTAATGCACGCGCGCGTCAAGCTTATAGAGTACGCACTCGCGCACGAGCTTGACGCCACCGCAGTAATAACGTCTCTTGAGATCAGTCAGGGGGCAGGGGGTTAAACTCCAGTTTTTAGTGTAGTCTTGACAGATTAATGAGTCATATCTTTTCACAAACATGAAGCATTATGCAAAACTTTTGCTTGAAGTATGTTGCATCTAATTTTCTTGTCCTGCCTTCGGCTTCGCAATGCATTTTTTCTTTTTTGTCAGATTCTTCAACCACAGAGTCGCCCAAGGACTCTCAAATACTAACAATTTCAGGGCAGTCAACAGAAGACAGAACCACGCATCAGAGAGCAACATCGGTAGAATCAGGCCACAACACGCTCCGTGTCGCCTCTACCACCAAGCTGACGGAGCCAGGGAAGAGATTAACCACTGGCAGAGGGATGGTGAGTCCTGAGCAGACGACGGTGGGACCAGTTACCAACCTGGTAACTGGCAGAGTCCAGACCCTTACTGAGGGAACCCAGAGACCCATACTGACGCAGTTGATCGACCACGGACATGGCACGACAGCGGAAGCCGCGACCAATGCTGGTGGATTAGAAACGCAATATAGATCACATTTAGGTAAGTGTAACAGTAAGACCTTGCAATGATATCGTGGTCATTCATTTTTTTCAAATTATGTGTGCCCTCTTTACGATCAAAAGATCAACAGTCTCAATCGTATAATTCCACGTATCTGAATCTAGCAAATTCTTCGTTCACAGCGCCATCAATGGGAGGAATGGGACCATAGAGACGGTTTAATCTGTATATATCTGAAAAGAGGGACCTGTATCGCTCTTGACCGATATTCCATAGCAATTTGACTTGATGTATTTTAAACCTTTTTTGGTTCTTTTTTTTCCAGGAAAATACATTGGACTAGCATTAGGATGTATCCTGTTCATCGTATGTGCATGTTTCATTGTCTTCTGTCTTCTCAAAAGGTACAATGAAGGATAAGATTTGATGTTTTACTGATTGTTTTTCAAAGAAAACCCCGTAATTTCTAACTGAATAGGGCACATTACATCGAAAAATTAAGGCTCCGCCACACAACGCATTCAATGCTTATGCCTTTCACAGTGGTCCTTCTGATTCACCATAAGAGCCCCCTGAAACATATTGAAGTCCATGCCCCATGCTTCGGATCGGAATTCAGTTTAAACATAAACCAATGGACTGATGCCTAGTGCATGTAAAATCCCAAATCATTTCGACCCGACGCTTTCACGAAATGGCGCAGGAGATCATATAATTCTTTGAAGGGGTGAAAACTCGGAAAAGGCCTCCTTAAATTCAGTCAAAACTTTGCCGATGAACATGTAGGGCACTTTTCCTCAGATTTCTTTGAATGTGTATTTTTCTTGTCTTTGTATTTCCAGACACCCAAGAGGAAAACACAACGGGTCTACAGCCGCTTCACAGCCGTCAGGGGGCTTCGAACAAAACAGTGCCGTTTATGAAAATGCACAGGGCTTGAAACCCCTTATGATGGAAGAACGTGATAACGCACAAGCTGGGTACATGGTTCCCAGCCAAACAAAGGGTTCAGCAGACGATGTTTACTTCACCGTGGAGGAAGCGGTAAACGCACGATACGCTAGCGGTGTAGATGACGAAACCGAAAGAGATTACGTTGTGCCTATTTCACCACCAACCACAAATTCGGGTGAACACCAGGCGTCAAATCCATCAGGGCCGACCGATGAGACTGTCGGGAAAACCGCCAGTCCATATTACCTAGAACTTCTCAGTGGAGAGATAGAACCACAGAAAGGGTCAACGACATCGAAGAAGGGCTCTGAAAAAGCACTGTATTTTACTCTGGAACCAGCCAAAGATGTGGATGAAACAAATGAAGGGTTGAGCAGCAGTGCAGACTATTTCACCGTTGAAGACAAGGGCGACTTGGCAGGTAACGGGCAGTACACTACGGGAGTGGTTGAGGAGAAAGCCACGCCATCGGCGGTTGATAAGCCGTCACGAATGTCAGATATCACGGTGGACAATGACAAAGGTAGCCACTATTACGCGTACGCAGATCCGACTTCGGGCTCCACAGCTGCCGCAAAGGGGGTACTGGGGAACCTAAACGTTTCGAATCCTCTCGTGTACATGTACGCAGACACGCCTCGGCTGCGCGCCCCTGAAACCGGCACCGACCAGCCACCCAACGCCGACTATTTCGTGATCGAGGAACGAGACAACTCAATGGGCGCCCCAGTCTACAACGCAAGCGAGCCACGTCCCCCCACCAAGGAAACTGAGATAAAGAACGGTCGGCTGGCGACAGGGATTACGGAGAACGAATACGCCTACGCAGACCCATCAGAGCTCTAAAGGCACCTTTCCATATATTTGCGTCAACTTTTGCACCTAGGGTTGCGTACCCGTCAAATCGCTTCCGAGGTGATTTTGAAAGCCAAACGCAACGCCCACGTGTTTTGTTAAGGGAAGTCGATATTTATGCAACTCACCCCTACAAAACGTACATACGTAAGGGCGCCCTTAGTCGACCGGTTGGACTGGAGAAATCGCAGTATTTACGATTTGATAAATTCCACAAATTTAGGGAAAAATCAAACTTAAACATGAGTGACTGACGTTCTTCAAAAAAACATTTATAAAATACAAGCTCCTCATTTCAAGAACAAAAGACTACAGAGTACGGAAGTTAATGCTCAAAATGACGTCACACTTCTGTACTCTTCAGAATACCGAAGTGGATATGTCATGCGCACAGTATCATGCGTTTAAAAGTGCGTTAGCGTGAGAACCAGGGCGTGAACCAACACGCCCGCGTAATCCATTCGTTTGCACTACACTTTCTAGTTCAGAATGACGTCACACTTCAGCACTCTATAGACGAACGAGTCATACACGAGTAGTTATGATCAGGGCCACGGTGGTGGTTGCGGGACAACTTCTTCCGAGTGAAGAAAAGACGAAACGGAAGTTGAGAAAGCGTCTTACCAATGTTTTAAATCATAATATCAGTACGTGCTTGGCCATTCTCATCTTTGCGTTTAAGAACGGCTCAGTAGACTGAACACAACTATTTCCAGCGTTCGTTCTCCTGAGCAAGGTCTTAAACGTTAGTTTAAGACCGGCCAAGCACATATTTATTTCCATTATTAATACCTTTTTATTTAGAGAGTCAAAAGGAGTCAACATATGATGGACTTTCGACGATTTTGTTATTAAACTTTTACTTTCATTTTCCCGAACACCCCCATCCATTTTTATGGTGTATTCCTTTTGAAAGTTGTACAAGAGAATCCACTTCGATAAACCTGGCGCACGTGCGGCGTGTTGGGTGCACACAGACTACTGACCAATCAGACCCGATTAACAGTCTCTTATCCATTGATCTCCATTATATGGAGATCAGAGCCCGTATCTATGCCCGTATCCATGTGCCAGCAGGTGAGTTACGAAGCGGGCATTTTCAAATGTTAATACACAGTCACCTGACAGGTTTCGACCAATAGGAATAGAAAAACTGTCCCAGGTATTTATGAAATTATTTTCATTACAGTCCCACCTTACTAAGCTTGCATAAGGGTAATACGAGTGTTTATGCTATGCACATCGCTGCTATGTTCAACAGTAATATGAGGAAATATTCCACTTATTTCCACAAATACTCTTCTTTGAGGAAAACACTTTAAAATTGGCAGATTTGTTTGTAAATAGTAAAATCATAGGTTATTTTACATTCAACATTAACCAATAAATAAAAGGCACCAATGCCAATGATAAAAAATCTGGCTCTTCACACAAAACGTGCATCATATTTTGTCTTATTAGACTAGACTTCTTCATAATACATGTATATGGAAGTGCCGTTAATTGTTCTTCCTATTGTAGGCGTCGTTTGCTGGAGTCGTTTCTTGATTGGGATTGCCGCAGCTCCAACCGCAGAAAGGAGAAATACACCGGTGATGACGAGCAGGCTTACGGTATAGTCTCCCGTCAAATCGTAAAGGCCGCCTGAAAAAGCATGCAAAAATGAAAGCAAATATGAAAATGCAAATGTGTTACAGTAAGCGTTGGTGTTGGCTGCGTATGGTTTACTATACCAAGTGCGGTTGGGGACAGAACGCCGGTATAGACTGGGTTTGGCGGGGTGAGGGTAAGCTAAGGCCAGCTGAAGTACTCAGGCTGGGCTGGGCGGGTGAATTAAGTTACGGGTTACGGATGGTTTGGGATCGGTGGGATTAGATTGTATTGGGTTAGGTTTGCAGGTTGGAAAGGAGTGGATTTGGCCAGGTTGAGTTTAATTGGATTAGTTTGGACTGCACGAGTTGGATAACGCGAGGTGGGGTCAGGTTAAGGACGATAGGCTGGGCTGGATTAGGCTTTACTGTGCTGAACTGGACTGAATTGGGTGGCATGGGTGGGATTTAATTGGAATGGACTGGGCAAGGTTAGGTAGGGTTGGGCTCATGAGTGGGTCTGGGCTTGACTAAACGAGGCTGGGCTTGATCGACTTGGCAAGAATGAGCTAGATCAGTCTAAATGGTCCGGCCGGTTGCCTATTATTATGCGTCGTGTAATCTTCTCACCGGACAACGGCGCACCAATGAACACCCCGAAGCCCCACGGCATGAGTACCAGTGTGGAGACAGCATCTGCCCCGTACTCTCCAAAGATCTCCATCGCAGCGGCTAGTGGCATGCCGTACGACCCAGCGCGGAAGAATCCCAGAACTTGGAAAAAAATACAGCAGTCTTTATTAAAAGTCAAACATTACCTTAATTTCCTTTGCAAACATTCTGGTCAACAGTCAAAGCGGCAAAATGGGTAAAATGTCACTCTTTGAATGTAAGATATCAGGCCGAATTCCAGCCAAAAAACCCTCAACGGGGATTGTGCAAGAAAGCCTGTCCACGGAGCTGAAAACATTTTCAAGGGCAGTAAAAGGTTGCAGAGGGGGCAAACCTTCGACCAAAAAAAGGCCTAAACTCACCTAAAAGCAGCACAGTGCACTAAACTCTACTTCACGTTTTTGCATAGGAAAGCAGACGTTACTGGGTGCAGAATGTAAGTGATTATAAACATGTTTGAAAACACCTACACCATGACTGTTCTGTTTTTAAACGAAAACATCTTGCAAAACAAATCAGCTCAACACAGTGTCCACTTCTTCCTTTATTTCTGAGGCTTAATATTTTCGACGTATTCTTAACGAGACGTCGTTTCCACGTGAAAACGCGCTACTTTTTGTTTCTGCATTGATTCGCAAGGTAGATTTGGATCTCCCAACTTACAAAATGAAACGGCCAACATGGAGGGTAGCGCACTCAGCAGGGTCATCAGTCCGGAGGCGAGGCCTCCCAAGACGGAGCCCGCCAGCACAACGTAAAGCTTCAGGCAAGGCAGGTGGTCGCTGACGAGGGACAGGCCGGCTTTACCCACAATCTCCCCCACTGCAAACAGGGCAATGGCAAGGGAAATGTTCTCGCGGGTGAAACGAAGATCGTGCTCCATGAAGCTCGCCTACACGGGGATGAAAATGAGGTGTAACGTTAAAAGGAAAACGTCATCGTTCATCTCTGTTCTATTTTACAGAACAACATTTTGAATGGGGGATTTTTTCTGGGGAGACTGACTACATGGTTTTGTCCTAGCTCTTAAGAAAACAAAGCTGCTTCCAATCTTCGAATAAGCCATTTGCGAGTTGAATTTGAATAAAATCTGGTGCACTGAGTTATCTGACTGCACATAAACATAACGATTTGAATTCCTCAGACTAAAGACACTGTTGCTATACTTCGTGATTCGGGGCAAGCTTTTGCATAGCGACCACCATTTCTGGAATGGACTGGTTCCTTTGCGTCTTTCTTATCCATTAAGAACAGTGTAGGCCTATTGTTACAAGGCGTCTCTTATGTCACTAAGCAAAAGCTTGCCCCGAATCACGAGGTATAGCAACAGTGGTTTTAGTAAAGAGAAATCAAATTGTTATGTTCATGTGAGTTTAAAAAACTCATTGTACCAGATTTGGGTCAAAGCTAACCCGCAAAAGGCTCTGAGGCACTGAGGGAGGGGGGTTGTAATGGCAGTGGTGGACAAGCGAAATCATGCCATCCTACCTTAAGGCTGGTTCAACCTAGCCTGTGGGAGTATAGGCGAAAGCGAAGCGAATTTGACGTCCCGACAACTTAGTGGCGAAATTTCACTCGAGTTGGAATGTATTCAACTTTTGCGAATTCGCAACACAAACATTTTGATCTGCCCTGCCTTCACAAATTCGCGTTCGCATTCGCACGAAGTATAAACCGGCCCTTAGATGTACTTTTATGTGGCCAAAGTAAGTAACGTAGGCACTTCGTTGCCTTTGCTGTTTTTTATACATTGCTCCAACTTGCTTGCTCTACGTACTGTATAACATACATGTACATGTAGGTTACCGGTCATTGTGTTTTGTCCCCTGCTTTCGGCAAATGAAATCAGACTGACATGAGACTGACGGTTACAGCCAAAAGGACCAACTCACATAGCTGACTACAATGAAAGACCATCCGAGATTGCCCAGCGTTAGGCAGAGCACCCAAAGCCACGTGTCCACACGCAGCAAGATCCTGACGAGCCCAAGTAGTTTTGGGCTTTGCCGACAATCGGTCTCAGTGACAGTCTCGGGCTCCAGGGCCGCTTCCGTTTCCTTCGCAGGAGTCTCGCTCAACTCCAGATGGCCATCCTTCGCGTCGCCTGTCGTCGGCGCGGCCGTCTGCGCTGGCAGCGTGATGAAAGCACCGTGCACGAGACTGACCAGCAAGTTGCCCACACCGATTATTATGAGGGTTTTGCGCCAGCTGTACGCCGCTATGAGCGCGTTCATTACGGGAGCAAATACGAGCATACCTTTGTCGAAAAGATGAAAAAAGAGCACATAGTCATAATTATACAATTGTTGGATGGAATTTAGCAATGTTTCAATTCTGATTCAGAACATGGGCTAAAAGAGGGTAAGAATTTGACAGACAGTCTTTCTGTCAACGTTCAAAGCATTTTACTCTTGTACCCGTGAACCAACTCGCCCCCTGTAGATTATTACGATTGTAATGCATCAGCAACATACACAAGTTTGATGTGTAATCTATTCCCAAAGAAACTTTAGTGACACAAGGCAAAAAGAGTATGCCTTTATGATTTCGCTGCATGACAGGACATAAAAATTGATAATTCGACCTTGCACTTTATATAGCAAACGCGTTCCAGAGGCCACCTGTTTTCCCCATCTGAAAGTACATTGATAATCATGAATTATTAACTTCCTTTTTCAAACCCTTACTCACAGACTGAAGTTACTATTTGTCTTATCAGCCGATGACCCGTCTAAAAGCGCGGGACACCCCTGACAGGTCAACAAAACCTTAACGTGCAGAGCCAGCTGGCACACTCTTACCCCCCATACACACACAGCCGAGCAGAAAATATTAAATTTAAAAGACCTTACTTGAACATAGGGTGGAATCTGGTTCGAAATTTCACTTCACCTGATGACTTGAAAGGAGTAAGGATTTTTTTCAACTGAGAAAATCTCCCAACACAGACCTTTCTTGACTTGGCCTAAACCGTTTTCATGTCTACCGGGGCGCAGGTCAAAAATCACAGACAACATTTGTCCCGTCACACAATGTCGCATTCACAGCCCTCAAAGGTATTATTTTAGATGTTTGTTTGTGTGCGATAGCTAATTAAAGAGAGTATACACACAAGCAGGCCTTACCGATGGATGGTCCTAGGAGGGCCAGGGCCGTGGCGCGCGAGCAGTTCTCCCCAGGGAACCACTCCAACAGCACGGAACAGACCGACTGGAAGACGAAATTGGTCCCCAGGCCGACCAGCAGGCCGAAGGTTAAGAAGGTGTAGCCCAGGGCCGACATGAAGGCGGTCAAGATGAAACCCCCGCAGTACAGGACTGAGCCGAGGAGATTGGTCGGGCGGTGGCCGAGGTACCGTATCAGCAGAACTGAGACGGGGCTGCCAGAGCAGAGTAGGCCGTTGGCAATCGACCCGACCCAACCTTGGGGGTGGGGGGGGGAGAGAAATATAAATCAACTGTAATCCCCGTTTTGAAATGTTGAATTCCAAAAGCAGCTTCCCCAGTGGATTGGATGGATCGGACTTTAAAGTTCCTAAAGTAAATGCACGTTAAAATCGCCCCAGTTATTTGTCTGATGGAAAATGGTGATGGACAAAAGAATAACAAAGAGATTAATGAATTGTGACGAAGCAATAGTCGAATTGAGTTTTCATTTCTTTTTTTTGTCAACGAAGACATGTTGATACTATATATAGGTGAATTTTGAATATGAAGGTGTGTCTGTCATCTACAATACAGGTCTGCCAACTGTATTGTAGACGACAGACACACCTTCATATTCAAAATTACCCAGTCAAAGCAATGGCATTCCTAGATCTTGAGTGGGGGCGGAAATTGAGTTTTCTTCCTTTTTTTGTTTTTGAATGTCCGTCCACTTTTCCAATTCAAAAAGAATCCTCACCCACCCCGAAGTGTCGTTGTACAGATTATTTTAAAAATGGTGCTTTTAATATGCATGTGGTGAAAAACAATGGGGACATGTCTTCCGACCAAAACTCGTCCTCCGATGTTCAGCCCTGGCAGACTTTAAGGCCTGATGTAAGTGCCAGAAGTGGAATATTTCATTTTAGCTGGAATGGAAACTGAGAAATTCTTGCTTTGAAAACAAGTTTAAAATTGGCTCTCGGTACGTAACACCTGCAACGGGAATAAAACCTTTTGAAATGCCAGAGGGACCAAGACATTCCAAAAGGACTTACCAGTCAGCGCTGCGCTGCTCTTGAATTCTTGGAGGAAACTGAGGAACAGGATGCTGTAGTTGAATGCCGTCCCCAGGGCCAGCGCCATTTGCACTAAGGCTATGTAGACGATGATCCATCCCCACCATCTCTGAAGACAGGAACATAGTAGTAACGGCCTTAACCCGCCCATGGTCCATAAGCCCCGAGCTTGACCAAGTGCAACAGTTACGGTCGCATCGCTGGTAGCGATTTGCTACCAACAAAACCTATACTTCCAACCAATATGCCTCTTTTCAATCGATGGCGGGGGGGGGTACTTCTGCTCAAGGTGGATAATGATGATCGACTCCCAGTTCCACGCGAGGTATCATGCAGTTTAACTGCTCTTTGAGTCTTAGTCCTGCCAGACGCTGGTCCTTCACACACCGCTGATAGGCCTACATCTTGCAAGTGCCAGCTCTATGATGACTGACTATGATGACATGTAATTGAATAGAAACAGCTGTCTTGAGACTAGCTAGCTTCAAAACTAACGGTGCTGACTCAGTGGCTTTGACGCCTCTTGGCGTCACCGCCTTGAGAACATTTCAAGCCAAGATCTTCTTAAGAAAGATTCACAAGAGCTGATGAAAAAATGCCAATATTTTAAGCCTTGGACAGTAATTTGCCTCTTGAATCCTTCATTCTAAGAGTATCAGACATGGAAATAGTTAATCTAAATTTGTACTCAGTTTAGATAAGAAGAACATAATACAAAATATGCCCTCGTCCAGACAAGGGAGGTACGCCAGCACCACCCGGCGTACCAAACTAGACCTAGCGGAAGTTCAATGAAAAGCGCGCTCACGGGAAAAATGAAACATAAACTGTGTTTTAAAAACAAGGCAATCGGTGGGTATACACGTACCCTAAAGGCCTTGTGCATATGCAGATATAAATGAAACTTTTTTGCATGGCATGGTATTTTGCCATTGCAGGCGCGATGAAACATGCACCCGAATTATTCAAACAGTATTTTTTAAGTCTCAGTGTTCAGTGTAAAATGATGAGCGCGTGTCCCCGTCCAGCACGCTGCTTGTGCGAAGGACCCGTAGCCCATGCATCAAATTGAATATGCTACGCCACGAAATCAGGTCCGTTTGCCAAGCGTAATTATGTGGCTCATTGCCGCGGTGGGGGGGCGTTATTTTTGGCGCAGCTTACGCTAAGCCACCGATTTTTCATTTGGGAGTCCAAATAGGGTACGTTCAGACAAAGTGACAAACAGGGGTTGATCTGAAAATATCAAATTACCCCTCTGTTTGAACGCTGTAATCCACCTGAAGTGGCGTTAGTTGTTTCATTTGACCCTTCAAGCTGCGATAACAGATTAGGTCTATAGCTGCCTGACCAGCATCAGAGGAAAGGTAAACAAAACAGAAGTAAATGGGCATATTTATAACCCTCGAATGATGGGTCCCATTCTCGACTATACATCATCAGTGGATGGAAGGGGGTACCCGGGTGGACCTGTATCACGTCTTGTGCCGCAAACTTGAATGACAGAAATCTGTCTCATTGTTACTCGCATCATATTTGGCCAAACTCAGCTCTAAAGTTATGATTTTATTGACTTGTGATACAGCTGGCCATTTCAACCTTTTAAAATCTCTTCTGATGTAGGCACCATAGTACAGGAATGGAACCAGTGGAAACAATTTCAACCGTTAAGTCACATCTAAAAGCTGCAACACGGTCGTACGACGCATGTGTAAGGACAAAAATGGCCCCACAGGCTTCAATACGTGGACATCCCACACGATTGCAGTTGCTACGTAGGTTTACAAGAGGCCATACAACAGGAGGAAGACGTACTTAATGCGGCAATAGGGAGGTTTCAGCATCAGGAATAACAGCTCTAAATTGTGAACTCCAGACCACTTAAACACCCGCCCCCGGGCAAAGTCTACTGATTAGAACGACCATAACCACTGAAGTTCCTCCCCCACGGCCGATAATGTTTTATTCGATGAATTACCAAATAATCGAACATTGATTTTGATAGGTCACACTGCCTTAGAGATTTAAAGGGTCAATACGTGGATTTTTTTCTCACTAGACACAAATTTTGACATTTGAAACATTGTACTCTTCCAAAAATTAATATACGAAAACTATTTGACATCTCCGATCTTTCTGGTAAATTGTATTGAAATACATGCAATTTCTGTAATTTTCAGACAGTGTCTCTGTTGTGAATCCATAAGACAATTAGAAATAATAGTAACTGTAATGGGGTTCTGTTAAGAACTGAAACAACTGTGCAAATCATGAAAGAATAAGACGGCAGAATACCCAAGATTCTATCAAATTTCAGTGCTGACATAGCTGTAACACCGAGGTTCCTAAGGTGGAAAGCTTGCGGTAGCACTATGCAAGGATACGATCTCTTTTTGTGAGTCTGGTTCTGAAAAGACCGTGAGGAACTCAAAGGTTTCTGTCCGTCGTCAGGAGACTGAGGTTCCTGTTTTCGATGAAATCGCACTTTTGCTCCTAAATTTTATTAGCATAAAACCGCACCCCCAGCCCTTATAGGCCTAGAGCCTTCAAGTTCACGATGGACCCTTTAAATTTTAACGTTGAGTGGGTTGTCAATGGAATTCAGTTGGAGCTTTCGCTTCTAACACCTATCACAATGGTTCTACATTCCCAACCAGGCTGGCATCGTGGGTTTGGGTTTCGAGGCCTCTCCAAAAAGGGGTAACTTTCCTGGGAATCTCGTACGGGGTTTCCTCCACGTTTTTGAAACTGAACGTTATTGTCATTTTTATAAAACGTTTCCCAGGTGCATGTTCCTATCCTGTACACAGGCCCCGAGTGTAAAATGTCAAAGGCTAGCAGACAAAGAGCAGGGTCATGGTGTTATTGATGAACATCATACAGCTGCTACGGGTGCTTTTCTATTGGCAGGTCGACACTGAGTACTAAGGAAAGCACCAAATGCCTTAACGGCTACATGTATGTGCAGTCTTCTAA